TGAGATGATTGAGGAGGTACTAGGTAGTTTTAGGGAGTGCATTCAATAGAGACTACGGAGTATTTTGGATTTTTTGTATTATAAATAGTATGGATATTCAATTAGTACGTAGTATTTAACAAATCACCATATAAATAAAACTTAAAAAAATATAAAAAAAATAAGAATTACATACTTTATCTCAAAATAAGAGCTTCCAGTGAGATAATATGATACTGTTTATAGATATTCAATAATATTTTTTAGTAATATACACGATCATAAAAAAGTCATTTAAAATCTAGATGTAATTAAGATTATTTACAAAAAATTAAAATTTAGGTGTATTCAATTAATAGTTTAAAATATCAATCTAAATCTAATGATATTGAAATTTCAAAAAAGTGCTCATGGGTACATTCTATTTTGAGATAATAACTACCGAGTACCTCTAGTTTTTAAAATATACGGGGTACTTTAATATATCTGAAAATTTATTAAAAGTGAACTTTCCATTCATTCCTCTATTAGGCTATGAGATGTTATCATCAGCATCCCCACCATCCCCACTTCCAACTCAGCGTCATATCATTCCATCCAATTTCATCTCCATCGAGGGGTGTCATCATCATACCATCTTTATTCTTTTTTATACTACTTTTATAACATTTCATTTACATTTAATATTTTAATTTAAATAATTAAATAAATTAAAACCTTAAATAACAATGAGACATTTAATAAAAAAATTCATAAAGTTAAATAATAAATTAAATAAAATGCGTTTAAAAAGTACGACAAAGTATTACATTAACCAAAGATGTTGATCCAAACACTTAAAAAACTACAATGAAAATTTTAAAACATACAATAAAATATTTAATAATGCAAAAAAAGTACAATAATCAGAGTTAATGACCGGTATATGTAAAAAATAAATATTACATTCCTGACAGTGTACGTCAGAAACTCAATTTGGATGGAACAATAAAGTGGAAACAAATTTGGAACAAATAAGTAAACGGAGTAGGCAACTTTGTTTAATAATTAAATCAATGACACGGATTAGCCTACTTCGTTTGAGTCAATAATAAAGACTAAAACGGAGTAGGCAACTCCGGTTGGTATTTTTTGAGAAAGTGTATATTAAATTTACATATAAAGGAAGATAAAGCAATGAGTTTACACATGCAGGGAGAGTATTTTGGATTTTTTGTATTGTAAAAAGTATGGATATTCAATTAGTATTTAACAAATCACCATATAAGTAAAACTTAAAAAAATATAAAAAAAATAAGAGTTACATACTTTATCTCAAAATAAGAGCTTATAGTGAGATAATATGATACTGTTTATAGATATTCAATAATATTTTTTAGTAATATACACGATCATAAAAAAGTCATTTAAAATCTAGATGTAATTAAGATTATTTACAAAAAATTAAAATTTAGGTGTATTCAATTAATAGTTTAAAATATCAGTCTAAATCTAATGATATTGAAATTTCAAAAAATTGCTCATGGGTACCTTCTATTTTGAGATAATAACTACCGAGTACCTCTAGTTTTTAAAATATGCGGAGTACTTTAATATATCTGAAAATTTATTAACAGTGAACTTTCCATTCATTCCTCTGTTAGGCTATGAGATGTTATCATCAGCATCCCCACCATCCCCACTTCCAACTTAGCGTCATATCATTCCATCCAATTTCATCTCCATCGAGGGGTGTCATCGTCATACCATCTTTATTCTTTTTTATACTACTTTTATAACATTTCATTTACATTTAATATTTTAATTTAAATAATTAAATAAATTAAAACCTTAAATAACAATGAGACATTTAATAAAAAATTCATAAAGTTAAATAATAAATTAAATAAAATGCATTTAAAAAGTACGACAAAGTATTACATTAACCAAAGATGTTGATCCAAACACTTAAAAAACTACAATGAAAATTTTAAAACATACAAATAAAATATTTAATAATGCAAAAAAGTACAATAACCAGAGTTACTGACCGGTATATGTAAAAAATAAATATTGCATTCCTGACAGTGTAAGTCAGAAACTCAATTTGGATGGAACAATAAAGTGGAAACAAATTTGGAACAAATAAGTAAACGGAGTAGGCAACTTCGTTTAATAATTAAATCAATGACACGGATTAGCCTACTCCGTTTGAGTCAATAATAAAGACTAAAACGGAGTAGGCAACTCCAGTTGGTATTTTTTGGGAAAGTGTATATTAAATTTACATATAAAGGAAGATAAAGCAATGAGTTTACACATGCTGACCCCTTCTTCTTGGATCATCATCATCATCCTCCTCTTCTTTTTCTTTATCATCATCTTCTTCATCTCCTACTTCTTTCTTCTCCTCCAGATCTAGCCCATATTTGTTAGAGTTTTCCTCTAAAAACATTAGAGTAGTAAAATTTAAAAAAATTTAATGTGTAAAATTATTGATTACTTTTAAATAATAATAAAACAATAATAAAAATAGATAATACGGTCGGGTTCCGTGGCCACTGGATTTCTATGGCTACGGAAGCCACTGTCCCCTACGGACACATATGATGCTCTACTCCTAAAATTGATTATTCCTACCCCGCCTAACCCCCCCGGTAAACTCCCCGCCCAGTCTCGATCCTAACTCATCCCCCACTCACGTCAATTGTACCTACAATTTTAGTTGATGACTTTGAAGTCAAAGGTTTATACTTTAAAGTCAATTGTACTTACGGGGTGCAATTTACATAAGTGGGGGTATGAGTTGGGGTCGAGACTAGGTGGGGGTTAGGGAGGTAGGAATCATCAATTTTATGAACAGAGTTCCGTAGGAGGGCAGTGACTTTCGTGACCACTAGAACCCAATAGTCACAGAACTAGATGGTAATAATCATCAATTTTATAAACGAAGCACCGTAGGAGACAGTGGCTTCCGTGGCCACTAAAACCCAATGGTCACGAAACTTAGCCATATATAATAAGAAGAAAAGGGGGGGGGGGGATTGGATGGACGGATGGTGGGCTAAGGTAAAGACAGAAGAAAGAGAAGACGAAAAAGGAAGAAGAGGATGATGAGGAGGAGGGGAAGGAGAGCTAAATCGGAAGACAAGTGAAAAAACAAAAAGAAGAAAAAACGAAGATGATGATAATGGTCTAGAAACTGACCGATAAAAAAAGATAGCAAACAGAGACATGTATGAAAGTTCCTCTTGAGTAAGTTTTTGAATATTTTAAAGTATTTATAGTATATTTTGAAACTAGAGGTACCTGGCAGTTAGGGCTGTTCACATTTAGGTCCAGACCGAAAAAACCGATCGAACCGAACCATTAGGTCCAGACCGAACCCAGACCGAATGAATTTCGGGTCGATCTTCGGTCCAGAAAATTTTGGCATTCAGGTTTTGGTCTAGTCCGATCCAAACCCGAAATGATTTAGGTCCGAACCGATTGGACCGATTGGACCTAATGACCCTACTGGACCTAAAAGACCTAAATACTAAAACTCTAGTTTTTAAATTCTGTATTACACTTTGATGCTCTATTTTAATAGATATTTTAATTTATTTAATTAAAAAGGTTTTTTATTAAGTAATTTAAAAAAAAATAAAAAAAAACATTTCATATTTGTTTTTATGGTTCTACATTGAAGTAGTTCATATTGTGTATCCATTTTAAGGTTGCCTATTTTTTTTATTCATTTTCTATTTGAATGGTACAAAGTAAAAAGACCAAAATATATTTAATTGATCAAAATAATTAAAAAAAATATGTTTTTCGGTTCAATCGGTCCGGACCGGTTCGGTCCTAAATATTTCGGTCCGGCCCAGTCCAAACCCGAATTGATTTAGGTCCGGTCTTCGGACCTCGAATTTACTCATTTCGGTCTTCAGTCTAGTCCGGGTCGGTTCGGTCCAGTCTTAGACCGATGAACACCCCTACTGGCAATTATTATCACAAATAGAAGGTGCCTAATAGGAATGTCAACAGGTGGGGTTCAGGTCAAATAGTACTATACCTGAACCAGATCCGACTTTTAAAGCCGAAACACGAACCCGGCCCAAAACCGACTTTTAGACCAGAAACTTGAACCGATCCGAACCCGACATTTAAACCCGAAACCCGAATCTGTAATTTAACCGATAACCAATTCGACGTACCCTTAGAATTTTAAAAAGAATAAATCTAAATTTTATTGTCTCTTTTTTTTTGTATCTCATTTTTTGATTGAGGAATTATAAAAATAATTAGTACAAAAGATATATTTGGTATACTTACACTTTGTCAAGAGGATTGTGTGGCTAGAAATGCAATCAAGACAGTAAACAAATCATATATCCAAAGGAAGAAAGAGATGCAAGGAAGGAAGAACCATACAAGAAGAAAGTAACACACAGAGATGCAAGAGATGCAATGTATGGACCAAAGAGATGCGGACATGCGGTTGCGTCAGAGAATCGAAAAAAGAGATTATACAGTCTCTATTCTCATTGAGCACGGAGACACTCAAAGTTCTTCCCTATCCCGATACGACTCTTATCAAGATTCATATTAGTACCATTCTAATCTCTCTCAATAACCTCATGGTAATGTTGAATTGCCAACTACATATCAAAAGGCACCTGGGTTTTGAGAAGAGGACTCCCAAGTTCTCAAGTCGAGGAGAATTCTCTCATTGTTCAAAGGAAGTCGATAACTTATTGTCACTCTCGGAAGGAGGCCATACATCCTGTGAAATGGCATGACTAGATGGGTTAGTTTGCAGCGATGATAAATGACAATGGATCGTCTCTCATTGAAAATTGACACGAAAAAAAGATCCCCGATAGAGAAAGATCATTAACAAAGCAAGGGAAAGAAACCAAATGCGAAATTAGAGGATTTTTTAGGAGAACCTGCAGTTATCAATCATCCCAAATACGCTCCCAAACACACAATTAGAATACTAATGCAAGTGAAGGAAACACAATCGATACATAAAAAACATGCTTATTACTCAACACTATTGTCCTCAATCTTTACTGCTCACCTATTCTGTGAAGCATCAGTGTATTGGGCAGATGATAATGTTTACCATTTACAATTTCCAAATGAAATACTTCGGTCCAAAAAGGTAACGCTTCTAATAGTAACACAACTTTACAAATCTTTCTTTTCTTGGGACAGAAAGAGTACTTATCAAAACCTTGGCTATGCAAAGAACACTAGAGCAATGTCATACATTAAGCTCATTCTTGGGCCTGAATAGCACAATAATCTGAAGAAAAAAGCTACTTTGCCCCCATCCCATTTTTTGTTCACACATGAGCCCAAGGCTGTTGTTGTTGTACATGAGCCCAAGGCTCTCTCATGTCAGTGTGAACAAAAAATGGGATGTTGCCAAGGTTGGAACAACTATCGCAATACTCACAAGTTGGATGATTGTGACTGTATTTAAGAGCGTCACGGTTTTCTAGAATTTCAGCCACGTGTGATTCAGCCCTACTCATTTTCCCTTGATTCTGGTGCGTCAAGATTTGAGTTTGTGGAAGTGTCATGTTCGAGTTGCAGGGGATATACCGTGTCAAAAACCACCCTAGCAAATACATGTCTAACTTCATATAGCCTCCCTAATGCAAGGGCTCCATAATCAATCTCGCTGCTTTGTTTTTGGGAATGCCCCCCATCCTTTCCCCATTGAACACACTCAAATATTGCACACACCTTCTGTGATAGTGCGGGTGATATGAACACCTGCACTTGGCACATTTGATTATTATAAACACACCATGAAAACACAAGTGCACCTATATAAGATTGAAAATTTAGCACCATATCACTTTCACTTAGACATGAAACTAAGGTGTTGTTAGGTAATGTTTTTGTTTTCCTTCATGTCTTCTTTTTCCACTTGTTTTCATAGAACAGAAATAAGAAAACATGATTGATAGTAATCTTTTTGTTTTGGGATTTGATTAAAAAAACAGAATTTTGAAAATTATTGGAAGCAATGATAATTCTTCTTTTCTCATTGTTTTCAAGAAGATGATTTCAATTTTGAATATCAATTAAGTTTACTAAAGTTGATAATTTACCAGAGATGTACCGCACAAAAATTTAAAAAAGTGAACCTCGAAGAAGCAAAACATTTTTTGAGACAGATGAAGTTATACACACACACACACACACACAGACCTACCAAAAAAGTTTTATATGTCAGAAATTTGAAAATAATGCAAAAGAAAAGTGGGAATACATTCATGGGTTAAACCTTAGAAACAAGTCTTGATATATAGGTAAGTTGGACAAGGATTGGTGAAGTGATAATATTACGCAAACTCCACCATCCAAACTAATTTGTTACTGGACCTTCATATTAAAACGTAAATATGTTGAATTTGGGGTTAGAACATAGCTTACCATGTCGGAAGGTGGTGCTTGTGGATACTTAATTAGTGCTCTAGAAACAAAGCATTCATCTGTCATCTTCTGTAGTGTACATTTTACATCAACTGCAAGATCCATGACCTCATCCAGTAGTTCTTCATCTGAATTCGGACTGTGATCTACAGACAGCTCAGCAAATCTTGTATCGTGTAATTGTGAGACCTTCTTGACTATGCCCAACGCATCAGAAGATGACCCACCAGTATATACAACAATACTAAATGCAGCAACCACCAATGGATTCCGAGGTCTATCCACCAAGGCTTTGTGGAATGCTAAGATTGCAATCCTGTATACAATACAATCTCATGCTTAGCTTCACAGACCTAAAATCTCATGAATTTGCCACTGAATTTAAGTGCCGTAATGTGCAAATGTTTACTACGAGATAGCTCTTCTTACCACAAACAAGAGTGGCATGGCCGGTCGGGTGCCAGAAGGTTATCCAGGCAGGAAAACAATGACTGAACACCAAAACAATGTATAAATAGAATTAATACCACAGAGCTTAATAAGTTAATGATACATATCCAAAATATCAACAAAATCTGCCAATAAGACCTGTGAGAGGGCTCATGAGTCATGACCATAGTGTATAAAAATTTGTTATGAAAATGATCAAAATAACATTTATCTCCAGTTACCAGAAGCATGTTAGATCTCTTATCGCGCCTTCTAAAACCTTGGGAAACAAAGTAAGCAGCCTGCAAATTGCAATCACACAAGATGTGACTATTAATGTATACTTGTTAACAATATGGGTGAATTAGAGAGAAAGGGGGGTCCACACTTGCAGCGGTAGAACAATTTCTAGTATTCCAAACTTCCACAACAGTCTTAGTGAATCTTCTGCAGACCCATATGCCAGCATATAATTCAATTCCATTAGTATTCTTCCCTGCAGAATAAGGGACAGAAGGATGAAAAGGTTGACAAAAAATAATGCCCGAGTAATAAAAGACTTGCATGTGCGCGTGTGTTAGTGTTAAACATCCAATACATAAAAGGTATATGAAATGTAATACCCTGTCAAGTCTTAACAGTGAAGACCCAAATTCTTTTACAAAATGTGCGGTTTCTCGGGAAAAGCGAAATCCCAAACGGCTAGCTATCCTCACCCCACGCAAGATGCGTGCTGTATGGTATGAGTTTGCAGTCCATTGTAAAATTACATGGGTATAAGATAATACCAAAAGTTTCTTTGGCAAGAGGCTCTAGATAAATTACTCAAGATCAACAAAATAAAATGAATACTCAAGCTCACCACAATCCTCCATGAATGAAGAGCTTGCCGGAATCACACTTCGTACCTACAGAATGGAGTTAACAGGTTGATGGAAATGATAACTGATCCAGACTTATAAGAGTGGAAAAAGAAAAATATATCAAAGATACATGCACACTTTAGCCTTTCTAATGTCTTCCATTCCACCCAAGTAATCATATATTATTCTTGTAAATGGATCAAACATCAATCTACAAAAAAAACATATACCACAATCCACGATTAGATTCAAAATGTGTATAACAATTATGGAGTACATTATCTTATTTTTTGTATTTTACGCATTTATGGTAAAATCTCTTCCTAAGCAATTTTTCCAGCGCACAAAATCATCATCATTGCATCTTGGAGGCCTTCGTACACCATTGTATGGATTCCATCCAAACTTCCTTCCTCTGGTAGTAAAACTGGAAACCTGTCCCAAAGCAATAGAAGAACGCATACAATGTAGATGATTCTAGAAAACTGATGAATTGACAATTTGAGATAAAAGAATAAGTTCAGACGTGGATAAATGAGTGTTTCGAATAAACTACCTCTATGATTACATCATCAACATGCACATGGCATATGGGGAACCTCCTTCCAACTATTTCACATCGTGGAAATGTTTTCAGCACCTGAAATTATTCAACATACCATCATGATAGATACAGAATCTCTTGATCCAATAAGCAACCAGGTCACGAGGCGAAACAAATGGGGAAACGTATCCGACCAAATGACAGAAAAAGATAGACAAACCTCACTAAGCTCAGCCGATGTTATCACATCAAAATCTTTAGGAATTTTCTTTAAAATAAGATCACGAACACAACCTCCCACAAGGTAGACATCATATCCTGTAATATCAGGAAAATGTCCGCATATTGTTAAAAAAGAGGCATATCCAGCACACAAACAAAGAGCTACTATTCTTCCAGAACCAATTTTACCATTGGAAGTAATTTAACCAATTCTTTGTCTTGTTTTTTTTCTCAGAAATACTAAGTAATACCTCTTCGCTTAAGGCCATTGAGGACCGACCTAGTAGATTTTGAGATCATTGAGGTCTGTATTCCGAGCTCCTTCGAACTCAATTTTTTCCATTCAGATGTATTTTTATACCCACCTCCTGCCACAATAAGCACAACTCACCCTTAGTTATCAAACTATAAACAATGCTCGGCAAAATCTTTGAGACTAAAAAATGGGAAATAACTCCAAAGAACCCACCTTGAGCATCGGAATAATTTCTCTGACAATTATTTTCTTCCCTGGAATCATTTACATGTCCAGCTAGCCACTTAACCGCCGCAACGGAGCTGCAATTACGAACCTGAAAGTAGAATGTCAGCCACGCAATAAACAAACAGAGCATAGAGACAAGATTTGTGGTTGAAGAGAGAGGAGAAGAAAAGACCTTGTTGAAGCAATAAGGGAGAGGGAAAACGAAGATGAATTGGGATCTGGAGGAGAGGCCTTGAACTGCAGGAATTGCCATGACAGAGATGACTTCTTTTCTTCTTTCTCTTAGTTGCCTGTTAAGGGTTTAAGCCATTAGAGAGATTTGAAGCAAATAGGGTTTTGATCCTTCAAGCTCAGCCGAGTAAGGAACAGGGGAGAGTAAAAGTACTAATCTATCCTTAAAAAATAAAGAGTAAAACTCAAACACGATCTTCACTAGTATTTTAATAATTTAATCCGTGCTGAATAAAAAAAATTCAATTAAAAATTTTTTTTCAATTTTTTAAGATTTTGTTATTTTGAATTCTAATTCTTAGAATCTGTTTGGTTAAAAGAAAATTATTTTTTCAAAAGTTCTAATTTTACATTTCCATTTAGGTTGCATAAGTGGAAGAAATCACTTTTCTTGGAAAACTAATTTCTCTAAGAGAAAATGACTTTTGTATGTTATGGATGAAAGTTCATCTCTTATTCAATCCTCAAATAATTTAATTTCTCGATCGAGTTCATCCACTCCCTCCCTCCTTCTTACTAAATGGAGCACTATAAAAAAGGTTTGAAATTGGTCGTGTTTAAAAAACAAACTATTTCCTCTAAAATATTTAAAGTTATAACAAAATATCTTTGTTTTTAATTCAAATATAACCAATATTTCGGGAGAACATTTTTTTTGTGAAAAATTATTCTCTCTTAGAAAAATTATCTAGACACATATTTTTCCACAACCAAATGCACCCTTAACTTTCAATATTCTTCCAACCTTCCTAGTTTCTCCCAATTTAATTTTTCTAACTTTTTTCAACTTTTTTCAAATTTCTCTCTATTCTTTTTAGTCTCATCTAACTTCTTCTGGTTTCTTTCAACAGTGATATAAAAATTACTCTGTATTTTCATGCATATATTTTTCAAAATAATAGTTATAATAATATAATTCATCATATCCATCCCGACAATCTCGCCGCTGTCGGCCGCCATGATCAATCACATCAATCTTTATTTTGTTTACCTGCGTGTAGCAAATAAAACATATTCTGCATTGAACCTGAGTAAAGATATCTAATATATTGAACATCCACATAAATTAAATCTCAATTCATAATCAAACACATAATGTCAAGAGTGCTCTTACACTATTCATACTATAAGGCCAAAGCCTAACAATGTTCTTAAACTATTCTTAGTTTAAGGCCAAATTTATATTTTCTTAATTGGATTCTTAAACTATGGCTAGTTCAAAGCTATTTCATTTTATTAACTAGACTCTTAAACTATGGTTAGTTTAAGGCTATTTTGTTTGATTAACCAGACTCTTAAACAATAATTAGTTTAAGGCAAGTAATAACCAGACTATTAGACTATAATTAGTTAGTTTAAGGCAAAAAGATAACGAGACTCTTAAACTATAAATGGTTTAAGGCAGAAAATCGAACATCGTACTACTCACTTTGGGTTGGGTGGTACCCCTAAACAAATAGATACTCAAGTTTAGTTTATGGATCCCGCATGTACGTTTTAACCCAAGCCACCAGACATCATACCCACAAAGCATAATCAGATTGGTCAAATAGTGTATATTTTAGAGTTCTTCTAGACAGTTTTAATCATTCGTAATGATCCGAATATATGAACAGATATTACATTATAATAAAGATATTGATGTTAAAAAAAATCTAAGAAGTATACTATTAGGGTTGTAAAACGAACGAATCGAATCGAATATTGTAAAATTTTATTCATATTTGACAAATGATAGCATTATTCATATTCATATTCGTTTTTTATTCGAATAATCATTACTATTCGTATTCAATTTGATATTAAATTCAAATATTCGTATTCGTATTCTTTTATGAAATACGAATTTTTTTTTACGTTTTATAGCTTTAAAAACTAGCAAAAAATCATCTTAAATAAGAATAAAATATAGAAAAAGTACCAAAATATGAACTCCATATTTTATCTTTAAAATATATAGTTTGCATTGTGGTAATGTGACACTGCATATGAACAATTCACAATATTTTTAATAATGTACATGGTCATTAATAACACTGTAAATGCATTTTAACTCTTATTTCTAGAATAAAAATATATAACACCTATTTTGGTTTATTTTCAATATTTACTTTTACTTTAGTTTTTTTTTCCCAAAATTAATAGGCTACTAAAAGTGGCATGTCTATAACAACAACAATCTAGTTAGATCCAACGAGAGTAGGGACTGGAGAGGACGTGTGTATGCAAATCTTGCCCCGAGACTTTGTATAATGAGGCAAACATATATTAGATATAAATTTTTATATTTAAATTTGAATATATTCATTAACACATTGAACCGAATACATATACATTCATATTCGTATTCGTAACAAATTCCCAATTAATAAATAAAGGAAAAATTATCCAAAATAATCCCAACTTTACCCGGTCTTTCAAAAATAATCTCACCTTTCACTGTGATGCATAATAATCCCAACTTTATTGAAATTTGCCAGTTTTGGGTCAGCGTTAAGTTTCTAATGGAGGGTTAACGGAAATGCCCGTTTTAGGTAACAAAATGAAAGTTGGGATTATTTTTGATGAATTTTTGTTTTTTAACTTTTTTTGAAATTTTTATTTAAATTTTTTGAATTACTTTCAACCTCCATTTCTTTTTCTTTTTTTAAAGATTATTCTTACATTAGTAAAAAATAGATATAAAAAATAATGAAAATGAGAAAAATAACTAAAATCATACAAAATTAATTAAATAAATAATGTAATCAATAGAAATTAAACAGAAACTGGTAAGAAATAAAATAAATATATACGGAGTGGTGGGTTTTAACATTTTACACACTATACGGAGTCTTAATCTACTACTTATTTTTTAAAAGAACAAGCCGTCCGGTAAAGTTGGAATTATTGTAGATAATTTTTTCTAAAAAAATAAGAAGTGATATGTTAATACTTTGTATAATGCGTAAAATATTAAAACCCACCCGTATATTTTTATTTTACTTTTACCAATTTCAAGTTAGTTTCCATTGATTACCTTATTTATTTTATTATTTTTGTATCATTTTAGTTACATTTCTCATTTTTCATTTTTTATATCTATTATTTTTATTTTTTAAACTAAGACTAAAAAAAGAAATGATGATGGAGGTTGAAAGTAATTCAAAAAATTTAAATAAAAATTTCAAAAAAATTAAAAAATGGGCATTTTGTTGCCAACTTTCATTTTGTTGTCTAAAATAGGCATTTCCGTTAACCCTCCGTTAGAAACTTAACGGCGACCCAAAACTGGCAAATTTTAGTAAAATTGGAATTATTTTACATCACAGTGAAATGTGGGATTATTTTTTAAAGACCGAGTAAAGTTAGGATTATTTTGAGTAATTTTTCCATAAATAAAAAGATAACACCAAATAATTCAATAGTTCATTCCGAGTATCAGAGGAAGTTTGTGGTATTGTGATCTAAAATTTTAGATGTAAAATATAAATTTTCTCAATTTTTTTATGTGTTCATAGGTGAATTTCTTTATTTTACATGACTACAAATAAATAATCATTTTAACTATCAAATTTTATAAAATGAATATAGGCCTAAAATATACGTAGTACGGAGTACAAAAGAATTTGCCTTAAAAGAAAGATAATATTCATGTCTATATGATACTCTCACCGTTCTAATTTATTGTATTTGTTTAGATTTATGATATTTGATTGAATTTTTTTAATTAAATTATTTAAAAATTATAGTAAAATTAAAAAATAAAAATCACATAATTCGTATTTGAAAAAAACATCAAAACTTTTTCAAAATATGAGGCGTTATGATAATGTAATCTTGTCAAATACGGAGTACTACCTTCGTTTCTGAGTATTTGTCAAGTTTTGACTTTTTTTAATCAATTATTGTCAACTTTTGATTTATTATTAAATAAAATATATATTGTTTATTAACTAGATAAAATAATATTTTGAAAATATTTGATATAATAAATCTAATAAAATAATTTTTTTATCAATATCTAATGCCATTTTTATTTAATTTGAGACCAAAGTTTACCAATTTGAATTTAAAAAAATTTAAAAAATGGATAAATACTCCAATAAAGAAGAAGTAAATAGCAAAATCAATTTAGGAAAGTAACAACGGAGTACGGAGTACTCCGTAATAAACATGTACTCGTATTATAATTTGAGACTACGAGTTATTGAGTACTCCATTTAAGAAAAAAAGAAATACGGAGTAATACGGAGTAAAAATTTACAAAATATGCGCCGCTGCAACCGCTTCCACTAGATTATCTCCCTTCTGGCTTTCCTCTCACGCTCGATCTTACTCCCCTTCCATGGCTGAGCTTCAGCCGTCAGATGTTCCAACCATCGCCGCCGCATCGGCAGCCGCCGCTTCTACTTCTACAACTCCAGTTCCCCTTCCAGTTGAAGCCGCCGCTGCGAACAACGTCGCCGCCGGCAATAGTTTCGGCCAAGGGTTAGCTTCGAAGCGCCAGCGCCGGCCCAGCGTAAGGCTAGGAGAGATCGGCGAGTCCTCTTACGACGCCCACCCTCGAAGAGGCCCCAAGTCATCGTGGCGCTTCCACAAGGACCCGTCTCTTGCGGCCAAGACCTCCAAGATCCGGCCTCTAACCAACCTCGTAAACGGCGCCGCCGCCGCCTCCGCCGCTACTGGGGATAACTACGAAGACTCTAACATCAACGAAGTGAACAATTTCGGGTTCGATTTGGGGAACCGGAAGCCCAAGACAAAGAGGCCCACAAAGAGGGTTAGAACGAATTGGACTGTCTCGTCTTCAAAATTCGATTCCATCAACGGAGGAATTGAAGGAGAGAGCTTCTACAGAGAGGAGAAAGATAACGATGATTTTAGGGATTTCGAGCAGGAGGGGTCGGAGAGTCCATTGAAAGAGCAGAGCCCTGTTAACTCTATGGAGAATATGGGTCTTCAGTATTGGGACAGGAGGGCAAATCAGGCAAGACTTTCAGAGAGCAGAGATAATGACAATCTCAACAATGGAGGAATTCAAAACGAAATGGTTTCTCAGGGCAGGAGTTCTGGAGTCAGAGACTGGTTGATTGAGCTGGGCCTGGGCAGATATTCCCCAGTTTTCGACATACATGAGGTAGATGATGAGGTGCTTCCATTGTTAACTTTGGAGGATCTCAAGGACATGGGGATTAATGCTGTTGGATCCCGGCGGAAGATGTACAATGCCATTCTCAAGCTCAGGAAAGGATTTTCGTGAGTTCCAAACTCTAAGGGTTGGTTCTTTCTTCTCCTAATTTTGTCAATCGGTCTTGTGGTTTTTCTTCCCTGATGTTGTTAACCTGAATAATGGTAAAAAAAAATGCAACCTAGTTTTGGAGTTAGATTGACTTCTCATTGTTTTCTTCTGCTTTGGGTACTTGAAAATTGTTAACATGTAATCTTTGATGCACATATTCAAGTGACAAGAAATGGAAAAGCCTCGTTTGGTAATGTCTATGACCTGAGCACCTCAAAACCTAACTTAAAAGTGAATTCATTCCATTCATGGTAACAACTACTCCTTTGAAAAGGTACAAGTTCATATAAATCATACACTCCATTCTGTTCTGACTTGACCAGTATAATTTGCCTGTTTCAAATTTGCGTTTTCCGGAGTCTTGGTAGAATAGAGGTAAGGTTTGGGTTCATCTCACCCTCCCTATAACATATTTCCGATTGAGAAATATGGGGTATGTTTGGTTTGGTCTAGTTCTCTAATTGCACTGTTTGGCATTGTAGTCGGGAAGTGCTTATTGTTTATTTGTTCTCCAATTGTTGTCTTGTATGTTTGACATTCCAGCTGATTGCTTCTCCAATGGCAGTTTGATGCTTCTTATTGCTTATTGAATACCACTGCCAATTGCCAAAGAGTCTCATTATTCAGAAATACAACTGAATACAGTGGTGGTCAACTGGTATGTAATAGTCTCATTACAAAATCTATGGGTTCATAATATGAAACTTTCAACTGGTATGTTGTGACTTGTGAGGATATAAAAAGTTTGGAATCCCTGGATTACAAAAACCATCGTTCTGGTGTTGGCCGAACGAGGAAGATAGTCTTGCTTACAGCGCTGTGAAATTGGCAGCAGATGTTTTGTTCCTTTTCAGTTTGAAATGGAGATTCTACTTGCACTTTCAATGTGCTGTTTACAAGGGAAGTTTAACGTTTTTACCCGAGACTCGATCCAAAAATTTTGGGTTTTGAACAAAAATTTTGTATACCGAACTTGAAGATTACCAAACTCGAAATGACCCACTAAAAATGGTCATCCAACCGAATCTGAATTCGACCTGCTAATGTAATAGTTTTTCAAAATTATGTATTTTAATATGAAAATGATGTAGTAAAAATATAAGTAAATTCTATAATTAGTCCTTTATAACAGGAGTTTTTTCATATTTAGTCCTCTATTATCAAATATTACACCCGTAGTCCTTTTTTTAAGGGTACCTTTCCATAAATGATCCTTTTTTGATCTTTTGCCGTGTTGGTGTTAATTTAAAGGTTAAAAATATAATTTGACGTCAACATTATGTGTAGTGACGTGTTCTGATATTGGTTAAGCGGATAACACAAAAATAATGACTATGATTATGGGTTAGGATTTTGACGAAAGATCACATTTGTAGACTATAGTTGTCGTAAAAAGCGACTGAAATTCTATCATAACCACATATACATAAAAAATCAAAGAACCTCACTCCCAAGCCTCCTCCTACAACAGGAGTTGTTAAGAAGAGAAAAGTAAGAACCTTTTTTCGACTGTAAAAATAAAAATTTTGGGTGATGAAATCTGTTGTCTACTTTCCATGGTGAAATCTGTTGTCCATGATGAAATCTGTTGTCCATGATGAAATCTGTTGTCTGTTGTCCGTAGCGAGAAACCTTTGATGAAAAATCCGCTCTCCATTAATGGTTGTCTGCTATCCATGTTCGTGACTCACCATTTCTAGGTCTCCATTATATTGTGTCTCCAACCTTGTTCAAATCTGGGACCCAAAAATCAGGATCTGAAATTTTATACCCAAAATATTAAAATCTCAATCTAGCATCAAAAGAAATTGGTAAGAAAATGAAGAAATTGTAAAAGCATCTCGGTCGGAAGCTCAAAATTAGAAAGAAAAAAAATTCCAATCAGCGGCGATGCTACTTACCTGCGCGTTGCTCTCTCTCTCTCTCTTTGGCCGTCTGTCTCTCTCTGGCTACGGCGAAGTGTCAATTGGAATTGGATGGCGGAAGCATCCTTCTTATTCGTCTCTCTCTCTCGGTACGGGGGAATTGGATGGCAGAAGCCCTCTTCTTATTCGTTCTTATACAAATGTGAGGTCCAAATTACTCGCGGCTACTGTAGCTTATCAAATGGGTGGGAATACTGTTCATAAATGCATCTTACCATTGTACTCCGTATATAGTACTCCCTCCGTCCCACAAAAAAGTTCCCATTTTGAATAGTATTTAGTCAAATATTTATACGCTTTGACTACAAATTGTGAGAAAAGTATATTGAATTATGAAATAAATTTTATGTAATTGGATTCATCTTAGTATCTAGTTTTGATATCTCAAATTTTTTTAGCATTTCTTTATTTAGATTATATTTAATTTAAGGTCAAAGTGTGCTATAGTTTGACCAAATTATGGTCAAAATGGGAACTTTTTTGTGGGACGGAGGTAGTAAGATGCTAGGGGAATCACCTCATCTTTTCATTTAGATCTTGAGCTCAATAAATCTAAAGAAAACCCCCTAAATAGGAGTAAAACATGGATCACATCCTCAAAATAGGAGTTCAAACTTAAACTCCTCTAAATAGGAGTAATTAATTAAATATTTATTTTAATTAGCCTTGGCCGCACAACTAGAGATCAAAATTATCACCCCTTCAATTCCCGAACGTGATCTTCAATCTCAAGCACCGTCGATGATCTTCTTCTTCATTCCATACCTGTTCCCGCTGCCTTCGCCCCCATCTCGAACCTATATCTACCACAATCATCATCTCTGTGCGATGATGACTCAATCTCACTCCGTCCATCTCTCTTTCTCTCAATACAGACGATCTCCTTCCAACACTCTCCGCCATTTTCGTCACCTAGCCTTTGAGCGATGATGCTTCCGTCCATTTGCGTAAGTTTGAATTCAGTTTTATATTCAATTCGACATAAGTAGTTACATTCCATTTTAAATCTATGAAAGCTCACTCCTTAGGGAATTACTTCATAAAATTGGTACTAGTTCTTTTAACCATGGATAAGTTTGAATTCAATTTTAAGTTTAATTTGAAAAAAGAGTAGACATTCAATTTAAACTCTGAATTTACTTCTTGGGGAATTTTTTTTGTTAAATTCAAATTGAAACTGAATGATTATGGTGTTGGCAAATAGTAGAGTTCCTTGACATTTACCCCTTTTGACATTATGCATTTACATATGTGATATATAACATTATACATTTTATCTTTTATTATACATTGCCAGGAATGGCATTATACAATGTCAAGTTTGGCATTATTTATTTAATCTATTTAGTATTATGCATTCGCATGTATGACTTTATACATTGTAATGATTGCCATTATATGACTACATGTGGCATTTAATGTGGTCTTTTTTGACACTGTATAAACATTCTATTTAATCTATTTAGTATTATGCATTCGCATGTATGACTTTATACATTGGAATAATTTCCATTATACGACTACATATGGCACTTAGTGTGGTCTTTTTTGACAGTGTATAAACATTTTAATGTGGCAATTTACATTGACACTGTATTCAAAATGTGTGTGTGTGTGTTAAATCATGAGCCGAAACCCAGTGCAGAGCTAAATGGTATGTTTGGATCCCTGATAATGCTGGAAGTTTTTTTTATCATTAATTACCAGAATGTGATCAACGATAGAGAGAAATTCTACTTGGTGAGTAACAAGAATGACAGTTTTTGATACGTTACAAATTGTCACATTTTATTTGGTCATATTTTAGTTCTTTATTACATTTTTAGTACATTTTATGTTAAAATAAAGTGCATAATGAAATATTTGGCTATTTAGGCTACTTGTTATATTTTTACACTAAAATCATAAGTTGGGTAAAGTTTTTATTTTATTCTATGTTTAAATTAATTTCTCTTATATGTATTTTCAGATACACTCTTTGGAATAAAAAATAGATGTTAAGTTCAAGAGATGGAGAATTGGGCCGAGCTTTAATGGAATTGAAGATTTAAAGTCCATGTGAAAGTTTTTATCCAAAATGTTACTGACTTTTGTGAATGAATATATCAATTGGTAATTTAGTACATGTTGATGAAAGTTGATGGAGTAAATTCTTACAAAGATGGCTTTGGGAAACACTGTCCATGGGCATATTATGAATGTTTTTTTCTTCTCCATATAGGCTGCACTGTAAGGTTTTGTGCCTTTGCGTAATGTTTTTTTAATTAGGCCATTTCCTGACAAAGGATGAACTGTTTTTTTAATCATTTTTAGCTCTTTGTATTGATATTCTTTAAATAACTAGTGTTTGATGTGATTGTTCCATATGCTTTGATTACATCAATTACTTGAAACAGTTGTAAAAAACTGTATGATGTGTTTGATCTAAAGCCTTTGACAACTTTTTTTTAGTTATTTGTAATCGTGTTTCAAAAAACACATAGTGTCGGGTGTTATTAATAATATTGAGTTTTTGATGTGTTTGAACTGATTGATATAAAGTCTTTGAGAATAGAGATAAGTAACCAATGTTTGATTAGTTTTTGAAAAAATATCTTAATGACCTGTGAAACAGAATTGAAATCCGGACGGTGGAACATAGAGTGTTTGCCAGTGTTTTAATGCTTTGCATTTAAGACAGTGATTCAAAGTTTTTTTAATTTCTGGATTGTTGAACATAGAGTACACATCTGGGTTTTTAGTCTATCAATTAGAATGACTGACAGATGCTTTAGTTTGTTGGATTTAATATGCTTTATGCTATACTCACTTCCATGAACCTGGATTTGCTAGACATTCATGTTCTTGACATGCATACTGTTTGATGTTTTTTGAAGGATTTAGTAGTAAAAGTGTTTGATCTCTTTGATCGATTTGCGCTATGAATGACATATTTTCTACCTCTCATTAGAATCTATGAATTGTCAAACAAAATTGTTATGACTGTAAAAGGGATGGGTAATGACTGGGGTTTGTCGGTGTTTTGATGCTTTGCCGTTGTTTTAATAAAAACCTGAGATTTGCCAATGTCTTGACCCGTGCTATGCGTTTAGCCGTTTGCTCCCCCATTGTTCCTTTCTTCAACTATTTTTAGTTCTTCCCCTTTTAATCTCCGAAACTATTGTTTTTTTAAATTAATGATATTTTCCTTCCACACTTCTGAAGGGGAGTACTATCCATGCAACAGTCTGGAAAAGTTTGGTTGGAACTTTTGAGAGACGAATTAAGGAGAGTTCGGTGTACATCTTCGCCTATTTCGGCATAGGCATCAGCAGTGGCTCGCACCTCGAAACATGAGTACAGACTTAATTTCCAACCACGAAGTATTGCTACCGAATGTACTTCCGACAAAATTCCAGTGCATGGACTTTGGGTTGAGTACTTTTGCTGATATTTTGCAAGCAGACACGAGCTACCCTTACTTAGTTGGTAATCTTTCAGTCTCTTATCCAAAATCAAAGCAAATCGTGATATATTTTTTGTGAAAAATAATATTTTCTTTTTCCGCAGACACTATGGGCATCCTTACAGCTGTGGGCAAGCAAACGGAGATAGTAAAGGAGTCCAAAAGGACAAATATGATTGTGATCAAGTTCGAAGCAGAATGGTATTCTTCTTTTTCAACAAGTTAAATCAAAAAGCATAATTACACCATGAATAATGTTTGTTGTTTACTGTTTTTTGAATTTTGTATTTAGGATGACATTGGATATCACACTATTTGGGGGATACGTTGAGAAGTTTAAAAGCTTCTTTGAACAACAGCCATTGGAACATCCCATAATTGTGATACAGTGTGTGGAAGTGAAACTGTTTCAGGGTACTATGAACATTTAAATACCAAAGAGTTGAACTTTATCTGTTTTTCATATCACAGTCATCTTTGCTCTTATTCAAGAAAAACTAACCATGTCATGGATTTTTGGGAAATACAATATTACAGAATGTCATGTACGGAACGCGTCTCCTATTAAATCCAGAGATAGAACAAGCGATTGCATTTACACAGAGGTTTGTATAATCTAATCTATAACGACCTATATACAGCACGAAGACTATCTCTATACAGCATTTACTAAGTCATCGTCTTATTATAACTAAAACATTTACGTGAAGGTCTCTTAGCGTGACATCTCAACGTCAGCCCATTATGTTGTCGTGTGATGACATTTCAAATGTGCAACATAGTGAATGCAGATCTCTTTAACATGTTATAAATTCGTTTACACTTAAAACAACCCCTATTAAACTTGATCCGAAATTGGATAATAAATAGCTAAAAGCATTTATAAATATGCCCCTGATTATTATTTTTGAATATAATCTTATTTAATCACGTATTTATTGTAATGTACTAATCAATTGCTAAAGGGGATACTAAATATTATTTTGGCTATTTTTTTAACTTCAAATTTCTTTATTCTCATTTCTAAAAGCGATGGACAATCTAACTAATATGAATCCTGATTAAAAATATAAATTATCAAGGTTAAATTAAACTCATATTACTTAGATCCCTAAATTCTGTGGCCACGAACCCTTTTTAACAATTGATAATATTAAACATTTTTTCACATATAAAAGATTAGCCACATGAGTTGTATAAGATTTTTAAGGTAAATAATATATTTCAACCTCCGTGTTTGAAAAAAAAGGGAGGTATATTTTTTCCCCATTCTATGTATTGTTTTTTTAAAAATATAAAGAATTATATATAGTGAAATGTTGCAATAATTTGATGTAATAAAAAAGTTTCTTCATGTGAATTTTTTTCCTTATAACTAAATATATTGATTCCATTATTGAAAATTAAAGTATTACACAGTTGGCAATAGAATGAAACTATTGAAAAATTAAAGTATTACACTTAATTATTATTTATGTTGGTTTTAGATGACAACGGTAACCCATGCAATTGCACAAAAAATGTGGTTTAGCTGGAAGTTTTTCAAAAAATTTGAATCTAATCGATACATTTATATGTTCTTTTCAATTTTTTATATACATGAATTTAAGTTAGCATACTCTGTTTATGTGGTATCTAACATTCTACTTGTATATTATATTTGCATTTATTCTTTTTATTATTTACTTAAAACAAAAAATTAGCAGAGTTAAAAATAATAATTAGCAGAGTTACTTTCATGTTTTTTCCTCCGAAATAGGACTTTGCACTGTGGTAATGTGTATTTGCCTTCTGGTAATGTGACAGTGTACATGTGCAAATTACGATACGTTTTTGGTAATGTATATGACCATGTATGGTAATATAAGTTCTATTTTGGGAATAAAAACATGGAAGTCCTATTTTAGTATATTTTCAATGTTTTAGTCCTACTTTGTTCTTTCTCCCTTAAGCTTACACATTGAGAGAATTTGATGAGTCAAAGTGCTTAGATAAACAGTTCCAAAAGTAAAAAATGGACGAATACAACGAGACGGAGGTAGTACTTCATTCGCCCTTTAAAATTATTAGGATCGAGTTTTTAGTTCAAACCTAGCCTACTCACTTTTGACTTTTAATAATAAAGGTGATCATTGTTGAGGAAAGGGCAACATATGAGACAAAGCAAATACTCCCTCCATTCTATAAGGGCATGTTATTTGGACTGTAAAAAAAGAGCTAGATGTTGGAAGAAACTGGAATGAACTAGAAGAAACTAGAAATAACTGGAAGAAACTGGAGGGAACTGGAAAAACTAGAAGGAACTAGAAAAAACTAAAAGGAACTGGAAGAAACTGGAAAAAACTGAAACGAACTGTAAGAAACTAGAAAAAACTAGAAAGAACTGGAAGAAACTGGAAAAAACTAGAAAACCTAAAAAAACTTTAAAAATATTTATTTTAATTTCTTGTTGTTATAAATAATTGTTATTATTATCATCATCATCATCATCGACATCATAATCATCAACATAATCATCATCATCATCACATTATCTTAGTAAATATCTTTAAGATATAAAAAAAGTATTGTTATTTTTAAATACAAAAAACTACTTTTACAAAAAATAATTATATTAAATTTTAAAAAGGTTGTGTAGTTATATTGCTGAAAGTCGGTTTACACCCTAAGAGATGGTGAATATAGGTTTACACAAAAGAGTAAGAAAAATAAGAACAAAGCTTTTAGGAACACTCAAGAATAGAGAGAGAGGCTTTAGATATAATTGGGAAGTTGTTGTGATTAAAATGAGACTTAGAGCACTGGTAATACCACTCACGCCCACCGGCGTTACGGGGCGTTTAACGCCCCGGGGGCGTGAAACACCGCCCCCCGCCAGCGTGAAACGGGCGTGAGGGCGGCTGCGTCATTCCTTTGACGCGGCGTGAAACGGTAATACTCCCTCCTAACGGCTAAAAAAGCCGTTGCAACCCAATTTAAAAAAAAAATTCTATAAATTCAACCCTCTCCAACCAATCTCTCACACCTTCTCTCCAATCTCTTCTTCTTTCTTATTTTTAAATTTCAAAGTTCAAATCTCTCCTCCCAATTTTCAACATGAATCCTTCCGGCTCCGGCTTCGTTCCCGACAATCTCCCCCCGAGTGACGCCGCGATGTGGTTCTACCAAGAGTGGGGCGATCGATCGCCGATATACGAGAAGCAACAATCGGGGTACGTCGACCGAGATTCGGTTCTGGAGACTCAACCGGAACCGTCCAGATCGAAAAAAAGTACACGCTGGAGGAGCCACAAAGCCAAAGGCACGTTGACCGATGTGGCACGGGCAATCCAAAAGTGGACGCCGGAGGAGGAGTGCATATTGGCGTCGGCTTGGGTTGACGTCTCCGAGCATCCTATCATTGGTAAAAAATTTGTTTTTTCTAATATATTTATATTTTTATTTATATATATTATATTTAATGGTGTCAAAAAAAATAATTATATACTTTTTTAAAGGTACGGAGCAAACGAAGGATGCGATGTGGGACCGTATCGAGGAGAAGTTCTTCACGGCGATGAAGAAGGACGGCTCCTACCGAACCCGTGACCAACTCACNTCAAATCCCTTCCTTCAACGTTGCGGCTTCCGATGACGAGGACCCCATTCCACGGCCGATCGGAAGAAAGAAGGCAAAATTCATTGCCTCTGGTTCGGGAGGGTCCGCCTCTATTTCCGCTTCTCCCCGCGACGAAATCGGCCGGGCAATGGTTGAACAACTTCGGACATTCAATCTCCAAGAACAAGAGAGGTTGAAGCTTAAAGAGAAGGAGTTGAAGCTAAAGGAGCAGGAGGCCGAGATGAAAGTCATGCAAACCGACCCCGGGACGTTGTCGGAGTTTGGACGAATTATCTACGAGCAAAGAATGAGAGAGATCAAGGAGAAATATAATTTTCCTTAGTTTTTTTTATTAATGTATCTTTTTTTTAAAATTATTGTCGCTTTTTTTTATTTAATTAATGTGTTTTTTATTATTCGTGTTTCAATTTAATTAAATAAAAAATTAAGTACATTTTATTAATTTAATTTTAGAAGATGTATATTTAAAAATGTAAAAAAATGAAGGTTTGAAGCCCAGTTTTGAAGCCCCGGGGCTTCAAACCCATTTCCAGTGAATTTTGGGTGTAAGTTAAAGCTGACGTGACAGAGAGAGAAAGTTTGAAGCCCCGGTTTGAACCCCCAGGGCTTCAAACGTATTACCAGTGCTCTTAGAGGGGGTTTATATAGGAGTTTGGAATGTTAAAATTTGAGTTTTAAATGTAAAATTCCGTTAGGAAGTGATTAGGGGTGATTTGAATGAAAATTGGCAATTTGCTACAGTGCTGCCAACGATTCCGGTACCCTTCACGGTAGGGTTAGTACCCTCCGGTACCCAGGTACCGTGACCACGGTACGGCCTACCGTGTTGGGGTACCGTATAAGCCAAAAGTTGGGTTCTTTCTGGCGGTACCTCGATAGGACGGGTTGGGCCAACCGTCACTGCCTACCGTCCGGTACCCAAGTACCGTTACACGGTAGGGGGTATCGTATACCTCCTAAGTGAAACGTACAACGGTACGTTCACTAGGCTACCGGCGGTACCCTGGTGCCGTGTACACGGTAGCCAGGTACCGTTAGGCCTGTGTAATATTTTCAAAACTTGTTTTTCGTGTTCCGTTTTAAAAATAACCCGAACTAAGAATATATTTGACATTTTAAAAATAATTTTTCAGTGAAAGGGCATAAGTAAATCATTAAAATATATGATTACATTTACACAATAATTTCTAAACTCGTAGGAGTATATCTTGGTGATAAAGGGAAATTGAGATGTCTTATAAAAAATTACTCCCTCCGTTCGGAAATGTTCTTCCCATTTGACTTTTTATGGTCTCCAATATTAGACTTTGACCGCTAATATCTTTATTTATACATGGATATATTTTATAAAAATTTAATACGGAGTATTTGAAAACTATATTTCAAAATGAATATATTCATATTCATATATTTACCTAATATAATGTATTTTTTCCACATATCATAGTCAAAGTTTACATACTTTGACCAAGAAAAGTCAAATGGGAAGAATATTTCCGGATGGAGGGAGTATATCAATAAAACATTCAATGTAACTATTTTATCATGTAGATTAATATACAAAAAATGTCTTATTCATATTAAAAAGTTGAAGAAAAAAATAATAAGTGTGAATCGTAAAAGTAGTGAGCTGAAAAAATAATTCATAAACTACAGTTATGAATATAACAGTTGTAATGATAAACAACAACAACAACAACAACAACAACAACAACAACAACAACAATAATAATAATAATAATAATAATAATAATAATAATAATAATAATAATAATAATAATAATAATAATCACATTGAAATGTATCATTTTTAGAATAATTGGTTGAGGAGTAGAAAGAATTTTAAAAAAATGAAAAAAGTTGGAAGCAACTGGAAGGAACTAAAAGAAACTGGAAGAAACTAGAGAGAATTGGAAAAACTGGAAGAAACTGGAAGAAACGGGAAGTTAAGAGTTAAATCTCTAAAGAATAGACTCTAAAAGTGTTTCTATTTTGACTTTATGTAAAAATAAGGAAATTTTAAAGTGTAGTTGACTTCCAATTTTGTCCTTGATGTGATGGGTAAAAGTAAAATGTGATGGATTGAGTATTAGAGAACAAGTATGATGTGATAGGTAGGGTATGAAAAAATAAGGGTAAAAGTAGTTTTTTAATAGAAAGTGGAAGTGTTTTGTTAGAAATAAAAAAATAAAAAAGGAAGAGTTTTTGAGAACGGATGGAGTATTAATTATTTGAAACTTAATGATATTGCACTCCCTTGCATCGGGATTGATGGAGGAGGTAAATTGTAGGATGTGTCTCGCCTACAAGCAGTGGCGGACCTAGAAATTTTGGACCATGGGATCGTGTTTGTGAGATGTTTTATCAACACACATGTCGTGCATTAAGTAAAATAGTATTTTCTTTGAATGTTTTTTCTCATTCCGGTTTATAATGTTTATTAAAAAAACTTTTATTGAATTTATTTAAATATTGGCTTTGAATATAAACTTAAAAATAATGGATTTAAAAATAGCATAAAAATTTTACTTCCTCCGTCCCAGAGTATTTGTCTACTTTTGACCTTTTGGGATCAAAATTGGTAAACTTTGACCCCGAATTAAATAAAAAAGAGAAAAAATATTGATATGAAATTAATTTTATTAGATTTATTATATAAAACATTTTCAAAATATTATTTTAATAAACGAATATACAATATATATCTTATTTAAATCAATAATAAATGTTAACTAAATAATTAAGAATCCTAATTATAAAAGGTAACTAAATAAACTAGGAAACTAATTAATCACCTAACAAATATATTATTCACTATTAATAGTTAACTAACTATAAATAATTTCTTACCTTAATAATAATAATACCAATAATAACAATAACAACAACAACAACAACAACAACAACAACAACAACAACAACAACAACAACAACAACAACAACAACAACAACAATAATAATAATAATAATAATAATAATAATAATAATAGTCCCGTAACATGGCCAAATCACAATTAGTCACATTTCTTCATTATAGTCATACAAGAGCCCCAATACTTCCAATGTTGTTGCAAACACATATAATGAACCCTGAGTTCATATAAAAGACTATAGCTACTGAACTCAAAGTGTCTCAAACATATCCCAATCAAGAACGAAAAAGAATCATACGGAGTATATAACATCTGGCAAAAAAGCCACAAGATTCCAAACATAAAGCTTAGAGTACTAAGAAGATCAAGAACACCCATTGTTTTGCTCTAAATACCAAAAGAGATAACCAAACCAGATTTATGTTGAGCTGTACTGCCCACAACAACGAAAGTTTCACAAAATATATAAAACAATTCAGAGTAGTGTTTAATCCAAATTGATCTGCCCAACATTCCAAGTCAAAAATCTCAAAAATTAAGCTCCCATTTGCTCTTGTTGAATATCAGCTTTAGCCTCACAATAACATTAACCTGTTCATAAACCAATATAATGCATTACTGTCACTGAAAAGAAAAGTATATCTTCTAAGGAGAAAAAATCTAAACAATACAGAATCCCTTAACTACTAAAATGAGAACAAAGCTTGAACTTGCTAGGATCGTAGTGCAAAGTATCAAAAAAAGGAGGAATTACTTTCATAGATAAGCTGATGAGAATCCTCCGGCCTCTTCTCCGAGCCATCGGGTCATGTGATAGAAATCAAGATCCCGGGCTTGGACTTTGCATCTCCTTGCATCTATGAACTCTCTTGGTCCATTAGGCTTGGGCTTGAACACGAATAGGCCCTGTGATGCACGGATATGAAACCTGAATAGCATAAATGAAAAAAATTAACAACTAAAAAAAGTCAAAATGATGCATATATTATATTCGATATTATTCTATACTAAGGAGTTCTTAGAAAAAATCTATATTTGTACTATTGAAGTACTCACCATAATTTTGCGTTAAAATCAGCAGTATCAAGATCAATCTTTAATAACACGAAATCCTCATCGTATTCATATGCTTTTCCAACGTGGGAGAACTCCTATATGTAATGTACAATATAAATTCTAGTTTTAGTTTGTATAATATGGAGTAGAAATTAAGGGATAGTTTTGGATACTTTTTTAATGACAAAATAAGGATAAAAATTGTAATAATCACCTCTTCAATGGATTGAGGATGATCAAGACCGGCGCTGTATAGATATGCAAAAGAATCTAATTATGAGTTTACAATTAAATCATATTTGAATATTTGATGAGAGTTAAAGATAAAAATTGTTAGAAATGTGTAATCACTGGCCGACCTGGAATATAGAAGGACAATGAGAGTTTTGTCTTTATAGTGATTATCATTCAAGAAGCTTTGGAACTCATCCCATGTGTGAACCTTCAATTCTTTTTCGTGGAACAAATTTGGCTTCACAAAATAATGTAAACTCTTAAGGAGAATCATATATATATATATATATATATATATATATATATATATATATATATATATATATATATATATATGTAACACGAGAAACTGTGGCTGAACCCGTTCGTACGGTTCCCAAGTGCCATCATCACTTCCCCCATCGGCCCACTCCACGAGACATTCCTTTACCGGTCGCCCCATCACTAACACTTATCGTTCGGCGAGGATCCTCACCTGTTCCGATAGGGGCTGCCCATGTGCAAACTCTACTAGCAGGGCGAATTGGTTTTGCTCTAGGGACACTCCAAAGTACGGTTGCAAGAAGGACGCATGGAAGACGGGGTGGATCCTTGACCCATCTGGTAATTTTAGTCAGTAGGCCGCCTCCCCAATTCGCTCTACCACACAATAGGGCCCATAATACCTTCGTGCTAATATCTGCAAACTTCGTCGAACCACGGAATGTTGGTAATACGGTTGTAGTTTCAACAACACCTAGTCTCCTTCCTTGAACGGTAAATTCTTTCTATGCTTATTAGCCGCCATAACCATTCGTCGTTGCGCCTCTTTTAAATTCTCCCACAATCGCCACAGTGGGGAATCACGCTCTTGCAAAAAATTATCAACCTCAGGCACCTTGCTCTCCCCATGGCGGTAGGGTGAAAATGATGGTGGTGGTTGCTCATACAAATCTTCAAACGAGGTCATTTGTAGGCCGGAGTGGACGCTTGTGTTCAGGGCGTATTCGACCTAGGGTAATAGAATCGTCCACCTTGAGGGTTTGTCATGAGCAAACGCGCTCAAGTATTGCTCTACCGCTCGGTTCATTATTTCCGCTTGTCCGTTGGTTTGGGGGAGTACTCCTCTTCAAGGGCATCCCGCTGGCCTTCAAAGCTTCTTGCAAAAAATTATTGAGAAAAACACGATCCCAATCCGACACAATTGTGCTTGGAAACCCGTGGAGTTTAACCATGATATATATCAATGAACAAATGAGTTGTGCGGTGGGCGTCAAACCCAGCGGGTAAAGCCCCCAAATGGATCAGACCACCACCACCATTATTATCGTATAGCCCCTAGACGACGGAAGACCCACGATAAAATCAATAGATATGTCTTCCCATACTTGAGTCGGCACCAGCATCGGCTACACTAACCCCACTGGCAGATGTGTGGAGTACTTTTTAGTTTGACATGTCTGGAACTGCTGAACATTAGCCTTGACATTGGTTCTCATTTGCGGCTAGTAAAAGCTCTCGGCAAGCCGAAGAAAGGTCTGGTGAACTCCTAGGTGTCTAGCCAGCGGTGTATCGTGATGTTCTAGGTTGAGTTTCTGATGCAAGTCTGAGAACGAACCCACACATATATGTCATTTGTAATAGAGCAGTCCATCAACGATTGTATAGGGTTCAGCAAGCTGCCCCTTGGCGTGCTCCTCCTGTCGCGCTATAAGGCCTAGTTGGGTGGTTTTCTCTCTTCGATACTCCTCCTTTAAATCTGGCACTGGTGAATAAATAGCGAGGAGTAGTTGTCCATCCCGATCGGCCTCATCCCTCCGTGATAGGGCGTGCGTCACCCTGTTAGACGCTTCCGATTTATATTCTATTTTGAATTGATACCCCAAAAGTTTTTGGATGTAAAAATGTTGGTCCGGGGTTTGGATCACCTGTTGTAGTAACTCACGAAGGCTTAGGTGGTAGTCAAGAATTCCCGTCCTAACACATACTCTACCACTGCTAGACCGCCTCTACAATCGCATATAGCTCATTGCGGTCTTCAATTGCTCGAATGCAGCGTCGGCCCTCTCTATCCAAATAAAGGCACCCTTTTTAAGTAAATTGGTCAATGGTGCGGCGATCTGGGCATAGTGTCGGACAAACCGTGTGTAGTATCCCGTAAGCCCAAGAAAACCCCTTAAATTTCGTGGGGTGTTGGGCGTGGTCATTACTCCAAGGCTAACATTTTGGCATTATCGGCTTTCAAAAACCCATTTGTGTCGATGTGCCCTAAATATTCCACTTGCTCTGTCTCGAATGTACACTTCCAACGTTTGACGTAAAATCAGCTATTCCAAAGGAGAGAGAATATATGTTCCAAATGTTGGTGGCGTTCCTCCATAGTTGGGCTATAGACTAATATGTCTTCGAAGAACACAATTAGGAAACACCAAAGGTAAGCGGCAAATAATTGGTTAATGCAAGCTTGGAAGGTCGAATGAGCGTTCGTTAGGCCGAACGGGATGACCAAAAATTCGTATTGCCCCTCATGCATCTTAAAAGCCGTCTTGTGTATATCACGATCGTTCATCCGAATTTTATGGTACCTCGACTGAGGGTCCAATTTTGAGAATACCTGTGCTTTCCCTAATTCGTCAAACAACTCGTCAGCCATTTGAATGGGAAAATGGTTGGGAATTGTCACCGTGTTTAAAGCTTGGTAATCCACACAAAACTGGTAAGTCCCATCTTTCTATCATTCTAGAAGCACTGGTGATGAGAACGGTCTTCGAATCGGTCGTATAAGCCCCTGGTCCAGCATTTGCTTCACATACCGTTCTATTTTTGCTTTTTGGAAGTTGGGTATCAGTAGGCCCGTACATCCAGAGGGGCCACGCCAGGCTGAGTCATCTACCTCAGCAGTTCTTCCTTTGCCGCGCCAGGCCAAAACCCCCTTCCGTTGCTGCCTCAGTCTGGACTGCCATGATGATGTCTCTGGCGTTGACTTCTTGTCGTGCATGCAACGCTCGTAGGTGATGCAGGGAGGCCTGTTTAGGTGGTAGTGCATCCCCACGCAGTGTCACCGTCTGTCCCCCTCAACCATTGTACACCAAGAACCACGCCATGCCCGTGAATCAGGAGAATGAAGAGATCCATAATGAATATCGTTCCCTGAAGCTCCAGCGACACATTCTGGTACTGTTAGAAGCAACATAAAGAATCTTCGTTACCGACGTACACTCGGAACGCCGCAACTACCTCGATACTCAACCCCAGTTTCTCCACTATGCGGGGATGCACAAATTTGTGGGTGCTTCCCATGTCGATCAATACATCCAGCCCGTGTTGTCCAATCGTGTTAGTTAGTCGCAACGAACGAGGCATGGTGAAACCCGCCATACTATTTGAACTAGATATGTCGGCAGCCATTTTTATTTCTTCCACCCTTTCTCCGTCCTCCTCCTCCCAATCATCTGCTCCCATGATCAGGATAAATTGTCCACACTTGTGCCCCTTGTGCCACTTTTGGTCGCAATTGTAACATAATCCCTTTGCGTCCTTCTCCAAACGTTCTGCCTGAGTGAGACGTTCTATTGGGGGTGTTGTGGAGGATTCACGCCCCTCGGGAGAAGATTTAACCCCACACCCTAAATAGGCTAGCTTGGTTACACACAAAACCAATGCCTCGATCACGGCACAGCTAGGGCTGCTGCGATTGAGGTTGATGCCCCATGACAAACTCTTCATCCCTACCGATTTCATGATGGCTTGATGTTTGCTTTCAATTCTCGGGCCAAAGCAAATGACTCTCACAATGTGTTGGGTTTTAGTAAATTGATCTCGTGCTGGAGGTGATTCTTCAAACCCGTATGAAACCACGATTGAAGATAGGGTCCAGGAGCGTCGATGACGTGGGTGAAAATCTTCTCGAATGTTGCTTGATACTCCATGACTTCCCCTACCTGTCACACACAGGCTAATTGGCCGACATAGTCCACATAATGAAGCAGATCGAACCGTAGTTTGAATTTCTTGACGAAGTTTTCCAAGTTCTCGATCTGGCCGTTGTTCCTCCGCCATCGATCCGAAGCCTGCCCTTCAAGCATCATGGTTACACAACGTAACCTATCATTTGGTGGTGTTTCATAATATGCAAATTATACTTGCATCGGGTACAACCAATGCAGGGGTTTCGAGTCGTTGCTCTTGGGCGGATCCAACTTAGGCTTCGGCATCTGAAACCTCCGCCTCTTCCATCATGGTTGTCCGGATGTCGCCCCCCATCCGTCGCCTCCTGCTTGGATGCTGGAAACGGTGGTCTAGATGGTGGTCAGAGCCGCGTCAAGCCGCTCGAACTAGTACTCCAAATCTCTCTGCATTTGTACCATGGCAGGTCTCATCTCACGAACCCTAGTGTCTAGTTCGTTCGTGGTGGACGATGTGTTTGTCATGTCTCTCAACGAGAGCACTTTGTTATGTAAAAGGGGGGGAAGGGCTTCAAGTGCCTTCAAACTCCAAAAGGAAACTAGAGTTTTTTATTATTCAATACTAAATATGAGAAGTACGTCCTCTATTTATAGACGTAGAAGAACCCTAATCCTAGACTACCCTGTCGGTTCAATAAAGGCGTCAAGAGAAAGAACCGAAAAGAAAAATCTTGAAGGGACTTATAATCCGTCCACCTAAGAAAACCTATTACATATAAATGAAAATATAAAAGTATTTAATAAATAACTTCAAAACATAATGTCCATGCCAACCCGGGGCTTTCCTCGTCCGCCGCTCTCGTAGTTGCCCACGTTCCTCAGCTTTAAGGCTGAAACCCTCACCCTTTGGCCTGGTTCGTCTTGGCCCAGCCCGCTATCAACAACAATCTCAAACTTTTGGTTTCTTGGTATTGTATGATCACTGAGGTAATCCATCTCTCCCAAAATGGATTCCACATGAACTATACTATTCTAAAATCACGATTACTTTTGTTTATGTGTATATTTTTATTAATTATTTAATAAATAAACTAAATTCTCAATATAATGTCACTTTTTGCTTTTAATTTATATTTGTAGCATTTTTGAAATTGTTTTTAAATATGCAAGTTTCTTTTTTGTTTCTATACGAATTTATTTAAGTAAAATGAATTGAGAAAAAACTTGTCACAAAAACAATCCTCATAAGAAAGATAATGCCATTTTTAAATAATAAAATAATAAACACTTCCCATGAAAGTTTTCGATTACAACATACTTCATCTGTTCCCTTAAAATTATTCATGTGACATTTTGTCAATTAATATCTAGTCTCTTCGTCCCGTAAAAAACTTCACATTTTGACTTTAAAGGATTTAAGGTCAACGTATTTTGATGTTGATTTTTCAAAAATGTCACTTGATGTGATAGATAAAGTAGAATGAGATGGATAGATTAATAGAGAAAAAGTGTGATGTGATACGTAGATTAAGAATTAATAGGAATAAAAGTGATTTTTTAATAGAAAAGGAGAGCGTTTTTTGGGACGGATGAAAAAGGAAGGGAAAAGTTTTGTGGGACGGAGAAAATAATATGAAGTATATAAATAAAAACAATGTAAAATAAAAATTGGTTAAATAAAAACTACATATTAAAATGAACTATGGGATTTTCTCACATGCCTCTCAAGGGCATGCATGGATGCCCTACCATTACTATTTTGACAAATGAACTATTTTATGATTAAGCTTATTAATATTAACAAGTGTTAATAACTCCGTGCATCGCATGAGCTCATATACTTTCTAAACTTTTGACATTTTATAAATATAATTTTATTTATTTTAAATGAATAAATTTTTCACTCAAAGATATACGAAGTATTTTTAAATATATAGAAAGTATACTTTAAATATTGTTGTACATGCACTAAAAATTCTACAACTATTATATTTAAAAAATATTACATTAAATAAAACATAAAAATGCCAAAAACAATTTCATATCTTTGAAGGTGAAATGTTTTTTCTTTTTGCTGAAAGTGCAAAATTTTTAAATTAATAATAAAGAGTCATATACATGCTCTTTTTTAAAATTTTACAATCAATATGCATATTTAAAATGCGGAGTAAATTTTACAATGGTGAAATATATGCTTATACAATTGTTATTAAATTTTAAAGTTTTATACAAAATATAATCAAAGTAATGTTTTTTATGCTAAAAAATAATATTCATTTAATATAATACCATAAAATATACTCCCTCCGCCCAAAAAGTTTGTTACGTTTAGAAAAAACTGCGTCCCGTAAAGTCTGTTACATTTCTATTAAAAAACCACTTTTACCCCTTACTTTTTCATACCCTACCTATCACATCATACTTTTTTCTTAATTATCTACCCATCACATCCTACTTTTACCCATCACATCAAGGGTATTTTTGGAAAATCAATACCAAAATATCTCTCCCTTAATTTCCCAAAAAGTCAAAGCGTCCCATTCTTTTTGGGATGGAGGGAGTATTAAAAGATCTTTAAAAAAGAAGTTTAATGAACCAATAATGAAATGCCTCCACCACACACACACACACACACACACACACACATATATATATATAGATTTTGGTTCTGGTGAGAATACAATCTTAGGAGAGAAATGAGAATGAATCTGGTACTTTAGATTGTGAGATCTAAGGGTCAAGATTTCATCAAAATTAGATGCACCAAAATGGTGCGAAAATGCATCACGTCGAATTGCACCATAAACCTTCGAAAATGCACTATCTCAAAATCTGAGCGCAGGATGCAATCTGAACCGCACGATGCATCAGATCTGACAGCTAGATTTTATTCTCATTTCTCTCCACAAGGTGCATTCTCACGGGAACCAGCCCCTATATATATATATATATATATATATATATATATATATATATATATATATATATCTATATATATATATATATATATATATCTATGTATGTATGTATGTGTATATGTATGTATTTATGTATTTATGTATGCATGCATGCATGCATGTATGTATGTATGATGTATGTATGTTTGTATATGATAGGATAGGATATCTCAATGACCGAGTATGTTTTAAATAATTCTAATTTACTCTTCATCCTTTTCTCATTGAAAATAACACAAAGTGGTAAATAATGTTAAAGTTTTACTACCTGCTAGTTCCTTTGTTTCTTTTTGTTTTCTTTCTTAATCCTTTTTTCATTCTATTTATTCTTAAGCCTAGGTTATTTTTTCTATCTGTAATATACACTCTTGTTCGTTTGTTAGAGATTTTGTAGTATTCATAATACCATATTCTCAACAGTAGACCTTACAAATTTCATTTTCAATTTTTTTCTTGATAATCCACATGCTAATATTATTTCTCTAAAATCTCACACAAAGCTTGTGATCTCTTTTCTTTTTTAAAACAGTTAAATATCTAACAAGAATTCAAAAGCGTCATGTTATATTTTTAAAATCATAATTCCAAAAATTAAAACCTTTTAATATTTTTTTTGAAAAATTAATTCAAATAATCTCACTCAGCATTTATTTGTGCAAAATTGACACTTTCTGTAGAAATTCATCAAATTATAATTAGTTTCTTAACGGCGGCCCAAAACTTGCACGCATACGAAAATCTGATATTATTTCACGTGACAGTGAAAAGTACATTATTTTTAGAAGAACATGAAAAACTGAGATTATTTCTAATAATTTTTTATCAAAATATATGGAATATCTTATTTATCTTTTAAAGAAAGAAAACAAAAAATTCAAAAGAACTGGGGAATACAAATTCAAAATTGTTTAATACTTTTTCTTTTCATCAATAAAAAGCAAACTTAAGAAAAGATAGAATTAATGAATAAAGGATGGAGAATAAGTTAAAATTATCTAAACCATACTCCATAAGTGAGATATTAATACTAATAAGCTTTATCATAAAATAGTCCACATGTCAAAATAATAGTGGGAGGGTATCTATGCCATCTCAAATTGAGAGGCATGGGAGAAATTAATCCTTATATTATACGGAGTATTATTGATCTGACTAGCTAACTAGTTAACAAAGTATATTCTTTTTGCAATTTATATGCGAAGTTTTAAAATTTGGATTAAGAGGATTGCATTCATGCTATAGATTTAATAATCATTTTGAAAATATTATTAAGTAATAAATCTGTGACAAAGGACGCAATTAATTTTGTAATACGTGGTAAGTTTTTATATATACTCCGTAAATTTTAAACAATAGAGAAAAAGACATGCATGTTTAATGTTTTATATACTTACGCCGTCATACGAAACTAGAGCGCTAGTATAAGGTACGCTTATTATCACAGGCTGTTTCTCCAATGCATTTAGTATTTCTGTCTCATCATCCAACAGTGTCCTCCAGTCATCAAGCCTGTAGTGTACCCCTGGGTTTATTTTTGTTAAAAAATGCAAGAAAATTAGACTACTACTACACACACACATATATATATATATATAAAGTGATTGAATAATAGGTTACCATAGAACTTTGACCCCTTGTCTTATTTCCTTGGTATGGACACTCATTCTCCAAACACGTGCCATGTATTTTTAGTCTTTGAAGAGCGCATGTAGCGGGGCCACCCCGAATTTTCTGTTCCTCAGGATAAAGGTTATTCAACACCTCTTGTACCGAGAACTCAAGAGGTATTTGTTGAGGGTCTGATTGCTGGTACACACCTTCGAACCCCTTGACTGAGTTCCATATCCAGCATGAGGCTAAACAACAAGCATTCAAATGTTATTTTAATAATGGCCGGACGATTTGCTTGAATTGTTTTTGTTTTGTCATATATTGACCATAAAAAGCAGGGCAAAACAAGTCATATACATATATATATATATATATACACACACACACACACGGATAAGGAGTTATTATACTTACGCACGTCTCCTTGATTTCCTACTTTCTTCGAGACAACTCCTTCATCAACCCAGTTCACTTTGTTAACATACGCACCCTATATACTCCGTATATCATTTCCAAAAAACAAGTTAATAAGTATCTAGGCCAAATTATTCAAGAAAAAAGAAAAAAAAGTGCATGCGCTCAAAATAAAACCATATAAAGAAGAACTTAATTATAATGGTACGTGTTCATCTTACCGGTATATTATTGTAGACACATTTTGCACGGTTTTCAATTATCCTTGCTCTATGGACTGTTATAATCAGGAGAGAATAGAAAATGATAATTAGGGTAAAAACATCCATCCATCCAAAAGTGAAATTTTTGGGAGCAATAAAGAATACATACTTACCTTTATCTACTTCAAAAGTAGCCATGATTCAGTCCCAAAAAGACCGGCCGGAGAACTTAGCTACTTTGTTTGCAACCAGGAGCTGAGGGAGAAAGAAGATAGATTAGTTTATTAGTTTCATCAACTTTGAGATATATATAGATGCACCATTTATTTCGTTCGTCATTGGAGTCCAACTACCTGTATTGGTTGGATGCCAATAAATTTACCTTGTCATTCGAAAAACTCCCTCTGTTGAGCAACAAAGTAGTACGGAGGATATAAATGCTATTATTACTCCCTATTTCAATCCGCTGGTCATTCGAAATGCTCTATCTCCATCCGTTGTGCAACAAAGTAGTATATAAAAATGCTATTTATTACTCCCTCTTATTCGAAATGCTCTAACTCCCTCTTTATGTCGGACCAGCTAGCCATCATTTATTAATTCTTTCTTTTTCAGATTGAGAATTAATTGTTCCTTCTTCATTTACCCCCTGTTGATAAACGAAGATAATGCGGATCGATTTGAGAGTTGTGTAACATTTTTAGATTGATTATTTTTGTTGTTCAACCCAAATATCAATCCGATAAAACTCAAAATTTTCAAGAACAAGTTTGGATAGATTGATGTGGATTTATAGATCCGCGGAAGGCCGGTCTCGAAAAATAAAAAATGAAATTGGCCCGGGGCTCTTCCCGTTGAACCCAGCTCGGGGGCACTACCCCTGAACCCCTATCAAGGGGCAGCACCCCCTAGAACCCCCATTAAAACGGGACTTTTATCATAATAAACTCGATAAAGCATGCACCCCGCACCACCAAATTTATTTGATGATTATTATGATACCATTGGCCAAATAGTTTTTATTTTTACACTAAAATATACTGCCTCCATCCCAAAAAGTCCGACACATTTCGAAAAAACTGCATCCCATAACAGTACGTTACATTTCTATTAAAAAACCACTTTTATCCCTTACTTTTTCATACCCTACCTATCACATCATACCTTCTTTCTAATAATCTACCCATCACATCCTACTTTTATCCATCACATTAAGGGTATTTTTGGAAAGTCAACACCAAAATATCCCTATTTTAATTTCCTAAAAAGTCAATATGTACCAATCTTTTTAGGACGGAGGGAGTATAACACTCCTCATCTCTGTTCCAAAATGAATGTCACTCTCCAATCCAACAATATGCAAAATCTCATTACTTTTCACATTATTTTATTATAAATTAGTATATATTGAAATAAGAAATACAAATTTTACCATTCAATACTACTCTTTTCGTTTTTTTAAAACACTTCCTCTTTCATTTTTTTCACTTCCAACAAAATACTTCCACTTTCTATTAAAAAACCACTTTTACCCTTACTTTTTCATACCCTGCCTATCACATCATACTTTATCTCTAATAATCTATCCATCACATCTTACTTTTACCTATCACATCAAGGGCAAAATTGGAAGTCAACTACAATTTAATACTTCCTTATTTTTACACAAAGTCAAAATAGGAACACTTTTTCCAAACGGAGGGAGTACAACAAAAATTCTACAAATTGTTAGATGACAAGATTATTTTATTTTATCAAATGATCAATAAATACATAAAAAGAAACAAAATTTATCAACAAACTGTATATTTTCGATACGAATATATACTCCCTTAGTTCCATTAAACCATTCCTATTTTGACTTTGGGCCAACATAACGAAAGTCTATTTTTGGTTGAATTTCAAATTTTGAACTTCTCAAATCAATGATGATTTTTCTATTCACATAGAAGAACACAACGTATTTTCAATAAATAAAGATTTGTTTATTGCACTTAAACAATCTCAATTTAAAGAAAATGGAAAACTAACATATAACATGCCAAAATCACTTTGTAACGAATTCTAAGGAAAATGAATCAACTTATGGGGCTAAGAAGTTCAAAATCCTTAAAATCAACGAACGCAAGCACAACAAAGAAACACGTATGAATTCGGAGTTCATTTAAACATCTTATGGAGCTAAAATAGCTTCAACAAAAACCAAATTCTACATAACAACCTACTTATGAATTTGAAACAATTCAATCAATTTAACAATAACTTGTGCAATAATTGAAGTATATAAGAAAGAATCAATTCTCATTTATAAGGGAATATATATAAACATTTAAAACAAGAACATACACCCAAAAGAACACCAACCGTTATATTTTTTTAGATTCTTTTTACATGAAAAAGTAACAAAAAATGATATATTGAAAAAAACTCTTTTACATAGAAACAACAAAAGAATTGAAAAATTAAAGGATTGACTTCCGGATTAAGTCCGGAAGCCAATTTATTTGGGTACATATAGAAGAAGATGATGAAGAAATTGACAGATTGGAGCTCCATGGTTCATTCCCCCCTCTCTCTGATGCGATTCCTTGTCCAATTTATAGCCCGGAGGAATTTTTTTTCCGTTGGAGCGTTTTGAGTGAAAAGAGAAAACAAAGAGCTGTTGTTGACTTGATTGGGAGAGCAATTCATGGCCGAACGTTGAAGGAGAGGCATTACTGCCGATTTGAATAGGTCGCTGCTCCTCTTGAATTGTTCCGGGATGAAATCGCAGACCCCTTTTTTTTTGTTTCTTTTTCTGTTGAGATGAGAGTAAGGGATGAGAGTGATGGGCTTATCCTTTTTTTTGTTAATACGTAGTAATATGTTTGGCTCCAGCCCAAATTCAATCTATTCCTTCCAACTTGAACTTCAATTTAGCCCGTTTGCCACATTTTTTCTCCACAAAATAAAATATCTGGTAACTTGGGTTAGAAAAATAAAAATATTAACTATTTTTGAATGGAAATAAAAGATTTGTAAAAATAGGAATTAAAATAAAATTAAGCTAAACAGATAAAAATAAACCAATAAAAATATCAAAAATGCCAAAAAGAGAATAAAAAATATTACCCCAAACCCGAGTTATCAATGAGTAATAACTAATCTAAGAAGTGGTGATCAGAGGATGAAGAGAAGTTAACAAAGAAATGAAAGGGAACCCAAACCCAAATGGAGGTCGGGCACATAACTCTTTGAGGAAGGCCATTCAATACATGTTAAGGTGAATGACACTTCACCTTTTAAAGAAGCAGTAGCAATCAATTGGTCCATCTCTTTCTGATTACGAGTGGCTTGCCGGTCTCCTTTTGGCACCGGCCCTCAGGCAATCAATTGGTCCATCCATTTCTTTAGCATAATGCACTCTGCAGTGTTGTGGGTGGTATTACGGTGGTACTCATAGTACTTGGGTGCATCCTAGATGCCATTATTCTCTCGGAAGTGAGAGGGGACTAGGAGGCTCTAGAGGGTGTGGACAGGCGGTTTCCCCACTTGGTACCCTATGGGGTTTGGTTCTCCCAGCTTTACCCCTTGCAGGGGTGACCCTCTTACTCTTCTAATTCTCCTCATGCATTTTTTCGTGGGGAGTGGATTTCTCCCCAGCTCCTTGCGCACATCCCCATAGGGGGAGTGCTTCCTGAAGCATCGCGATGAGGGCTTGGTCGTTCAATCCTAGACGTCCCTAGCCTCCGTATAATACATATAAGGAAATCAACAAACAAGAAATCAAAATCGCGCATGATTCTCTGTAGATCCGTAAAAGTCATTGCTCTTCCGTACCCTGGCCGCGACGTTTCTCCCTTGGTTGCGTGTCCACCAAAAATTGACCACAGGTCGGGTTATCCCAGGCCCAATCTTCCGTCTCCGGGCCTATATCTTTTGCAGGCTCTACTAGTTTTTGTGTGTAACACCCCGAAAATAGGTCTATCCGAATTAATTAATTGATAATTAATTAATTACTGAGAAGGACCCAAAAATAAGTAATTTATAAAGTTTGTCAATAAATAATGAAAATTATATCATTATGTAGAGTTTAACTGTTTGATTCCAATGGGTTCAATTGGATTTCAATTCGGAGAAAGTTGGACAAAAAAGTGTTCCTTAACTGGGACCAATTTAGTCCCAATCACGGAGTTGCGTTTACAGCCCGTAGAAAGCAGCCGTCTGCTCCACTGAGACACCAAAACAGGAGAAGGAGATCATCAATGTGTCTTCTTCCTCTTCACTTGGCTATATAAGGACCATCTCCATTTCTTCAATTCCTCACCATTTTTTACAAACTTTCTATCTATTCTATTGGTGGGAGTGGGGAGAACGCAGTGGTGCTGTTGTATTGGTGTGAGGTCGCCGGAGTTGAGAGCTATCGTCGCCGGATGTTTCACCAGAAAATCTTCAAAACCTCCATTACACTTCGAGGTAAGCCCGTAGATATATCTAGTGACTAGAATGTTCGTATAGATCGTTTCTACGTTCATAAACAATTGTTTGGTTGAGTTTTGTGTTTGACAGGCTTGAAGAACCAAGAATCATTAACCATGAAATTGATGTTAAAACTATGAATTAATGATTCTAAAATGATCTATGAACCTTGGAGAACATTTCTTTATAGTTTTTACGAAGTTCGGTAACCAAAAATGGTATTTTCGAAATTGGACCCTAGAGGTTGAAGAAGACGAACAGTAGCTAAAATACAGCAGGGAGGATCGATCATCCTCATTGGATTGATCCCCTGGGAGTAAATTTTATAGTCTGGATCGATCGATCCTCCAAAACTCTAACCCGAAAATTTGTTTGAAAATGTTATTTTTGAGCTCCAAAATCCTATTTTTGATACTAATTGATTATGATCATTATAAAAATGATTTTTCATAATAAAAATGATGTTTTTAACAAATAAAATCTTGTGTGATGCATGATGGTAAGTTAGGGTATTAACATCCGAAGCTAGGCCGCTAATTGTTATTGAATATTATGTTGATTGATGATTATGGTAATGATTATTGATTGATGATTATGATGATTAAATCTTAAAAAATATTCTGATTAAAAATGATGATTGTAATCATAATGAATATATTGATATTTGTGAAAATAATATGTATTGTTAAGGGTATATAGAAGACCTCTAAGATATACACATATTAATGTTGATTGGAAAGGTATTTAGAAGACCTCTAAGATATACCTATTAAGTTAGGCCTTTCGGGTATGAACCCCGGTGGCCAGGGTTGAAACGTACATACGGGATCCAAGAACCAAATTTGAGTACCTACTCGTTTGGGGGTGCCACCCACCCAACAGTGAACACTACGCTGTCAGTTTTTGGTTTGCCTTAAGTGAAGGTAAGTTTAAGATTTTCAAAATCCTTTTATCTTAAACTAGGCCTAGCTTAAGGATTATTAGGAGTACTCTATATACTGGAATATAATTTAATTATTTAAACTAGAATTTATTTAAGGGTTGACAAACATTAAAATGATTAGCTTTAGACTCAGAATAGTTTAAGGATATTATCTAATAATAAACATTGAATATGAATGAATATTGAAGGATGATTATTGAATTAAATATTGACTAATGAATATTGAATATCTGAACTAAACATTATGTACATAATATCAAATAATTTGGTTATGAATTTAGAAGCCTTTTATATGGATGTTCGACCATCTCAACTTAAATGCTAAGCATGTAGTATGTTTTATTTGCTACACGCATGTAAACAAAATGAATGAAGTAATGATTTCCTAGAGGTAGACAAGACGAGATGGTCGGGCGGGTGTGATTTGAATTTTGATTACTGTTTGAAAAGACATAAGTAATTATGTTTGTATTATGTTTTATTATGCTTGCGCAACATTAAATTACTCCGTTACTATTTTGAATGCTTTATTATGAAATAAAGTTTTAAATATTTGAAATATTTTTTGAATGTTTACGAATCTCAAGTTTATACTTTAGACCGAAAATGACTACAGACCTAGATGGATTAGGGTGTTACAGTGTGGGTTGCAGAGAGATTCCAGTCTGAGCCGCCTGATTATTGGGCCATTGGCCCAACAAAAAGTAAATTTTTTCAGACTTGGTGCGCACCTCTATAGGTGAGTGAATAGAGGTGTCACCCACTTTGACTATTTTTGTGTGATTAATCCTCTCAAGTAACCTTGTGCATAAAATGCTCAAGAACACACAACCACAAAGGGAAATAAGAAGTACTCCCTCCATCCCAAAAAGTTTGTTACGTTTAGAAAAAACCGCGTCCCGTAAAGTCCGTTACATTTCTATTAAAAGACCACTTTTACCACTTACTTTTTCATACCCTACCTATCACATCATACCTTTTTCCTAATAATCTACCCATCACATCCTACTTTTACCTATCACATCAAGGGTATTTTTGGAAAGTCAATACCAAAATATCCCTCCCTTAATTTCCCAAAAAGTCAAACCGTCCCATTTTTTTTGGGACGGAGGGAGTATAAAAGAGTAAAGAACACCACGATCTATCTTGGTTCCGCCTAATGCCTATATCTAGTCCCCGCAATACAACTGTGTTCGAGATTTCACTGCCCAACCAAACTTAATGGTGTTTTGTAAACCTTAAACCTCGAGAACTTGAGTCACAAAGCCTCTTAACCTATCATCTACAACTTGATCACACAAGTCATGGGATTTCATCACTTGACGTAGTCCCTTTGTCAAGATTTCTCTCATTGTATTTTTGTTTTTAATTGATCATTTGATAAAGTTTATATAGCAAAATGAAATAATGATGAAAGTTGATATACCATTCTTGAATTTACCCAAATTTCTAGACCGTTTTTTAAGGCGTTACAAAGAAAATATCGATTTAATAAATTAATCGTGTCGCCTAATATTTTGTAGAACTTTTGTTGTAGTATTGAATGGTAAAATTTGTATTTCTTATTTCAATATATACTAATTTATACTTAAAATAATCCTATAAGTAAGAGCAAATTCCATAAAAGGTCCCCAGTTATATTTGTTTTTCCATATTTAGTCACTACATTTCAAATTTACTAATTTAGCCCCCAATTATTATATTCATTTCCACGAATGGTCCTTTGTTAACATTTCCGTTAACAACATGGATAAAATTGTAAATTCAACATGGAACCCAAATTTAAAACCAGTAACCTTCATGGATGAGTTTTAAGGTTTATTTTCTTTGCAATTTCTTGAGACTAGCCGATAAAATTCATCCATAAAGCTTATTGTTTTGATTTTAGGTTGCACCAAGAAGATTAATAGTTGAGAGAGGAGTGATTATTTCAATTTTGGGTTTAGAGCTTCAAACTCATCAGCGAGTTTAGGAAAGAGTACGAGAGGAGGGAGTAAGCTTAATTGAGAAGAAAGAGAAGTATAAATATACAATTTTATCCATGTTCTTAACAAAAACGTTAACAAAGGACCATTCGTGAAAAATGATATAATAATTGGGAACTAAATTAGTAATATTTGATATGTTAGAACTAAATATGTAAAACGACTTATACTTGAGCTTTTATGGAATTTATTCTAAAATTCATGAGACATCCATTTTGGAAGAGATAGGAGCAGGGGTTAAATTAAGTTATGAATTTAACAATTGCCCTTCCTAGTGAATTGTTATTGTAATGAGTTTGGGGATTGATGATATTATATATATATATATATATATATATATATATATATATATATATATATATATATATATATATATGACTTTATTTAATAAAAATGAGCTTTAGATAAATAAAAATTGTTTTGTATTTTAACATAAAAATGACTTTATTTAATTTATCGTATTGATAACTTTCAAAATTGTATTTTATTATGCTAATATGCAATATAAATTGAGAGTAATTGGAGTTCAAAGTTTGTCCAGTTTGACTCGAAAAAGTCAAATTGCACAAATACACTGGGACGAAGGTAGTACAATTTCGATATGAATTTTTTATAATGAAAATTAGGTCATTTATGTTTAAAATGACCTAATTAATAGTATTTACCCGAACCGGACCAGAAAATTCAGGTCTTGATCGGTCCGGACCGGTATGTAACACGTGCGGTCTTCGGTCCTTGCAAATAGAGGATTTCAGTTTAGGTCCATTCCGGTTCCGGTCCGGTCCAGTTTTGGACTGGTGCACACCCCTAGAAGTAGCAGTTAGTCAATCATTGTAACTTTCAACACTGAGTCTGAGATCTCTTTGGAAAGAGTCTCTCTAGTTTCGATTAGGGATAAGGTCTACGTAGACACACGCTCTCCAGACTCAACTCTTGTGGGATTCAACTGGGTTGTCATATGCTCTATTCTCCACCCACACCTTTCTTAACCAATGATCCAACATTTTACTTTGTTCCAGTATGTAGTTTGAGGCAGTTTGCTGATACCTTAATTAAAGAAAAAGTAATACATTCTGTTTTATATGAGTACGAAAATTACACCTTTTTTGACAAGTTGTTCATAAATCAATCAACCAGGTATTTCATAAGCTCAAACCTTGATTTCAATGGAGCAATTTCAGTTTTTACTCTTTCTTTTTTAGGTAGTTTGTTTTTCTTAATAAAACACATAGAGGAAAAAAAACTATTTTGATTGCAGTTTCATTATAAGTAGAGTCTGGTGCTAAATTTTTTAAGGCTGATATTATCTAATCTTAATGAATCTGATATGACCTGATCTGATCTGATTTTAATGGAATTAAATCAAATTTAAATTATTATTATTATTATTAAATTGATAACAATTTATTATTAATTATTATTAATATAAAACAATAATAATTTTTATTATAAATAATAATAATAATAATTATCATTATTTGTTAAATAATTATATTTATTAATATTATTATATTTAATTATTATTATTGTTACTAATATTTAGTGTTATGATTATTGATGATGATTATCATTAATATATCAAAATGTTTGATGATAATAATAATTTATTATTAATAATTTTTAATTATTATTATTACAAAAATAATTTTATTATTAATAATTAGTAAGGTAATAATTATTTATTATTTCTAAAAGTTTTTAAATAATTTTATTTATTTATTTATTAATTATTATTATCATTAATTGTATTATTAAAGATGATTATCACTACGGAGTATTATTAATCTGATTTAATGTGAAGTGATGTGATCCTTACGAGAATATGATTGTGATATCCTTACAAGAATATTGAGTTGAGGAGAACAGCACTAGAATAACCGAGGAAAGAAATAGAGCTGTAAACGGATAAAATCCGCCTCGGATATACAACATCCGTATCCGCATCCGTTTAGCCGAAACAACATCCGAATCCGACGGATGTTTTAACTCTCAAATCCGAATCCGAAACCGTCGGATTATTTTTGGATTCGGATATATCCGTATCCGACCGAACATCCGTTTAAGTATCCGAATTTTCTAACATCCGAATATCCGACTATCCATTTGCACAAATCCGAAAATCCAATGCAGTTCATGAATACAAACCACATGGTACACAATTACACGTCGTAAGAACATCGAAGTGGGGAAAGGGGAAACACCAATTAAGAATAGTGTGATTTCCTTTACAAATGCCAAAGCAAAATTAAAATTGACTAAAGCAAAACTGCAGATTTGCTCTTGAATTCCTTTCTCATCGATCGTCGTTTTTTCTCGGCTATATTTCTGGCAAAATCCGGAAGAATTTCATCCGGTTGGCTATAATCCGGAAGGATGAACACTGGAATTTGTGTATGTCGATAATCAAGAACTTTCTTACCAATTTGTAGCAACTTTTTTTCAAGAACGACGAGAAAAGCAGAAATCTGCTTTGAGATTTGCCGAGGGAGACGGTCGGACGTTGCGAGATTCAGAGATTTCTCTTCCTACGGGTTTGTTGAATGGATGGGGTAGGGTTAGATTTGTGATATATTCATATTGGGCCAATAGCCCAACTTTATTGGATTGACAATTGGAATAAATACATAACTAGATTTTATTTATTTCATTTATTTTAATTTTGTATCCGGATAAACGGTTATTCGGATAAACGGTAACGGTTATTGAAACGGATGTCCATGCGGATCGGATTTTAAACGGATCGGATTCATAAATACCAAATCCGCATCCGTTTAGTAATCGGTTATCCCGGATCGGATGCGGATAATATCCGTTTAAAACGGATGCGGATTTTTTCTATTTAAACAGATACGGATGCGGACGGTAATCGGATTTTCGACTATCCATTTAGAGGCTTAGAAAGAAACACAACCTTATCCACTCAACTGCGAATGAGCAGCTTCTCTGTAAGTGAGAAGTGAGAGGAATACGTGATTAAAGGAAGAAAAGGCACGACCATAAACATTTGACGAGCAGCAGTGGGCGAAGAACATCCTATTCGAGGGTACGTACACCCCATAGGGGCTCCGGATCCCTCCCCGTCTATGTTTTAGGCGCTCTCTTAATTTCGTATGTTTTTTAATTAGGGTTTTCGGATTTACATCACGTTTTGTTGTTGTTGTTGTTGTTGTTGTTGTTGTTGTTGGGGGGCATGGTAGGAGTTCATTCACCACCCCGAAAATTGAGGATTGATGAAACCCTAAATAAGTTTATGGATTTACTTATTTACTTAATTTCGATTTGAATATGAAATTTAGGGTCATGGATGAAACCGTGGAGGATAATGATAAGAAGTTCCTTGATTATGGTGTTGCTGGCCATATTAAAAAAACCGTTTACGGACCCGCAGCAAGCCTTCCCCGACGCCTGAAGCGTTATCGCGTGATGAATCGATCTGAATATGCCATCTACAACAAAAAAGTTAACGATTCTGGGGTTGGTCTTTGGCATTCCTTTAATTACCATGCATTATGTTGCATTCTCGATACTATATCTGCACCTAGTGTCTTGTTAGTTATGTATTATTGTTTTCAAACGAGGCCAAATTGTGGTGCACTACATTTTTAATATTATACTGCACTTTGCTGTCAGGATTTTGCTATACAATTATCCTAACAACTCAGTGGTTAAGGACTCTGATGAATTCAACACGCTATCATAGCACTCTCCCCCAACATCATACGCAACATGTTTTTGTTTAAATGTTACTCATGGTACTTCTTAGGTGTTCCACTACTAAATAAGTCAGAGTGATTCTGGACACTCCAAAATGCAAAAGTACACATTCAGATCTTGACGTAGTATGTTATTTCTTGGTGCAATCAGTTGGTAGTCACAAGTCACTCAAGATTGTCACACCTTGTCGATTCATCAATAAATATATATCACCAACACATATAAGTCTCTCTCTATAGAATCATCATTTCTTTAATATTTCTTTTATCTGTGATATCACTGTACATAGGGATACAATGTTGATGGTTGTTCCGGCTCATTACCTGGAAGGATTTTCCCGGTTCTACCCACCTCTTGTGACTGGGAACCAGCTGAATTGGCTGCTCAATTTGCTGCTCTGAAACAAGCCGAGGATGGGGTAAATACAACTTTTGAGTTATTTTTTTTTCGCCATCAAAACTGAACATATATCCTCTATAGCCTTTTAATAAGACAGATGAGGTGCCTTGGATCAAAACAAATTAAAAGGAATGTATAGGATTTCGATTGAACAACCTTTGGTATTTATGCTGTCAGGGAATACCTTTGGAGTACAAACAGCTTCTGAAAGTTAACATTCAAGGAGTTTGTGGGACCATGTATTATTTGACATTCACAGCTTGTGATACTATTGATGGTAGGGAAAAAATATTTAATGCAAAAGTGTTGTTTTCCGCACAAGACAAACATTTGCATCTAAAGGAATTCAAGGTTGACAATGACCCCAATAAATCTGGTACGCAATCATTGCTTGGAACTTCCCATGTGTGTGTGTGTGTGTGTGTTTTTCTTTAAAGATTTGATTGTTGTTGTTATCATCATAGCTGAAAAGATGCGCAACGAGGTTGTTGGCGTGCTAGAAAAAATCTCTGCCTTTCGAAAGGAAAATCCTCACTTGTTTCTTAGTCCCCCCCCACCAAGATCACCGCCCCCCGAGAGGTATGTCTCGTCAACTTCGATGTCCGCCAATGTAGCAAGATGATGTTTGATGTTTCTCGTGGAGGTTTTAAATATATACTACATCATGGTTCACATCAAGAATGTAGTCGAATTTTGCCTATGGCATGAGGTTCATGTTCATTTGATTTGGGAAGCGCGACAATGCATGTGTTTTGACAATGCATGTGTTTTAAAACCAAATACGAAAACAGTAGACTAAGCAAGCTTTTGAAAGGCGAAAACGAGCCTCGAGGCGGTGGAGAAAAATGCCTTGAGGCGTAAGCCTCAGTTCAGTTTGACAAAAACGAAGCTAAAATGAATTCTCCATGGTAGAAACCGAATACATAATCCATAATCATGATGCTGAAATCTAACGGCTTCAATTCCTGATTTTTGCAAAAAGCAATTCCCAATCTTAGTTTTTAAAATACAAAAAAAAATAAGAAGAGAGAATTACTCTAAAAAAATTTAAACAATAACATGAAATACATAGTCACAAACGCCTCAAATCTGTCTTCAAACATGATAAAATGGATAAAGTTTCATGATTTTTACTTCATAACCAAAATTAGACAAGTTTATTTCCACTATATAATACAATGAAATTTTAAGTTAAGCGACCTTCGTACGAATCGCATGCATGAAGAGGGAGAGTAGTGCTGGGAAAATGGGCAGAAAATTAAAGTTGGAATAAAAACTTGAAAAAATTTGAAGGTGAAGTAATTAGAATATGAAGCAATTTTTGTCTATAAAAAATAATATGAAACAATTATCTTATGAAAATGGAGAGACCGAAGGAACAAAAGGTGCGTCGTAGATGGGGTGTGCTAAAGTTGAAGAAGATGGAGAGGCTGAAGTAGTGTGCGAGAGAAGCTCCACTGTGCTAGGTTGAAGATGGAGAGGCAAAAGTACAAGTATAAGAAATCCTAATTTATCAAGTATAAGAAGTTTTTAACAAAAATCTAATGCCCAAGATTTTTTTTAAAGGCCCAATTGCTTTGTATGGAGTATCATTTAACCCATAGGTGCTGAAATTTTAATTTGAAGCGAGGCTACCGTCTCAGTTTCGCCTCACCGCCTCGGCCTGGCAAGGCGTATGCCTCACATACCCTTATCGAGGCGTACGCCTCTGAGGCTTAAAAGGCCCGCCTCACCGCCTGGAACGCCTTTTAAAACCATGAGACTAAGAGAGGGACCGTTAATTTACAGCGTAGGCCTTCCATTTAGTTCTTTCTGCCTTCATTTTCAGAAAATCGCTGGTCATATACAAAGAACCAAGAAAAGGGGAGCTCGCTGCCACTGCTTTCCGTATCTTCTTGTATGTACATTGTTCCTTTAAAATTTAATTCTTCGCTTACCATTTCAAGGGATACATTCTTGACGCCACTTGGTGTCAACTTTCTTCCTTATTTATAGTTTGTTTTTATTCCCTTTAGGAAAGAAATGAGGAGTCAAAACCCCACATGGAAGTATGCAAAGGTAAGTGGCATTACCTCTCTTAGTATGTACTCAGTTCCACAATAAACACAATCGTCAAAATTTTATATTACTCACATGCTCTCATTTGATCATCTTGTGTGAGATCTTGTTATATTTGTCTCAAACAAAACCTTCACAAGATCAATTTTGGAGTGGAGGAAGTACTTTGCTTTCTTTTGGTTTTGATTTTCTTTGTCATGGGAGAGATTTGATATTTGAAATTATTTTACCACCAGGTCAAGAAAGCTGCTTCAAGAAAGTGGAAGTCATTATTTATCGGCGTAAGTATTTTTTATTAATAAATTTGTTTAATGCTAAACTAGTTTTAAAATTGAGAAGAATATGTTTTTATTTACTCCTTCCCTTCACAAAAGTGTGTTTTTTAAGGTACTGACAAAGGTTGAGATGGTCATTATGGTTTTTGCATGTACTATATTACAATTAGAAGAAATACCATACATAAGTATAGTCATTGTGCTTTGGAAGGCCATATCATCAATTTCAAAACTTGTGGGAGACAATACCGAATACAACAAATTATTTTGAAAAATACGAGTACTTAACTAGATATTTTGCGTAGTTATTTGGGGTGAATATTTTCTGTGATACTCCGGAGTACTTTTTACGTGCGGATTGAGTCGGTGTATTAACATTTTTCTTGGCCTTCAATCACATGATAAACTGTTAAACCCTAGAGCTGCGACGATGATCATTCATTAATTGTCGATAACAACAACCTACCTAGTGTATTCCCAAAGGTATAGTCTATTACAGAAAGACCCCTGGGTCTAGTTCGCGGTCATTGATCAATGGCCACAAGGCCATAACTAATTATTGGGGTCCCTAATGCTATGTTGGTTATGGTGCATAATTAATCGCTTTAGAACTCGTGGTGATAGAGAGGAAAAAAACTTGGAATCTGGGTGAGAAATGAAATAAACACTAGGATACTATGGCAGTCAATGAGAGAATAAAGTAGGCTTTGACATCAAGTCAGTTGGGGTGCAACTTTGAATCGAGTGACGAAGACGGTTATTAGATGGAAATATCAGTTCAAGTGTGTATATAAATGACATTCGGCACTAAGTGAACTTAGATTTGTAAACTTGAATAGTTTTACAAACTGATCTCCAAATTAAATCCACTCTTGTTGCATTTCCTTTTAAAGAAACACTATGCTGCTCCCCACATAAATTCACTGACTCTCTTATGAGATTCAAACCACACTTTTCACTTTTGAACATGTTTCTGAACGCTATGTGTAATCAAACTACGACTTGAAAGCAGGGACGGAGGAAGTGTGTGTGTGTGTGTGTAAGATAATTGCAAAATTGAACCGTGAAATTAACCATATACTCTGTCTTGGTCTTTGTAGATGTTCATGCATACATACATTTTATAATTACAATCATTATTTATTTGCCTGCTCATATATTTGAACTTTCAGCATAAGGCCCCTTACATGAGAAAGGCACAGAATCAGATTTTTAAAAAGTTGACAGCCTCATTGGATCCGGTTTGTTCATCAGCCTTCATTGTTTAAGAGCACAATAATGATTAAAGATTTTGTCGTCTTGATTGGGAAATTATGTTGTGGTGCAGGATTGTATTATGCCACCAGGCCATGATGACGATTCCAGCTAGAGAGCCTGTCATATGTATCTTTTCCTTTATGTGGTATTTTTTTGACAACTAATTTGCCCTGGAAAACAAGGGACTATTTTTAATTATATCCATATACATTTATATTATGTGGCAATAAAAGGAAATTATTTATCTTTATAAATATAGAGTATGAATTAATGGCAAAGAGTGTGAATAAGTCACTTTTGTCCACTTTATTTTCTCATTCATCGCCATCTCTATAAAAAAGTAAGACATTTTCAAAAAGACATTTTTGAAAAGTCGTTTTTAGCGATATGGGTTATATTGACCCCTCCTCCCCAAAACAATTTTTTTAGATTGCAGATTTGTGGGATTTGCTTGAAGCAACTCCAAGGAATGGAGATTTGTAATGCTATACTATGCTCATGATTTTGAAACAATTCATTTGGAGGTTGCGTGCTCAATCTCCCGTTTTACCTTTTGGGTTAAAATTTGTATTTCCGCTAAACTCTGAGTTTTTAAATCTATCCTTTTGATATCTACTTATCGATGTACTTAGTGTTATGATTACTAATGCCTTGTATGATTTGAATAAGAGTGGACTGCAGTAATTCTTAAACGAGTTGTACGGCGGTTTCCACGTTAATGGTTTGTGATCTAGGGCGTGACACCATTGTGGTACGCATTTGTACGTGTCCCAACACCATTGACATCATATGGAATGACAACGATGGCATCACTGTCAAACCATGATATGGGCGCTTACCAGGTACCGAGAGGCACACAAACTAAAAGAATGAACCAACCTCAAGCTAATCACATGGCAACCCCAGCTCCCCAAGAGGCACAAATTCTCACAACTGACACCATCATGACGAGACCCAGATACTAGGAATCACTGGTCCGAACATTAGATCATGGTTGGTACGCCGATGATGATAGCCTACGTGAGAGTGGGGCACACTCCTGGTTAACGTAGCCAACAAGAACCTTCCATGAATTAGACATCTCTGATGAAGTTTGACTTTCCATCACCGAGGAACTCCTGGCAGGAAATACTTGATTGTGGTGGGAGCTCGACAAAGAAGAACCTAGATACCTAACTTTCTTAGATATACTTTGTGAAGAAGTTTACCAACTATTATTTCTTACTAGCCAAGTATGATCAAGCAGAAGAGCTATTCCTTTCTAAGACACAATGTGAGACTACCACTAGAGATTTTGCAAGAATGTAGTAGTATACCTACCCAGATATGTCGTGGATGAAGAGCGTATGAATGGAAGATTCCTGATGGGGATACATCTGCGTATTCACCAAATCATGAGAGTGACTTGAGCAATGAAGTTTTGAGACCTAGTTCGACTAGCCGAGAGAGCTGAGCAGATTGAAAATGAGGAAGATCAAAGAGCGGAGCTCATACGCAAGGGAGCTGAAGCGGAGACAGGACCATCTGACCAACACAAGCTAGCACACAACATGGAAAGAGAGAGCTGAGCAGATTGAGAATTAGAATAGGTACAGAATGCGAACTTTGTGGAGATCCTAGTCAAGCGTCGGGTGAAAGTTACCCGAATCCGAGTCAGCTAAGCAAGAGGTTAAGTGAGAGAGTTCACCTTACACAGGATTAACAAGGATTAGTGTCAATGTATAGTTAGTTCGCAAATAAGTATGTGCATAATTGTTTATAAATCTACTCAAGGTAAGTGATTTGGTTTACAATGTTCACCGAGGTACTCAAGTATCTTTGAGATACTATTTAAAGTGGACCAATAAATGTGAGAGACATGTGAAAAAGGACAATTGATGATCGTTCAAAGAATTAAAGCGCCTACGTGCATTCATGACACACAATGAACTCTAAGGATCACCTTTTGACAGAAAAATTAGGATCACACAAATACAACGATACCAAAGGTGGTAACTTACAAATATTTCTTAACGTGTAACCTGCGATCGCGTGACTAATCGTACTAGTGAAATTATGTGACCTGATAACAAAAATGCCAACAGGAAGCAAAAGAGTATGAAAAAGTTGCAACTATCTACAAGTCTACAATGTGGCAATGAAGAGTGATAGAAAAGAAGCCAAAACCAGAAATGTCAAATGGTATTTTTGAAGGTATAAACTTCAACTTTGTAGTTTTTTTAACTTTATCATCATTTATGTGATGATTTTGTGTCTATTTTCCAATTTTAGTAGTATGGTGTACATTTAGGCTCAAATAGATATGTATTTATCTCTAAACTTGTAAAATGGTTGATTTTGTTTTTGTTTTGAATCTAATACGATTTATGGTTGTTTGCAATATGTTACGTTTAAGATTCATGCAAATGCTTATGTTTTAGTATCTAATTGATACTTTTGATTATGAGTTTCAAATAAAGGAGGTTGCAATGGAGTTGAGCCATCAAAACTTTTGCTTTTTTAAACTGCTAAATCTAGAACAGAAGAAGGATCTTGTAAGGTTTACATTCTGCAAAGATGAGTGTTGAGGACTTGTTGTGCGGTCCAAAACAAATTAAAATATATAAATTATCCTTAGCTAACCCCCAAAAATGTAATCAAATAAAAACTATAGCTAGGGCAAGTAAGGGTCGATCACACAGAGAAATATTGTACTTTTTTAAAATCAATTTAGTAATTCATATTCACTGTTTATTATTCGATAATATCCTTAAATTATTCTTAGTCTAAAGCCAATCATTTTAATGTTTGTCAACCCTTAGTAGTTCATATTCTTCCAAATGAATTTCTTGCATTGTTGCATGGTGATATTGGCTAATGCTTTGGCTTCAATCCACTTGGTGAAGTAATCGATGGCCACGATTACAAACTTCTTCCTCCCTTGGGCAATTGGGAATGCTCCAATGATATCAACCCCGAATCTAGCGAATGGGATGACATTTGATACGGGGTGATAGTAGGTCACCGGTCTGCCGGGGTACTTGTAGAACACTTGGCATGTTCTGGACTTCTGAACATACCTTTCACAGTCTTGGACAATTGTTGGCTAGTAATACTCAGCAAGATGATGTGTTGGAAAAGGGTACGGGACATTTGATGTGCCGCGCATACGCCTTCATGGACTTCTGCTATGACTCGCTCTGCCTTCCGGTTGGTTAGGCATCTCAGGAGTGGTCCCCTGAATGCCCTTTTGTACAGCTTCCCATCAAGGACTTGGAACCGGGGTGCCTGAGCTTCACCTTTCTTGCCCGATCTTCTTGTTCTGGCAAGCTCCCATCCATTAAGTATTCCATCAGATCATACATTCAATGGTCGTCCGCCCCGACCAGGTTTGACCGGTCAGACTGGCTTCCAGCTGTTATAGCAGCGACTTCCAATTTCTCGATGCTGGCTTGGTCCAGGATTTCCATTCGGGCAAGTTTTGAAACGTGCTCGGGAGCATACTGCGTCAACTTGGAGAGATGGTCCGCATCTGCGTTCTCCGCCCGGGGATTTTGGGCGATCTTGAATTCCTCGAAGCCTTTCAACAAGGCAAGCACTTTGTATTGTGCCATTCGTCCTTCTCTGGCTTCCATGGTACCGGTCACTTGCCCAACAATCAGACTGGAGTCAGATTTGATACTGACCCGGTTGATTTTCAGGGCTTGGGCAAGTCTGAGCCCTCCAGCCAGAGCTTCATACTCTGCCCCATTGTTCGTCAGCTTGAAGTTGAAGACAAGTGCATGGTAGATCTTGAACCCTTCAGGAGTGGTAAAAACCACACCACCCCCGTACCCTTTAAGACCAGATGCCCCGTCTACTGCCATCTCCCACCATTGCTCGGTGGGCTTGTCGACCGGTGCATCTGGAGTTATACCGGTCATTTCCACAAGGAAGTCCGCGAGGGTTTGTCCTTTGATTGCTGATCTCGGCCGGTACTCAATGTTGAATTGAGTTAACATCATAGCCCACTTCACCATCCTTCCGGAGGATGTTGAATTTCGCAACCCTGCACCTAGTGGTTGGTCAGTCAGGACTTCCACTGGGTGAGCTTGGAAGTAGGATGTTAACTTTTTTTGCGGAGATGAAAAGTGCGTAGGTTGTTTTCTCCATCGCTGTGTACCTACTTTCTGCTCCGTTCAGTGCTTTGCTCACATAATAAACGGGCTTTTGTGCCCCATCATCTCTTATTAAAACAGAGCTTACAGCATTCGGGGAAATTCCCAGGTACAGATACAGAGTTTCACCCGGTTCGGGTTTAGACAATACAATATCCGACACTAGGTACTCTTTTAGATCCTCGAATGCCCTCTGGCAGTCTTCATCCCACGCAAATGTGTTGGCCTTCTTCAGGACTTTGAAGGGCATGGATCTTTCAACTGACCGGGACAAAAAACGGCTGAGTGCCGCTAGACGACCGGTCAACTTTTGTACATCCCTAACCAAGGTAGGGGCTTGCATCTCGGTGATAGCCCGGATTTTTTCTGGGTTGGGCTCTATACCTCTCTTGGTCACCATGAATCCTAAGAACTTCCGGGTACGAACCGCGAAGACGCATTTCTTAGGATTTAACCGGAGGTTGTATCTTTCCATGATATCGAATGTGGCACGCATATCAGCCGGGTGGTTGAGAGATACCTGGCTTTTTATCAGCATGTCGTCGACGTATGCCTCCATGGTATTTCCTAGTAGTGGTTTGAAGAGTTTGTTCACCATGTGCTGGTAAGTGGCTCCAGAGTTCCTCAAGCCAAACACCATCACCCGATAACAGTAGGTTCCTTCGGGCGTGAGGAATGACGTCTTCTCCTCATCTTCTTTAGCCATGTAAATTTAGTGGTAACCCTTGAAGGCATCCATGAAACTTAGGAGTTCGCACCCCGAAGTTTCGTCCACCATTTGATCTGGGCTGGGGAGGGGGTATGAATCCATCGGACATGCCTTGTTCAAGTTCGTATAATCCACACACATTCTCCATGTGTTGCCATTGGGAGCAAGGACAACGTTGGCCAGCTAATCTGGGTATTTGACTTCCCGGATGTGACCCACACTGAGGAGGTCCTTCACCTCCTTCTTGACGAAGTCTCGCCGGTCACTAGCCAAGTACCTCTTCTTATGGCGTACCGGTCGACTTCCATCCCTCACTGCCAGCCGGTGATAGATGATTGAGCGGTCAATTCCAGGCATATCTGCCACGCTCTATGCAAATATGCTCGCGTATTCTTGGAGGACCCGTGTAATCTCCGCCTTGAGATCTTCTGGGACATTTGCTCCAATTCTGACCATCTTTGAAGAATCACCCGGGTGAAGTTCGATCTCCACCGTCTCGGCCTCGGGTTCAAGTTTCTCCCGGGTCTCTCCCTTTGTGATTTCTTGGGAGATGACGTTGACCCCCTTGGTCATCTTCTTGACTGCCCGGGCATAGCACTCCCGGGCGTTCCTCTGGTCACCTCTCACCTCTCCCACACCACCTGGAGTGTGGAACTTCATACACAAGTGTGGCATGGAAATCACCGCCCAGACCTTGTTGATGTCTGGCCTTCCAAGGATTGCGTTGTGGACGCATTTGATGTCCACAACGATGAATCGCATCTTCTTCCATACGGTCTTGTCACCCGATCCTAGTTCGACCGGTAGAACTATGGACCCTTCAGCTTCCACTGTATCTCCCGTGAAACCTGAGAGAGGAGTTTTGAGTGATTCAAGTTGTGTCCGAGACAACCTGAGTTTTTGGAAAGTCTCCAGGTATAAGATGTTGACACTGATGCATTGTGGACGCATTTGATGTCCACAACGATGAATCACATCTTCTTCCATACGGTCTTGTCACCTGATTCTAGTTCGACCGGTAGAACTCTGGACCCTTCAGCTTCCACTGTATCTCCCGTGAAACCTGAGAGAGGAGTTTTGAGGGGTTCAAGTTGTGTCCGACACAACCTGAGTTTTTGGAAAGTCTTCAGGTATAAGATGTTGACACTACTGCCGGTGTCAACAAGTACCCGGGCGACATCCACCCCATTAATGTCCATGGTGATGACCAATGGATCATTATGATCTTCATCGGTAGGTGGGAGGTCCCGATCAGTAAAGATGATCGGTTCCCTCCTGGCCTGCTTTCGCCTGGCCGGTTCAGCACTTACTTCACCAACGTAAATGCTGCGGACCCAATTCTTCCGCTGCGTGGCTGAATCTCCGCCTTCGGGTCCGCCGAAGATCATTCCAATATGCTCTTTGTCAGGGGCAAGCTCTTGCTCCCTCTGCCGGTTATTCCTGCGCCGGTCATTGTCCTGGTCATTTCCCTGGGCTGCTTGCCTAACCCATTGATGACTATTCTCCTGGGCTTTCTGCAAGTAATCTTTGCCCAGTTCTCCACTATCTATCATTTTCCGGATGACTCCATAAACACTCTTGCATTCGGAAGTGTTATGGGAATCTGACCTATGGTACGAACAATACGTGCCAGACCATTGTCGTCCTGTTTGACCGGTAAGATTTTCCGGAGGAATGACCGGTGCTTTCCTGATCTCTTGGAATTCTTTCGTATTCACCACACGGACGACCGGGTCATAGTGGTGTCTTGGCCGGCTAGGTCCCGGCACTTCCTCCTTCTTCACTTGCACCGGCTTGGGCTTGAAACCATGCTCGGTTTCCTTCTTCGCCCGGAGTTGGGTTTCAGCTTCAGCAAATTCCCATGCAGTGTGATAGGCCTCTTGATACGTGGTCGGGGGTTTCCGGCAGAACTCCTTGTATAGTTCCCCGGCACGTAAGCCATTCAAGAGAAGGGACAACACCGTCTTGTCATCCATCTCCTCTACCTTGTCTACCTCTTCCTTCCACCGAGTAAGGAATTGAGTGAGGTTCTCAGATTCCCTCTGCCCGGCTGTACTAAGGTGAATTTCTTTCGCTTAGTACAGTTCTCCTAGAACTTAGCCTTGAATTTTGAGGCCAAATCACTAAACGAGTCAATGCTTCCTGGCGAAGCTTGTTGCACTCTTATTAAAGGAATCCAGATAGATTTCTGGATCCTCCTTCCCGGTGAACCTTGGAGCGTCTATCTTGACCTTTCGCGGGAAAGGTGTTAGATGGACCCTTGTAGTGAACGGGGACCCGGCTAGGGGTTTATCCCAGTCATTCTTCTCCCCAACCTTCTTCTCTAACCTTTCCAGTTTCGCCTCCATCTGCTGGACGTGATCATTTGGGACGGTTAGCCGGTTAGCCACCGGTCCTCTGGGTTGGCTTTCTGCTTCCTCTTCTTGACGAGAGACCCTCGTCCTTGCTGGCTCCTGCCGGTTAGACCGGGAGCGCTGGGTACGGGCAGGCTCGGCCTCTCTCCCCTCGCTTTGCCAGGCGAATGTGCTGACATGGGCGACGCTCTGCCCCAATCTCAGCTTGGCTCACTTTCGCTGACCTTCTTCCCTATCCCTAGCCTTTCGAAGGCGGAGTTTTGGGAAGTTGCTGGCCGTATGGTTTTTCCTTTCTTCTTCTTGTGGGTCCTTGGAATATCCCACTCGTCGTCACTTCTCTCAACTGAGACGTAGTGACCATCAGGGGTGACATGTGGATTTGTACCCTGCAGAAGGCGTGATGGTCCGGCGGCGTTAAGCGCACTGGTCAAGTTAACAGGGGCCATGGTGCTGACCAGCTGCGGCTGGAAAGGAGAGGGCTGTGGCGCTGGTGTCTGGAAGGGAGACACCGCCATTGGAGCTTGCAGGGGCATGGTTCCCGCACCTGGAAGAGTGAACGGGAACATACCATGGAGAAAAGGCATCCCCCCATTTTGTTGGCACATGTCCATGACCTGGCCAAAGCCCTAGATGGCCTGCAGGTTGGCCGGATCGTTCATGAACTGAGTCATGCTTGGCGGGAAAGTGACCCTTGGTCCAGCAGAAGGGACGGGGATCGTGAATGGGCTAACCACGCTAGGTGTTGGGATTGAACTTAGGCCCAACGGTAACACTGGGGTAGAAATGGCCGGTAGGGTAGAAGCCATGGGGATGCTGGTACCCTCCTTGGTGGCTTGCACCTGAGCGGAAGTAGCGTTGATTTGCTGGCTGAAATACATTTTGAGTGGTGTTTTTGTGGGTAGGCTTGCGTGTAGAGAAGAAACCTTAACGGTCCCACGGTCGGCGCCAAAAATGGTGTAAATTACCTAAACGGGTAAACTATACTAGACCGGGTCTAGAACAATTCACTTGATTTGATAAAGTAAACAGGTAAAAACACTCAAATGACCGGTAAGGCTGTAGGTGGAAACACCTATAGCATATTGATATTAATATGAGAGAATGCACAAGTGCTTTTACAGGGGAGTTTAGAGAGAATGAATTTGGATCCCTGCTTCTGAGAGTTACAGCAGTATTTATACTAGGTTTGAGGGGGAACAAGACGTCGTGCACCCATGTGGAGGCACGTTCTCGGCTGGTGGGAGGTGATGGGCTTCGACCTCTAGCTGCCTTGTCATCTTGTGAGGAAGATTACTTCCTTTGTCAGGTAGCGCCTTGGATGGAATGTTCGAATATTTCCAGCGATCCTCCACTGATATGGGTCGCTACAATCCAAGCCCTTTTAGATTCTCTCCTGCCGACGCTTTCTAACCCTGGAAACTACACCGAGTAGTTTCCTAGGGACGACTTTATCGCATTTAAGGAATGAATGTGGAGATGTAGTAGTTTGACCGGTATACTTTTCTGAAGTATACCGGTCACCTTTTGACCGACTGTGTGTCCTCCGGCTGACGATTAAAATCTCCCCTTCTTGTACTTTCAGATTGACCAGTCAACTATTTGCTCTTCATCTTTGACCGATCATGGGTGGAATACATCCATCAAATACCATTTGACATTTCTGGTTTTGGCTTCTTTTCTATCACTCTTCATTGCCACATTGTAGACTTGTAGATAGTTGCAACTTTTTCATACTCTTTTGCTTCCTGTTAGCATTTTTGTTATCAGGTCACATAATTTCACAAGTACGATTAGTCACGCGATCGCAGGTTACACGTTAAGAAATATTTGTAAGTTACCACCTTTGGTATCGTTGTATTTGTGTGATCCTAATTTTTCTGTCAAAAGGTGATCCTTACAGTCCATTGTGTGTCATGAACGCACGTAGGCGCTTTAATTCTTTGAACGATCATCAATTGTCCTTTTTCACATGTCTCTCACATTTATTGGTCCACTTTAAATAGTATCTCAAAGATACATGCGTACCTCGGTGAACACTGTAAACCAAATCACTTTTCTCTTTTCTTCAACTTGTTTTTTTGCGCTTACGATCATTCCTTGTTGTATTACCTTGAGTAGATTTATAAACAATTATGGACATACTTATTTGCGAACTAACTATACATTGACACTAATCCTTGTTAATCTTGTGTAAGGTGAACTCTCTCACTTAACCTCTTGCTTAGCTGATTCGGATTCGGGTCACTTTCACCCGACGCTTGACTAGGATCTCCACAAAGTTCGCATTCTGTACCTATTCTCATTCTCAATCTGCTCAGCTCTCTCTTTCCATGTTGTGTGCTAGCTTGTGTTGGTCAGATGGTCCTGTCTCCGCTTCAGCTCCCTTGCGTATGAGCTCCGCTCTTTGATCTTCCTCATTTTCAATCTGCTCAGCTCTCTTGGCTAGTCGAACTAGGTCTCAAAACTTCATTGCTCAAGTCACTCTCATGATTTGGTGAATACGCGGATGTATCCCCATCAGGAATCTTCCATTCATATGCACTTCATCCACGACATATCTGGGTAGGTATACTACTACATTCTTGCAAAATCTCTAGTGGTAGTCTCACATTGTGTCTTAAAAAGGAATAGCTCTTCTGCTCGATCATACTTGGCTAGTGAGAAATAATAGTTGGTAAACTTCTTCACAAAGTATATCCAAGAAAGTTAGGTATCTAGGTTCTTCTTTGTGGAGCTCCCACCACAATCGAGCATTTCCTGCCAGGAGTTCCTCGGTGATGGAAAGTCAAAATTCATCAGAGATGTCTAATTCATGGAAGGTTCTTGTTGGCTGCATTAACCAGGAGTGTGCCCCACTCTCACGTAGGCTATCATCATCAGCGTAGCAACCATGATCTAATGTTCGGACCAGTGATTCCTAGTATCTGGGTCTCGTCATGATGGTGTCAGTTGTGAGTATTTGTGCCTCTTGGGGAGCTGGGGTTGCCATGTGATTAGCTTGAGGTTAGTTCATTCTATTAGTTTGTGTGCCTCTCGGTACCTGGTAAGCGCCCATATCATGGTTTGACAGTGATGCCATCGTTGTCATTCCATAAGATGTCAATGGTGTTGGGACACGTACAAATGCGTACCACAATGGTATCACGCCCTAGAACACAAACCATTGACGTGGAAACCGCCGTACAACTCGTTTAAGAATTACTGCAGTCCACTCTTATTCAAATCATACAAGGCATTAGTAATCATAACACTAAGTACATCGATGAGTAGATATCAAAAGGATAGATTTAAAAACTCAGAGTTTAGCGGAAATACAAATTTTAACCCAAAAGGTAAAACGGGAGATTGAGCACGCAACCTCCAAATGAATTGTTTCAAAATCATGAGCATAGTATAGCATTGCAAATCCCCATTCCTTGGAGTTGCTTCAAGCAAATCCCACAAATCTGCAATCTAAAAAAATTGTTTTGGGGATGAGGGGTCAATATAACCCATATCGTGTACAGGTGAGGAGCTAAAAACGACTTTTCAAAAATGTCTTTTTAAAAATGTCTTACTTTTTTATAGAGATGGCGATGAATGAGAAAATAAAGTGGACAAAAGTGACTTATTCACACTCTTTGCCATTAATTCATACTCTATATTTATAAAGATAAATAATTTCCTTACATTGCCACATAATATAAATGTATATGGATATAATTAAAAATAGTCCCTTGTTTTCCAGGGCAAATTAGTTGTCAAAAAAATACCACATAAAGGAAAAGATACATATGACAGGCTCTCTAGCTGGAATCGTCATCATGGCCTGGTGGCATAATACAATCCTGCACCACAACATAATTTCCCAATCAAGACGACAAAATCTTTAATCATTATTGTGCTCTTAAACAATGAAGGCTGATGAACAAACCGGATCCAATGAGGCTGTCAACTTTTTAAAAATCTGATTCTGTGCCTTTCTCATGTAAGGGGCCTTATGCTGAAAGTTCAAATATATGAGCAGGCAAATAAATAATGATTGTAATTATAAAATGTATGTATGCATGAACATCTACAAAGACCAAGACAGAGTATATGGTTAATTTCACGGTTCAATTTTGCAATTATCTTACACACACACACACACACTTCCTCCGTCCCTGCTTTCAAGTCGTAGTTTGATTACACATAGCGTTCAGAAACATGTTCAAAAGTGAAAAGTTTGGTTTGAATCTCATAAGAGAGTCAGTGAATTTATGTGGGGAGCAGCATAGTGTTTCTTTAAAAGGAAATGCAACAAGAGTGGATTTAATTTGGAGATCAGTTTGTAAAACAATTCAAGTTTACAAATCTAAGTTCACTTAGTGCCGAATGTCATTTATATACACACTTGAACTGATATTTCCATCTAATAACCGTCTTCGTCACTCGATTCAAAGTTGCACCCCAACTGACTTGATGTCAAAGCCTACTTTATTCTCTCATTGACTGCCATAGTATCCTAGTGTTTATTTCATTTCTCACCCAGATTCCAAGTTTTTTTCCTCTCTATCACCACGAGTTCTAAAGCGATTAATTATGCACCATAACCAACATAGCATTAGGGACCCCAATAATTAGTTATGGCCTTGTGGCCATTGATCAATGACCGCGAACTAGACCCAGGGGTCTTTCTGTAATAGACTATACCTTTGGGAATACACTAGGTAGGTTGTTGTTATCGACAATTAATGAATGATCATCGTCGCAGCTCTAGGGTTTAACAGTTTATCATGTGATTGAAGGCCAAGAAAAATGTTAATACACCGACTCAATCCGCACGTAAAAAGTACTCCGGAGTATCACAGAAAATATTCACCCCAAATAACTACGCAAAATATCTAGTTAAGTACTCGTATTTTTCAAAATAATTTGTTGTATTCGGTATTGTCTCCCACAAGTTTTGAAATTGATGATATGGCCTTCCAAAGCACAATGACTATACTTATGTATGGTATTTCTTCTAATTGTAATATAGTACATGCAAAAACCATAATGACCATCTCAACCTTTGTCAGTACCTTAAAAAACACACTTTTGTGAAGGGAAGGAGTAAATAAAAACATATTCTTCTCAATTTTAAAACTAGTTTAGCATTAAACAAATTTATTAATAAAAAATACTTACGCCGATAAATAATGACTTCCACTTTCTTGAAGCAGCTTTCTTGACCTGGTGGTAAAATAATTTCAAATATCAAATCTCTCCCATGACAAAGAAAATCAAAACCAAAAGAAAGCAAAGTACTTCCTCCACTCCAAAATTGATCTTGTGAAGGTTTTGTTTGAGACAAATATAACAAGATCTCACACAAGATGATCAAATGAGAGCATGTGAGTAATATAAAATTTTGACGATTGTGTTTATTGTGGAACTGAGTACATACTAAGAGAGGTAATGCCACTTACCTTTGCATACTTCCATGTGGGGTTTTGACTCCTCATTTCTTTCCTAAAGGGAATAAAAACAAACTATAAATAAGGAAGAAAGTTGACACCAAGTGGCGTCAAGAATGTATCCCTTGAAATGGTAAGCGAAGAATTAAATTTTAAAGGAACAATGTACATACAAGAAGATACGGAAAGCAGTGGCAGCGAGCTCCCCTTTTCTTGGTTCTTTGTATATGACCAGCGATTTTCTGAAAATGAAGGCAGAAAGAACTAAATGGAAGGCCTACGCTGTAAATTAACGGTCCCTCTCTTAGTCTCATGGTTTTAAAAGGCGTTCCAGGCGGTGAGGCGGGCCTTTTAAGCCTCAGAGGCGTACGCCTCGATAAGGGTATGTGAGGCATACGCCTTGCCAGGCCGAGGCGGTGAGGCGAAACTGAGACGGTAGCCTCGCTTCAAATTAAAATTTCAGCACCTATGGGTTAAATGATACTCCATACAAAGCAATTGGGCCTTTAAAAAAAATCTTGGGCATTAGATTTTTGTTAAAAACTTCTTATACTTGATAAATTAGGATTTCTTATACTTGTACTTTTGCCTCTCCATCTTCAACCTAGCACAGTGGAGCTTCTCTCGCACACTACTTCAGCCTCTCCATCTTCTTCAACTTTAGCACACCCCATCTACGACGCACCTTTTGTTCCTTCGGTCTCTCCATTTTCATAAGATAATTGTTTCATATTATTTTTTATAGACAAAAATTGCTTCATATTCTAATTACTTCACCTTCAAATTTTTTCAAGTTTTTATTCCAACTTTAATTTTCTGCCCATTTTCCCAGCACTACTCTCCCTCTTCATGCATGCGATTCGTACGAAGGTCGCTTAACTTAAAATTTCATTGTATTATATAGTGGAAATAAACTTGTCTAATTTTGGTTATGAAGTAAAAATCATGAAACTTTATCCATTTTATCATGTTTGAAGACAGATTTGAGGCGTTTGTGACTATGTATTTCATGTTATTGTTTAAATTTTTTTAGAGTAATTCTCTCTTCTTATTTTTTTTTGTATTTTAAAAACTAAGATTGGGAATTGCTTTTTGCAAAAATCAGGAATTGAAGCCGTTAGATTTCAGCATCATGATTATGGATTATGTATTCGGTTTCTACCATGGAGAATTCATTTTAGCTTCGTTTTTGTCAAACTGAACTGAGGCTTACGCCTCAAGGCATTTTTCTCCACCGCCTCGAGGCTCGTTTTCGCCTTTCAAAAGCTTGCTTAGTCTACTGTTTTCGTATTTGGTTTTAAAACACATGCATTGTCAAAACACATGCATTGTCGCGCTTCCCAAATCAAATGAACATGAACCTCATGCCATAGGCAAAATTCGACTACATTCTTGATGTGAACCATGATGTAGTATATATTTAAAACCTCCACGAGAAACATCAAACATCATCTTGCTACATTGGCGGACATCGAAGTTGACGAGACATACCTCTCGGGGGGCGGTGATCTTGGTGGGGGGGGACTAGGAAACAAGTGAGGATTTTCCTTTCGAAAGGCAGAGATTTTTTCTAGCACGCCAACAACCTCGTTGCGCATCTTTTCAGCTATGATGATAACAACAACAATCAAATCTTCAAAGAAAAACACACACACACACACACACACATGGGAAGTTCCAAGCAATGATTGCGTACCAGATTTATTGGGGTCATTGTCAACCTTGAATTCCTTTAGATGCAAATGTTTGTCTTGTGCGGAAAACAACACTTTTGCATTAAATATTTTTTCCCTACCATCAATAGTATCACAAGCTGTGAATGTCAAATAATACATGGTCCCACAAACTCCTTGAATGTTAACTTTCAGAAGCTGTTTGTACTCCAAAGGTATTCCCTGACAGCATAAATACCAAAGGTTGTTCAATCGAAACCCTATACATTCCTTTTAATTTGTTTTGATCCAAGGCACCTCATCTGTCTTATTAAAAGGCTATAGAGGATATATGTTCAGTTTTGATGGCGAAAAAAAAATAACTCAAAAGTTGTATTTACCCCATCCTCGGCTTGTTTCAGAGCAGCAAATTGAGCAGCCAATTCAGCTGGTTCCCAGTCACAAGAGGTGGGTAGAACCGGGAAAATCCTTCCAGGTAATGAGCCGGAACAACCATCAACATTGTATCCCTATGTACAGTGATATCACAGATAAAAGAAATATTAAAGAAATGATGATTCTATAGAGAGAGACTTATATGTGTTGGTGATATATATTTATTGATGAATCGACAAGGTGTGACAATCTTGAGTGACTTGTGACTACCAACTGATTGCACCAAGAAATAACATACTACGTCAAGATCTGAATGTGTACTTTTGCATTTTGGAGTGTCCAGAATCACTCTGACTTATTTAGTAGTGGAACACCTAAGAAGTACCATGAGTAACATTTAAACAAAAACATGTTGCGTATGATGTTGGGGGAGAGTGCTATGATAGCGTGTTGAATTCATCAGAGTCCTTAACCACTGAGTTGTTAGGATAATTGTATAGCAAAATCCTGACAGCAAAGTGCAGTATAATATTAAAAATGTAGTGCACCACAATTTGGCCTCGTTTGAAAACAATAATACATAACTAACAAGACACTAGGTGCAGATATAGTATCGAGAATGCAACATAATGCATGGTAATTAAAGGAATGCCAAAGACCAACCCCAGAATCGTTAACTTTTTTGTTGTAGATGGCATATTCAGATCGATTCATCACGCGATAACGCTTCAGGCGTCGGGGAAGGCTTGCTGCGGGTCCGTAAACGGTTTTTTTAATATGGCCAGCAACACCATAATCAAGGAACTTCTTATCATTATCCTCCACGGTTTCATCCATGACCCTAAATTTCATATTCAAATCGAAATTAAGTAAATAAGTAAATCCATAAACTTATTTAGGGTTTCATCAATCCTCAATTTTCGGGGTGGTGAATGAACTCCTACCATGCCCCCCAACAACAACAACAACAACAACAACAACAACAACAAAACGTGATGTAAATCCGAAAACCCTAATTAAAAAACATACGAAATTAAGAGAGCGCCTAAAACATAGACGGGGAGGGATCCGGAGCCCCTATGGGGTGTACGTACCCTCGAATAGGATGTTCTTCGCCCACTGCTGCTCGTCAAATGTTTATGGTCGTGCCTTTTCTTCCTTTAATCACGTATTCCTCTCACTTCTCACTTACAGAGAAGCTGCTCATTCGCAGTTGAGTGGATAAGGTTGTGTTTCTTTCTAAGCCTCTAAATGGATAGTCGAAAATCCGATTACCGTCCGCATCCGTATCTGTTTAAATAGAAAAAATCCGCATCCGTTTTAAACGGATATTATCCGCATCCGATCCGGGATAACCGATTACTAAACGGATGCGGATTTGGTATTTATGAATCCGATCCGTTTAAAATCCGATCCGCATGGACATCCGTTTCAATAACCGTTACCGTTTATCCGAATAACCGTTTATCCGGATACAAAATTAAAATAAATGAAATAAATAAAATCTAGTTATGTATTTATTCCAATTGTCAATCCAATAAAGTTGGGCTATTGGCCCAATATGAATATATCACAAATCTAACCCTACCCCATCCATTCAACAAACCCGTAGGAAGAGAAATCTCTGAATCTCGCAACGTCCGACCGTCTCCCTCGGCAAATCTCAAAGCAGATTTCTGCTTTTCTCGTCGTTCTTGAAAAAAAGTTGCTACAAATTGGTAAGAAAGTTCTTGATTATCGACATACACAAATTCCAGTGTTCATCCTTCCGGATTATAGCCAACCGGATGAAATTCTTCCGGATTTTGCCAGAAATATAGCCGAGAAAAAACGACGATCGATGAGAAAGGAATTCAAGAGCAAATCTGCAGTTTTGCTTTAGTCAATTTTAATTTTGCTTTGGCATTTGTAAAGGAAATCACACTATTCTTAATTGGTGTTTCCCCTTTCCCCACTTCGATGTTCTTACGACGTGTAATTGTGTACCATGTGGTTTGTATTCATGAACTGCATTGGATTTTCGGATTTGTGCAAATGGATAGTCGGATATTCGGATGTTAGAAAATTCGGATACTTAAACGGATGTTCGGTCGGATACGGATATATCCGAATCCAAAAATAATCCGACGGTTTCGGATTCGGATTTGAGAGTTAAAACATCCGTCGGATTCGGATGCGGATTCGGATGTTGTTTCGGCTAAACGGATGCGGATACGGATGTTGTATATCCGAGGCGGATTTTATCCGTTTACAGCTCTATTTCTTTCCTCGGTTATTCTAGTGCTGTTCTCCTCAACTCAATATTCTTGTAAGGATATCACAATCATATTCTCGTAAGGATCACATCACTTCACATTAAATTAGATTAATAATACTCCGTAGTGATAATCATCTTTAATAATACAATTAATGATAATAATAATTAATAAATAAATAAATAAAATTATTTAAAAACTTTTAGAAATAATAAATAATTATTACCTTACTAATTATTAATAATAAAATTATTTTTGTAATAATAATAATTAAAAATTATTAATAATAAATTATTATTATCATCAAACATTTTGATATATTAATGATAATCATCATCAATAATCATAACACTAAATATTAGTAACAATAATAATAATTAAATATAATAATATTAATAAATATAATTATTTAACAAATAATGATAATTATTATTATTATTATTTATAATAAAAATTATTATTGTTTTATATTAATAATAATTAATAATAAATTGTTATCAATTTAATAATAATAATAATAATTTAAATTTGATTTAATTCCATTAAAATCAGATCAGATCAGGTCATATCAGATTTATTAAGATTAGATAATATCAGCCTTAAAAAATTTAGCACCAGACTCTACTTATAATGAAACTGCAATCAAAATAGTTTTTTTTCCTCTATGTGTTTTATTAAGAAAAACAAACTACCTAAAAAAGAAAGAGTCTAAGAAAAATTAGAAAATTGAAAAAAGAAGAAACTTGAAAGGATAATGGTCTAATTTATTAACTATTGGGCTTTAGGCTGTTACGTTATGGGCTTAGATTTACTAGATTATTTTAAAAAATTAATATTTTATTATATACCGTTCCGGACCGAAAAATTCTGGGTTTAGACCGGACTGAACCAGAACCTGGGATTCTAAATTTTTGAAGACCGAAGACCAGACCAGAAAATTCCGGACCGGTGCATTCCGGTCCGATTCGGGTCTAAATTTCGGTCTAAACCTGTTAATGCAAAACCCTATCTACTTCAATAATTAAAGAAACGTAGCCAATTTGAAGATCTATTTTGTTCTATTCCATCATACTCGAAAGCCAAAAAAAGAATGTCATCTTTTACGTTTATCATATGTGAAACACATGATCTTCTTTTAAAATAAACTCTAAATACAAAATATTTCAATTTGGTTTTATTACATTCTTTACATCTTTTTTAATTATCATGCTTGTCTAAAACAGAATATAACACCCTTGCTCATCTAGGTCTGCAGCCCTTTCTAAACAAATTTTGTTTTTCAATATCAAACAAGTCACTTGAATAATGGAAAATGTTATAAAAGTTATTACTATTATCAGTATCATCATGATTGTTGTTTGAATGGATTGAAGTTCATTCTCAAAGATAATAGTTTAAATACGGTTACTATCTCAAATAAAAGTTCGAGGTAACAGTGCGACCATAGCTCATAATACCCCGCAGGCAATGTCTAAGCAAAGACTTTTAGCAAAGCTACTCCATATTTGCCAATCAAAGTTTGACTAACTAAAATTTTATTCAATGTTGTAAAAACCATGAACACCTTGGGTTCATACAATTTTGATTTTTACCATGGCAACATGTTATGCAATTCGTATTAGAATTGTCCATGGTTGGTCTAGTAACCATGTCAAACTTCAAAGAAAAAAATCTATTATACTTCGTATATACTCCCTCTGTCCACCATATATCTTCTCAGACACTATTCACAGGGTCAAACTTTACTCACTTTGTTTCCTCACTTTTACTAGTTGATGGGGAATAACCCTACGCCAGCCTAGGACTGACATTAGCATAAATTTCCTAAGTATTGGGCTTGGATGTTCCTGCCCGGCCCAGAGCTCCGCTCGTCTTCCTGCCCGGCTCTGCGCTCCGCTCGTCTTCCTGCCCGGCTCTGCGCTCCGCTCGTCCTTCCTGCCCGGCTCTGCGCTCTGCTCGTCCTTCCTGCCCGGCTCTGCGCTCCGCTCGTCCTTCCTGCTCGGCTCGGCCAACCAAGCCGAGCCCGAGCCCCGCGACAATGACATGAGGAAAGCAACGTTCAACGGAGACTTGATGAAAGCGATAGGATGAAAGGGACAAGACGTAAGGACAAGTGACGTCCGCTAGATGACGGGCCTCGATCAGAGAGCTTTGACTTAGCGTTTTGCACCCCCTATAAAAGGGGTGGTACCCCTCATTGTAATGGATCCGAATTTGAAATCAATATACTCCCACTTTGCACACACACTCTCTCTAAAAATTGTATTATTTCATACTCTCGGTGGTTTATAGCCATCACTAGTCATTTTGTAAAATAATTTAGTCGTGTCACCTCTAGTTTTGTAGAACTCTTCATGTAGTTTATTACGGAGTACTATATAATTTTACTCCTATAATCAATTAAATTGGATTGAAAATAAGGTCGGTCAAGCCTCTTAACGCGTAACGGGAAGAACTTATGTGGACAGAGGGAGTATAAAAGTAGAATCAAAATTAGGCAACATATTGTTAATGAAGTTAGATAAACTGCACCCATAATTGCAGTCTGCCTTCAGCCGTAGGCCGGTAATTGTTCAATTTTGATTGTGTTTATATATATATATATATATATATATATATATATATATATATATATATATATATATATATATATATATATAATAGATAGATAATAGATTCTAGGGTAATTTACCCCCCCTAGGTTGATATTTCCATTCGGGATTTTTCAGACATCATATCACTTAAGAGTCAATTTGCTTTCTTAAAAACATGTTTTAAGATCCAAATCTTAACCTCACAAACAATTTAAAATTATGATCGATTCTTTGGTTTTTGAATTCATATTAAAGAAATCTATGAAAATGTAATATTATATATCTAATAAGTCCAATTTTTTCTTTTTGCTAATTTAATTTCTTTATTTGTATGGCATGATCTTCCTTCCTCTTCCCCTTTTCATATGCGTTGAAAGAATGTCTCCTATTGTGGAATCTTGACGTCGATCAACAATGTCACACTTAATCAACAATGCTACCAACATTTAAAGTGGTATTTTTGTTCTCTTGCATTCATTTTTAAATCTGGATCTCCAACAACCAATGAATTTAGGTCATTTTTCAGATTTAATTTTACAATCTTGTGATTTTTAAACATGCTTTGTATACATGATTTGATAAACTTCAAGTTGAAATGCTGGTTTTATCAGTTTAGGTGTGTATATATATAATATATGTGTCATGTTTTATAAACCTGTGGGAATCAGTTTCTTGTAATGTGGTCCTGTTTACAGGTGAGGGGAAATCTATTATATCCTGGTTTTGTGTGTTTCCTTATATTTCAGGTGAGCATGGAGAATGGTGCGATAAGTAGTTTTCACTTAGAGGCGGGTGCTGATCCTAATATGAAGCCAAATTTCACCTTCCATGTTCAGAACAAAGCTGTTTGCTCCATTACTTTTAATCTGTTGGTTCCAAATGTATATATATACCTTCCCTTTTTAGACGTCTACCTGTCTTTTTTCCATTCCTGCTTCATAGTGTCATCCATCATCTTCCCTAATGAGCTAATTTATTTATGTTAATCTTGGTAGCTTCTTGCGGCAGGTTCTCTAGATAAAACGCCATTCATCTCTGTCATCTTCTTTTGAAATTCTCATCATCTCAAACTGTCTCTTTTAAGACCGGCGGAGACTAACCAAATGCAGGTAAAACTATGGGATGGGATTTGTCTGACAATCAACCTTCATGTATTGCTTCTAGGAATCTCATAGCAGTATATCTACATTTGCCATCATAATCATCATCATCATCATCATCATCATCATCATTGTTATTATTATCTTTTTTAATAAAAAAAAATTGTAAAATGTTTTTCCTTTTTACAACAGATTATGTATGCTTAAACCAGGACTTCACCCCTTACTATATTTTTGGTCAGTGGAGCTCTTTTTTTCCCTTTCAAATGACTGCCCATATTTGCTTTCAATGGGTGGCTCTATGGGAAACCTTGAAGTGAGTGAAATTTTGATACGTTGTGTAATATATGGTCACTTTCTTTTTTGTCCTTGTAGAGGATTTTGGTAAAATATGGTTTGTTGCCTTCTGTTGTCTTTATAGTGTCCGTGTTTGGGCTCGGCTACAAATAAATTTGAAACACCTATCATGGATGGAATGTAGGTGACGGCGGTAGCAATATGGCGAGAACAAGTGGACTTGTGAGCCTCCATCTCTTCGTCTCCTCAACATGGGATGTGCGAGCCTACATCTCTTCGTCTCCTCAACATGGGAGGTTCGAAATATTTCATCTATTCAGTAAATTTGTTTAAATGCTCCCTAGTTTATTTTTCTTCATTTTTTTCACTCTTTGGGGGGGCAAGAAAGACAGAGGTGGTTTTAGACTTCGAGCTAATATATCTCGAAGTGCTTATAAGACAAAGAGAAGTACTTTTGTTTATCAGTTCTCTTATAACTTTTGCTTTGGTTTAATGATTACCATTGGTTTGTATTTTATTTTCTTACCTTTTATTATAGTTTTTTATTGGACATGAGTTTCGTTTATATTTAAAGCTTTAAAAGAGTTCTTAATTGCTTCAGAAACCTTTCCAGACCTTAGTAACAAAAGAAAGGAAGAAAAAAATGATACAAACTGCATATTTGGTAGTAGACTAGTATAGTTCTTTCGAGCATTACCAGATTTTCTACCATACACTATAACTTAATTGACCATAGGTGCCATATAAAGTGAAACACACACTTAACAAAGAATGGTGGGAGTATTATTTTACTCTCATGCATCATGAAATGTTTTAAATTGTATATTTGCAGGATTGTCTAGCAAATTCAACCAATTCAAATTTTTAACCATATTTTAAGGGAATTCAGTCCACTAAGTCAATACCGTCATTTCAGGCAAGTTTTACTCACTTGACAAGATTTTTTGTTACCTACTTATGATATTGCAAATTATAGAGGGAAGAAAACAGACCATCCAGGATAGGAAGAAAGTAGAATACTGTTTCAGAGGCAGAATTTGGTGGCATGAATAATGTCAAACCACCATCAATGCAAAGTAGAATATACTAAATGACTTTTTTTATACTCCGTAGTTAAGAAGTCACTCACGAAATATAGAAACACAATAGTTGAGGTAGTGACAAGAGGAACCAACAGTGTAACTGGGAATAAAAGAAGATGTCATTACAGCATTAGGGGTGGACACGGTACGGTTCCGGGATGGTTCCGGTACTGCCACCCCTTGGTACCGGTACCGGGACCGGACCGGCCGGTACCGGTTCCGGTACCCGGACCGGCGGTTCCGGTATCGGACCGGCCACCCCCAAATTAATTATTTTTTGCTTTTTTATTAAATTTTTAAAGTGTAAAATTGATTTATTTTTTTGATTATTTTTTGAAAAATCTAGTGTCCATAAAACAATTGAGATCTATGAAAAATATTAAATGCAATTGTTGAAAAATTTGGAAGAGACTTATTTTGAGAAAGAGAGTAACTTTGCTGAGGGGCTGGACCGCCAGACATGTTGCAGGCCTGCAGGGAAAAAACAATTCACGGTACCGGTACCGTACCGGTACCGGGACGAAAATTTTGGAACCGGTACCGGCACCGGTTGGGGCGGTTCCGGTACCAGTTCCTAGCACCGGTGGTACCGTTACCGGTAACGGTACCGCACCGGTACCGTGTCCAGCCCTATACGGCATTTATGAGATCCTCTTTAGAATCAAACTGATCAACCAAAAAACCCCTTGGCCTCCACCAAAGTATCTCCGTGATCGCAACTACCATGAAGCAAGGGTATCATCACTTGGTAAGACAGACAAGTCAAATGCATATAAGCAATCAAGGAAGGAAAAAAAAAGTATAGACTTGCTGCGAACTCTTCCATTGCACCCAGTATGAATGTCATATGGCAAAAGTTCCACTAAACTACCTTTGAGAACAGCGTGGTGAGTGAAATGTGAATTTGTTTTTACGGGAGACGTTGGGGTTGCGACAATTTATAACAACAAAATTTTTATTTGTCAAATTCATATGTAACAATGGCTGCCGCTGAGCCAAGGGAAATAGATCTCTCTAAAATTGGCCGCCGCCGAGCCAAGAAATAGATCATCATCCCTGTCTAGGGGAATAGATCACCACCGAGCAAGCAGAGCTGCTGTCACTGTTCCCATCAAACTCGAAAAAGATGGATAGTCTTTTAAATTACTCTATAACTTGGAATTGAGCTGGTGGGAAGGAGGAGCAAAATTGGAACTCAAAGTATAAAAAAACAAGGAAAAATTTATATAAATACTCCCAGAAATTCAAAATTTTACAATAATACTCCCAAAATTAATTAAAGACACTGGTGCTCCCGATTAAATTATAACTTTACATCGTTACTCCCATTTTGCCTAATTAGCATTCTTATGCTTACATGTAATTATTTGAACTTAGTTGGCACTTTAGTTATTTTTTTGTTTTAATAACAAATGCCAGCATAGCTCGTCCTCTTCGTTCTTAGGGTTCTCCATCGACGTCTCATCTCTCTGCAAGTATCCAAGTGAGTTTTCTTCTTTGCTCTTCTCTCATCTTCGTCTCTCCCTCATCTCCATCTCTCTCTCATCTTTGTCTCTCTCTCCCATCTTCGTCTCTCTCTCTCATCTCCGTCCTTCTTTCTTATTCTTTTCTCCCAAACTCATAACCCTAATTTAGATGTCCATGGTTTATGGTGTTGTAGTGAGAAATGGTCAGAGCAAGTCACCCGACACCAAAGTGCAAGCATGATACCAGTGCAGATATGAATGTCTGCCAAAAATCCCCTAACCCCTAAAGTGGAAAGTGATTTTTATGGATGTTTTTACTACCCAACAACTGCACTTTTTCATAGACATGGTAGAGTAGGAATAAATTTGGGTTTTTCAATTAGGGGCGAAGGAACGACGGATAGAAGGAGAGTGAACCCTAGGAAGAAGATGAGCAGACTCTGATTACCAAATGCGATATTTTTTTAAGAGTGTTGAGGTATATCTTATTAAATAAAAAAAACTAAGATGTGCCAACTAAGATTAATTAATTACATGTAGGCGTGAGAAAGGATAATTAGGCAAAATGGGAGTAACGATGTAAAGTTATAATTTAATCGGGAGCACCAGTGTCTTTAATTAATTTTGGGAGTATTATTGTAAAATTTTATATTTCTGGGAGTATTTGTATAAATTTTTCCAAAAAACAATCACTTAAAAATACGTTTAAGTCAATATGAGAAAATCATTATAGGATAAAGGGATTTTTTTAAATTGAGGGATATCATATATTGATTGTATTGAAAATCATATTTTTAATGATATTCATTTTAAAATTTTGAAAATAATTTTAAATTTTTAATATTCATTACAAATTATAGAATAAGTATATTCCCGTGCAACGCATGACTGAAATGCTAGTCTATATAAAAGAACAATCAAATTGCACCTAAGATCTAACGGTACAATTTCAATTTCACTTTCAATCCGACAGTCTAATTTCAAGATGGCAATTTTGAAATTAAAGCCCAAATGATGGACATTTACTCAGAAAATTACTTGCGGGTGACGCAGGTTTTGTCGAAATAACTCTCAGGTCCCTCTATTTTCAAAAAGACCACAGAGGTCCTTACATTTTGTTGTAATGACTGTGAGGGGACATTCCACCCAATATTTCATCCATAAATGTAAATAAATGTATTTTTTTCTATTTTTTCTAAATGTTTTAAGGTAATAAATCTTAGGTCACTTCTTTTTTTATTTCTTTGTTTTTCTTTATTTTTTTTTACTCTTTTTTAAAGTGTTATTTTAGAATTTCTTCTATAAAATCGGATAAAAATTCAAAATTGTTAGCATTATATTAAAATAAATGAAATAAAATATTTTCTAAAAATGAAAAAACAGAGTAATGGTAAAATAGGAAAAAACGGTAATGGAAAAATAGGAAAAAAATACATTTATTAACACTTATGGATGAAATATTGGATGAAATGTCCCCTCTCAGTTATTACAACAAAATATAAGGACCTTAATTGTCTTCTGGAAAATAGAATGGACCTGAGACAAAACTCGCGTTTTTCTGACATTTACTAATTTCACTTAGAAACCGCTATTTACCGTTTTGTCTCGCCCTCTCCCCTCGCCATTTACGCTTTTCTCAGCCCAAAGTCCCAAACGACGTCCTGCCCTCTCCCCTTAGCCGCAATTGATGAGGCGCCGCTGATGAACCAGACTGCGACAAATCTTGCGATGGCCGCGGGTGGAATCCGCACACAAGGATTGAAATATTGTTCATCAGTGCCGCTCTTGATTTCCAACAGCGATAGAGTTGCAGCTGCCCAAATTTGTCGATAGACTTGCCGCCTCCACCAGCGATAGAGTTGCCACCTCCACTGATTAGGTTCCTCTTAATACCTAATCTCTTCTCTCTATTATATGTCTTAAAATTTGATTTTAGGGTTTTTAGCGAGTACTATTTGCATTTTTGATTCATTCGATAGTTTTGTAATAGAGGTTGAAGAAGACTGCAGAACTCAATTTAGTCTTCTTCTCTGTTTCATTTTTCTAATGTACTACTTAAACTCCTCTTAAATTTAACATGGATTTCATTTTTTGGTGTATAGGGGAGATTATGAGAGTTTAAGGAATTGTCAAAATTAAGTACATTTAGTGAATAATGAAGCATATTTTTAATAAATTTTAAGTTGGATTTGAGGTTAATAATTTATAATTTCATCTTTTAAAAATGTATGAAAACTGGAAATCTAAACACCAATTCAATCAAACACCTTATTTTCTGCCAAATATACGAGCCTTTGTGTTCTACTTCAATCATGCTCTCTGTTTTGAATGAGACTAACATGTACTGGTATGTTTTGAATGGAACTTTCTACTGTTTTTGTCTATTTGGTGATCTAGGTTTTGTGATATTTGACTCATGGTAAGGGTGAGTGTGGTGGAATGGTGGAGTCTATCCACTGGTGAGTTGTCTCTATGAGGGTGTGCATGTGCTCAGGCTTGGGGTAGCGTCATAAGATGGCGAGAAGGATGATGAGGTTGAATACTTTTCTTTGTAGGGCTAGATCATGTAACCTCCAAGTCATAGGGATCGATCATTCATCAGTAAAATTTTATGTAGTATTGGCTGCTTTCATGAGGCAAAATTTCTGTTTTTCTAAAGTGTATTATAGTATAAAGCAATATTATTATTTAGAGTGACATGTTTTAATGTTTCTAAAGAAAAACTATGAGCAATTTAATATGTTATAAATTAAAGGATGATGTTTAGCTATATAACCAAAATATTTTACAAACTTCTTCTAAAGTTTTGGCATCAAATGTTCTCAAGTAGACCATAGTTTACATTAATATTGTTATTGAACAGAATTGTTTAATTTTTTTATTGTTATAAATTAGAGGATAATGTATAGTTATATACCTCAAAATTTTCACAAACTTCCTCTAAATTTTTTACATTTCTAGAACTCTATGTGAGACAGTTTTAGCTTACTTTTTTAATTCAAAAAAGTAACAGACTCTACTTACTGAATAATGCTCTAGGTTCTTGGTTTTCATCTTATTCTTTTTTTCGACAACGACAACTGAAGCGGACAACTCTGGTGGTAGTTGGCAACGACAACAACAATCTTAATTTTTCCTTCAAACGGGAACTGATTTTTCAAAACCCTTTACTTCATTTTGAAACATTTGAATTTGCTAGGGTCCTTAATTTTAATTAGTAAGCTATATGGCATTTGAGTTAGTTCATGCCACACAATTACAAAAAAGTACTCTTGAAAATGTATTTAGACTCCCGAAAGGAAAGGTGTGGGCAATAAAATTACACTATCAACCTTAAGAAGAGCAGTGTGTTTCACTATATTCTTTCCTAATCAAAAGCCACCAATCAAATAACCTGATACATTTCTCTAGCACGTTGTTGTCTTTCTTCAATACTTGACCCTCTAACAATAGAGCCAAAAAACAATTGAACTTATCATGTAAGTGACACAAGCATCATACCATTTCACAATGCGATCAACAGAGGTTTTATTCCTCTTCTCCAAAATTGAAGCAGGTGCCTGAGGTGCCTCATCAGGTAAAGTAGTCCTGCATTGTTGGCCTCATTCAAGAAATCATTTCCATATATCTTGCAAGTTTTATCATATGACTTTAAAAAAAAAACCTATGGCCCTCTTACAGCTGATGTGCTCTGTCAGTACAATGAACCAACAGGAAACAGAGTATTAAGATGTGAGCCTACTGTTTCATCTAAACAGGATACTGATGACCAAATCAGCAGAGGATTGAAAAAAATGCAAGGGACTATAATTGAGATGTTCCATTGATGTTAGACGATATACTCTCTTGCTCCCCAAATCAGGTTGTGGGTCTGAACTTGTATGATCTAAACTTACGCAGAAAATATAAATACAATATGGTTCTTAAAAGATATCACTGCATGAACCAACTTGAAACAGACAAAAAACGAAAACATTGAACTTATTTTAATGTTGCCCCTAAATTTGCTACCCTTATTGTGCAATTGCAGCACGATGATCGTTTTTTTGTTATTGCGGCTACCCCACTTCACTAACGAGGTCATAAACAAGGGTGAACCCACGAAGAAGGTAGCCATGCTTTGTTGGTGAAGGGATCTGTGGAACGATTCGTTGATGACAATATTTTGTTATTCGTCACTGCCTTTTGGCACTATACCTCCCAAATTCCTCTTTTCGGGTGTTCCAAAACTATGTTACTGTTGTTAGTTTAGATTTAAATTTTAAAAATAAAAGGGACAGGGGTAGTTATTTCTGGAGGTTAAAGGTAGTTATTTCTAGAAGTTGTATTAGTTAGTAATAGATGTGTTGATTAGTACCAAAAGTTGTGTTGGTTGATGTCTATAAATAATCCAGGAACATAGAATTCCTGAATGTAGTTCACAATAAAAAATCAGATCTGGAGTATATAAACAGAGTATTTTATAAACAGATCTGCATTTGTTTTGTTCTTCCAATTATTTTCCTACAACTGTGTGCTCATTCAAACTTTCGATGTTTCATGGTCTGAACATAGAAGAGCTCATTGAAGCGTTGATGCAAGAATCTGGTCAGATAAATATGAAGAGGAAGTGCACCCGAGATAGATATTGTGCCCTTGAACAAGCTTTTCAGGTTAGTTATTATCACCGAATAGTTTTTTTTTTAAAATCGGATATATTAAAGACAAATTAGCTTCCAATCGTGATGACAAGCATGATGCTAAGTCATTTTTATTCATAAAAAGAGGGAAAACAAGGAAGAAAAGCAGCTTAACTATTCTTTGTTGCCAAATCCCCTTCTCCCACTTCATCCTTCAAATTTCAGCACTTAGCACTTACTATTAAATAGTATTGATGATTGTTTTCAATTAAATAGTATATGCTCCTACAAAAAGTTAAATAGTATTGATGATTGTTTTCAATTTTGCTTCCTCCATGTTTTTTGTTGATGTTTCTTTAATGCACAGTACTCAGTAGAATGGTAACTGTTAGACAATAATACTAATAGTACTTCTTGTAGTATTGGTTATGGTAGTGTTTCATTATTAGTCAGCTTCCTAATCCTATCTGTGGTAGATGTTGTATGTTAGTTAGTTTCCATTCTCTATTCCTAGTTGTGTTAGGAGTCTCTCCTATATATACTCTATCATGTACTTCATAATTCAAGGAGCAATATTATTATTCCAATATTTCAACATGGTATCGGTGACCTAAAAAAAGGTTCTTTGCTCCCACCGCCGCCGCCGGTAATTCCGGCGACGGTGGCTCCACCATATTCACCTCTATTTTGTTTTTCTTCTTTATCCTCAAATCAACTTCTCCATTCAAATGAAATAAAAAAAGAAAAAACCCCCTGTTGAAATCACACAAAAAAACTATCAAAGGGGGAATTTCTCTCTTGTCATCTCCATGGTTCTTTAAAAAAAGACCCTACTCCTCACAAACTCTCTCAGATCATCCTATCTTCTCAAAAAAATAATTGTTGTTTCTCTCCAATTCACCATATCAAAATCTCACACCAAATTTTTTTCCATCACCAATTCTTAACCTACTTTTTCTCTCTAAAATCACTCATTCTAATCATCAACTTCCTTTCTCTTTCTCTTCTGTTGAACCAATAAAAATTCAAAGTAAATCAGCACAAAAGCAAAGCCAAGAGGGGACGTAGTGAAAGAGGAAATAAGACCTCTACAACTCACCCCTTCAAGAAGGAAATAGGGCATTGCCCGGATCCAAGAAAAAGACAAAAAATGTCAAGGATCTTCATTCAAACTGGCCTCCAGTAGCCTTCTCTATTCTTCTTCGACGTCAGCACCTACAAGCGCACGTCAACCTTCTCTCTTCTCCATCGACGTCAGCAGCTACTAGCGCACGTCAATTTCTCTCTTCTCCAACGACGTTAGCAGCTACCAGTGAACGTCAAGCTTCTCTCTTCTCCAACGACGTCAGCAGCCACCGGCGCGCGTCAGATTTCTCTCTTCTCCAACGACGTCAGCAGCCACCGGCGCGCATCACACTTCTGACTTCTCTCTTCTCCAACGACGTGAGCAGCCACCAGTGTATGTCAGACTTTTCGATCTCTTCTCAAAGTTTCCAGTTTCCAGCTAGTGTCCAAGCTTCCTCTTGCTTCAGCCAGAGTTCAGCTTGAGTGGGGATGTTAGACAATAATACTAATAGTACTTCTTGTAGTATTGGTTATGATAGTGTTTCATTATTAGTCAGCTTTCTAATCCTATCTGTGGTAGATGTTGTATGTTAGTTTCCATTCTCTATTTCTAGTTGTGTTAGGAGTCTCTCCTATATATACTCTATCATGTACTTCATAATTCAAGGAGCAATATTATTATTCCAATATTTCAACAGTAACAGATCTGAAGAAGCAAATATGATGGTGTATAGTGGAAAAAGCGACTGCGCATGGTAGAAAATTGAAGATGTTGGTGTTGGAGGAAGAAATTTGAGGCGGAGGTTTTGGAGTGCAGAAATAAGGTTTGGTTGGATTATATTGATTAGCAAGGTATATAAGACATTTAACTTAATAGTATAGAAAATTAAACAAATAAATTAATACTCCATAGTAAGCTGTATAAATAAAAAATTAGTACTATAAAAAACATTAAAGTGCACTATTCAGATTTAGTTCACATACGAAGTATTATTCATTTTTGTTAAATTTGGTCCTTATCTTTATTAGTTTTGTGTTAGAGAAATATTCTAAATAGGAGTATAACATAAAGATTGTAGTAAAATAAGAACTCCATGTTTTTGATAAGTTTGGATAACGAGGGATGTAGAGGACTATGCTCAAATATTTTTAGCCTAGAAGTACCATAGTTTTCAGAACCGGACCGGTGACCGAACCGGTCAAGGTACTGGTTCACTGGTTCACTGGTCGAACCAGTGGTTCAATTGGTTGAACCGGTGGTTTAAACATATTTAAAATTTAAATAAATAAATAAATAAGTAAATATAGAACACATACATATAGATACACACTTTCTCATTTATAAATATCTGATGGTGTAAATTACTTGACCGGTCAAACTATATTAGACCGGGTCTAGAATAGTTGGCTTGATTTCGTAAAGTAAAGAAAGCAAAAAACACTCAGAATGACCTGTAAGACTTTAGGTGGAACACCTGTAGCCCGAATTGTATTAAAACAGAGAATGCACGGTCACTTTTTCAAGGGAGTTTAGAGAGAGTGAATTCGGATCCCCCTTCCTGAGGTTTACATGAGTATTTATACTAGGTTTGGGGGGACAGGACCACGTGCGCCCACGTGGGTGCACGCTGCCGCAGGTGGGAAGTGACTGCTGAGCTGCCTCGTCCTTTTGCGTGGGGGGCTGCGCCTTTGTCGCGTTCTGGCTTGGAAATGTTCCTTCGGCATCTCTGCAATTCCAACCACTACAGTCCAAGTCCTTTTGGATTCCTCCTGCCGACAATCTCCATCCTCTAGAAACTACACCGGTTGATCCCTGAAGGTTGGATTAATTGACTTCGGAATTAGTTCCTGACGATGGAGTAATCTGACCGGTATACTATCCGAAGTATACCGGTCAACTTCTTGGTCGATCCATCATCCATTTGTCGATGATTCAGATCTTTCTTCTGAGTTTAACCTCTTTGACCGGTCAACTATCCGGTTCTAACCTTTGACCGGTCTTGGGTGGAATACACCCATCAATAAACCCTCCACTTCTCGGTTATGCAATTTTGTCATAAGCGGGAAGTAAAAAATCTGAAACAAGACTTTTAAATTTGAATCTTAGCTTTTCCCGCCCAGAAATTTTTGAATTTGAAATTCAAAAAGCGTCCGTTTTGACACGTGTTGGCTGTTGGACGGCGTCAGACCTGTCCCTTCGTCTCCCCATGCGTGATGATTGCGCCGCCTGACGCGGCGCGCCCTGGGGAAGCCACGTCGCCCCTTTTCCACTTCTCCTTGCCTATATAAAGGGTTCCAACCCCATTGTCTTCCTCACTTCTTCCTCGCGCGTCTCCCGAGTTTCACCGGTCAAGCTCCTCTCTCTTGCCTTCTAGCCCTCCGAGCCAAGTAAGCTCTCCTTTCTCTTAGCTTTTTCCTTTTGTTCTTCACTTTCGTTTCCGGTCAATGTCTTCTTCCGACAGTCAAGACATTTCCGCCTCAGATGCCCACGCATCTGAGGAATCCTCGTCCTCTTCTTCGTCTACCGGGTCGTCTTCCCCCGTTCCTAGACCCTGGTCGGTTCCCAACCCAAATATTCCCGAACCGCGGCCTGTAAACCAGATGCCCGGTCAGATTTTTCAGGAGAGGGATGCACCGGTCGAGGACGAACCGGTCCCCTATGACCCTGAAAACGTGTCGTATGAGGAATGGGTGGACCGGCTGGAAGCAGCCGGTTATTCTCCCCTTCCTAGCAGCTACCCTTCAGATATCTACCCCCATGTTTCCAAGATCGCCCAAAATAAGGCCCGTAGGAACCTCCCGGAGGGGTATGTCCTTGAATACGACCCTAACTGGCCCAACATCATCGAGCCTCACCGGGATGATAGGGTAGGGTTCCATATCGTCTCCCTGGAGAGTGGCACTGTTTTCCCCCTTCGCCCCCTTCTGGTCGAGTTGTGCCACTGTTTCAAGATCCTCCCCGGGCAAATTGCGCCCAATGCCCACCGTTTCCTTAATGCCTTCGTGAATATTTGTATAGAGCTTAAGATTGACCCTTCCCTCCGCTTGTTTCTCTACTTGTTTGAAGTCCTTCCCTGTAAGTCGGGTTGTGACGGTTACGTCTATTTCAAAGGCCGCAATGGTCGTCAATTTATTTCTGACCTTCCACAAAGCAACCGGCAGTGGAAGGAGAAATTTGTTTTTATAAAATTCCCCACCGCTTCTCCCTTGGCCGGCATCAAGTGGAATGACCACATTCTCAAGTCCCAATACACCGAGCCGGCTAGCGCTCCAGACTTGGAAGAAAGTTTGGAGAAACTTCTACAGGGGGACCCATTCACCGGGCAAATGTTCCACTACGGGGCTTGGATTTGGAGGATCCAACCGGGTGGTAAGGGTACCCCTTGGGCCCACGAGGCAGCGGGACACGGGGTACCCTCCCCGGGCAACACTGCCGAGGCCGGGGGCCCAAGCCACCCAGGTATTTCTCATTCTTTCTCGTTCATTCTCACCGGTCAGAGTTCGAATACTCACAAGTTTTTGCCTGTTTCTGTAGACATGAATTTCAGGGCCTACAACATGCCGAAGACTACCGGTGGATCTTCTTCAGCTGCCCCCAAGACTGGACCGGGCCAACCAGAAACCGTCGAGATCCATGACGAGGAGGAAACTCCCCAGACCGGGGGATTTGACCATTCAGGGAAGGCACCGGCGAACCCTTCCCCCAGCAAGGGGAAGGGAAAGAAGAGGGTGAAGCATGCTGCCACCACCCACCCGTCCTCCAAGAAGAGAAGAGAGGAGCCCTCCCCGGTCAGGGAATCCATGGAAGAGTTGTGGGTCAAGATGACCCTCAAACTGAAAGAGGTAACATTCTCCTGGTAAGTTATTTTCCCGGTCTGTCTGTTTGTTTCTTTAACCGGTTCATTCTCCAACTCGCAGATGGGCGAAGTCGGCCCGGAAACTTTGGAGAAGGTCACAAAGGATTCCTCCCGGTCACATCAGCTGGAGGAGCAGCTGAAAAGGTGACCAATCTCTCGAAGATTGCCGAGGGGGCCAAAGCAGAGACCCTCCAGCTGAAGGAAGAAAATTTGAAGCTGATGGAGGACCTGGAGCTGAAGGAGCGAGAGTTCCCCGGCAGAGCTAAGCAGTGGGTGGGGGAGAACCTGGAGGAGACTGCCCGGGTGATTACATACACTCCGGAGGTGACGATAGAGGCCTTCAAGTTGCTCTACCGGGAGGAACAAGGGAAGGAGATGATCACCCAGATCGGCTCGTATGGTTTCATGTCCGGGCAGAAGAGAGACCGGGAGGCCACGCATGCAGTCTTGGCGGAACGCGACCCGGCCTTCTCCGCTGAAGCATATGGTCTGGCCCCCATTCCCGATGAAGAGCCTGAGCCCCCCTCCCCCCTGGAGTAAACTCCCCGGCTGCGCCCGGTCAGATTTTGTAAACTTGAAAACTAGAATTTCCCCGGGGATGCCCGGTGTACTTGTAAACAATTAACTTTCATGTTATGTTTGAATGCAATGTCTAATTTCCGCACCGGTTAACCTTCCATATCTGCTTGCTCCATGATTGTTACTCTTTATTGCTTCTAAGAGTGTCATCATAAAAATTCTGACCGGTAGATACATCAGGCCACTTCTCAATTGTTTTCGACCGGTAGAACTTCCAACTTCTTTATCACTTTATTTGAAAGTTCAGCTCAAGTGACTTTGACCGGTTGAATTCCAACTTGATAGTCAATTTGAAAAAATGTTTGACCGGCCAGACTTCATTTTGGCTTTTGAACACCTTCGTTCTTGTTTTGAAAATGAAGCGCAGATTGACCGGTAGATCCTTTCTCCACGGTCTGACCCGTGAGCTGCTTCGCCTTGTGGAACTTTTGAAGTTCCGCTGTATCCATACGCAACCGGGGTATTTCTTTTTTTTTTTTGACCGGTAGGTTGTAGATGGAACACCTGTAACCTAGTGATTTCTTGAAGTATCCTTAACCGGTAAGAATACTGGAGATTTAACCATGTTCGAATGGTTTCGAACCCTCTCCAAGGTTCAAATGCATCCTTCTTCCAGGGCCCCCTCTTCCGGGTGATTAAGTCTTTTAATGGCCCTTTGATTTCTACCATCCCGGTAAGGCCTTAGCTCACCCCCCGTTCAAGTCTTCCCTGAGAAGGGGGAAACAGGATGCGCCACGGTGGACGATCCCCTTCTATTTCTTTTAATGGGCATCTTTTAGTCCCCAATCAGTTTGACGGCGTCGGCTGATTCCCCGACACCGGTCAAACCTCATGGGCCCGTGTAAGTACGGTTCGAACCTTCTTCCAGGTCCAGCCCTCTTGCAGGCATACCCTCTTCCGGGCCCCTCTTCCGGGTTTTAAATTTTTTCTATTATACTGAGCAAGACCGGTGTAGTAACCAGCGTGCCAGGTCCGGGCCTGTGTCTCAGTTGGCTTATCCGAGTGGATCCGATCCACCCGGGAAGCCCTCCTAGGATAGGTTCGACCTATCAATTCTGCTGCTACCATGTAGAGTATTGAATGTCATCGGTTTGATTGATAATAAAGTAGGCCTTATCTAGTATTACAATCATTTGTAGAACTTGCGAAGATGATGGGAACTCCAGGTTCTTTCTACCGGTACAACATCAAGAGTTTCTAACCGGTAGGTTCCCGGGCGAATGATAGCTCTCACTCGGTAGGGTCCTTCCCAGTTTTTTGCCAGTTTTCCTCCGTCTCCCGGTCTACTAGCCTCCCTTCTTCGCAGGACTTCATCGCCGACTTGAAAGTATCGCGGTCCAACCTTGTTGTCATGGTATTTCTTCACGACTTGTTGATATGTGCTCATTTTAACTTCCGCGGCCATTCTCCGTTCTTCGACCAGGTTGAGTTCGGCAAGATGATCTTCTTCATTTTGTTGGGGTTGATAATTTGATTCCCGGAAAGTTGGGAATTCAGCTTCGATGGGCAGCCTCGCTTCACACCCATAGGTTAGGGAAAACGGAGTTTCCCCATGAGCCCTCCTGGGTGTTACTCGGAACGCCCAGATGATATGTGGGAGCTCTTCCAGCCACTTGTTTCCCGCTTCTCCCAACCGTTTCTTTAGGCCATCCACAATCGTTCAGTTGGCGTTTTCAACTTGGCCATTTCCTTGGGGGTACGCCACCGAAGAGCGATTGTGCTTGATTCCGAAGCCCTCCAAGTATTCGGTGAATCTTGGATTTCTGAATTGTGGGCCGTTATCGGTGATTAGGTTCATGGGAGCCCCAAACCTGGTGATGATGTTCTTCCAAATGAACTTCTTGCATTGCTGCGTGGTGATATTGGCCAACGCCTCGGCTTCGATCCATTTGGTGAAGTAATCGATGGCCACGATTACAAATTTCTTCCTTCCTCGGGCGGTTGGGAATGCCCCAATGATATCCACCCCGAATCTAGCGAAAGGGATGACGTTTGATACGGGGTGATAGTAGATCGCCGGCCTACCGGGGTACTTGTAGAACACTTGGCACGTTCTGCACTTCTGGACGTACCTCTCGCAATCCTGAACAATTGTTGGCCAGTAATACCCCAACAAGATGATGCGCTGGGAAAGAGTGCGGGACATCTGATGCGCCGCGCATACACCTTCATGGACTTCTGCTATGACCCGTTCAGCCTCCCGGTTGGTTAGGCACCTCAGGAGGGGTCCTCCGAACGCCCTTTTGTACAGCTTTCCATCAAGGACTTGGAACCGGGGTGCTCTGAGTTTCACTTTTCGTGCCCGGTCTTCTTGCTCTGGCAAGGTCCCGTTCATCAGATATTCCATCAGATCATACATCCAGTGGTCATCCGCCCCGACCAGGTTTGACCGGTCACATTGGCCCGATCCTGTTATGGCGGCTACTTCCAATTTTTCGATGCTGGCATGGTCCAGGATCTCTACCCGGGCAAGTTTTGAAACATGCTCGGGAGCGTACTGCGTCAATTTAGAGAGAAGGTCTGCATCTGCATTTTCTGCCCGGGGGATTTGAGCGATCTTGAATTCCTCAAAGCCTTTCAACAAGGCAAGCACCAAGTCCTTGTACTGCGCCATTCGACCTTCCCTGGCTTCCATGTTACCGGTCACCTGGCCAATGATTAAACTGGAATCAGATTTGATACTGACCCGGTTGATCTTCAGTGCTTGGGCAAGTCTGAGCCCTCCAGCAAGAGCCTCATATTCTGCCTCATTGTTCGTCAGCTTAAAGTTGAAGACGATTGCATGGTAAATCTTGAACCCTTCTGGGGTAGTAAACATGACACCACCCCCGTATCCCTTAGGACCGGATGCCCCATCGACCGCCATCTCCCACCATTGTTCAGTGGGCTTGTTGACCAGTAGGTCTGTAGCTAGACCGGTCATTTCCACAAGGAAGTCCGCAAGGGCTTGCCCTTTGATCGCTGATCTTGGCCGGTACTCAATGTTGAATTGAGTTAACATCATCGCCCATTTCACCATCCTCCCGGAGGATGTTGAATTTCGCAAGACTGCACCCAGCGGTTGGTCAGTCAAGACTTCTACCGGGTGGGCTTGGAAGTAGGATGTTAACTTTTTTGCAGAGATAAAAAGCGCGTAGGCTGTTTTTTCCATCGCCGTGTATCTACTTTCAGCTCCGTTTAGTGCTTTGCTCACATAATAAATAGGCTTTTGCGCCCCATCATCTCTTATTAAAACAGAGCTTACAGCATTTAGGGAAATTCCCAGGTACAGATACAGAGTTTCACCCGGCTGGGGCTTAGACAATACAATATCTGACACTAGGTACTCTTTCAGCTCTTCGAATGCCCTCTGGCACTCTTCGTCCCACGCAAAAGTGTTGGCCTTCTTCAGGACTTTGAAGAAAGGCAGGGACCTTTCAGCTGACCGGGAAAGGAACCGGCTGAGTGCCGCTAGGCGACCGGTCAACTTCTGGACATCCCTCACAGATATGGGGGCCGGCATTTCAGTGACAGCCCGGATTTTTTCTGGGTTGGGCTCTATTCCTCTCTTGGTCACCATGAATCCCAAGAACTTCCCGGTACGAACCGCGAAGACGCATTTCTTAGGATTCAACCAGAGGTTGTATCTTGCCAAGGATATCAAACGTGGCACGCATATCAGCCGGGTGGTTGAGAGATACCTGGCTTTTGATCAGCATGTCGTCGACGTACGCCTCCATAGTCTTTCCCAATAATGGCTTGAAGAGCTTGTTAACCATGCGCTGGTAGGTTGCTCCCGAATTCTTCAAGCCAAACGCCATTACCCGGTAACAATAGGTTCCTTCGGTTGTGAGGAATGACGTCTTCTCTTCATCTTCTTTGGCCATGTAAATCTGGTGGTAGCCTTTGAAAGCATCCATGAAACTTAGGAGTTCGCACCCCGCAGTTTCGTCCACCATTTGATCTGGGCTGGGAAGGGGGTATGAATCCATCGGATATGCTTTGTTCAAGTCCGTGTAGTCCATACACATCCTCCATGTGTCCCCCTTGGGAGCCAGAACCACGTTGGCCAACCAATCCAGGTATTTGACTTCCCGAATGTGACCTACGCTAAGGAGGTCCTTCACCTCCTTCTTGACGAAGTCCCGCCGGTCACTAGCCAGATACCTCTTCTTCTGGCGTACCGGTCGACTTCCCTCCCTCACGGCCAACCGGTGACAGATGATTAAGCGGTCAATTCCGGGCATATCCGCCACGCTCCATGCGAATATGCCAGCGTATTCTTGGAGGACCCGTGTAATCTCCGCCTTGAGGTCTTCTGGGAGGTTTGCTCCAATTCTGACCGTCCTTGAAGAGTCACCCGGGTGGAGTTCGATCTCCACGGTCTCAGCCTCTGGCTCCAGTTTCTCCCGGGTTTCTCCCTTGGTGATCTCTTGGGAGATCACATTGACTCCCTTGGTCATCTTCTTAACTGCCCGGGCATAGCACTCCCTGGCGTTCCTTTGGTCACCCTTCACTTCACCCACACCGCCTGGAGTGTGGAACTTCATGCATAGGTGTGGCATGGAAATTACTGCCCCGACCTTGTTGATGCCAGGCCTTCCAAGGATTGCGTTGTGGACGCATTTGATGTCCACAACAATGAACCGCATTCTCTTCCACACGGTCTTTTCGCCCGATCCTAGTTCGACCGGTAGAACTATGGACCCTTCAGCTTCCACCGTATCTCCCATGAAGCCTGAGAGAGGGGTTTTGAGGGGTTCAAGTTGTGTTCGACACAACCTGAGTTTCTGGAAGGTCTCCAGGTAGAGGATGTTGACACTGCTGCCGGTGTCAACAAGTACCCGGGCAACGTCCACCCCATTGATGTCCATGGTGATGACCAATGGATCACTGTGATCTTCACCGGTAGGAGGGAGATCCCGGTCAGTGAAGACTATTGGCTCCCTCCTAGGACACTTACGCCTGGCCGGTTCGGCACTTACCTCACCAACGTAAATGCTGCGAACCCAGTTTTTTCGCTGCGCGGCTGAATCTCCTCCTTCGGGCCCGCCGAAGATCATTCCAATATGTTCCTTGTCAGGGGCCGGCTGCTGCTCCCTCTGCCGGTTATTCCTCCGCCGGTCCTTGTCCCGGTCGTTCTCCTGGGTTGCTGGCCTAACCCACTGGTGGTTCTTTTCTTGGGCCTTCTGCAGATAATCCTTGCCTAGTTCCCCGCTGTCTATCATCTGCCGGATCACCCCCTTAACACTTGCATTCGGAAGTGTTATGGGAATCTGACCTGTGGTATGAACAATAGGTACCCGACCACTGTCGGCCAGTTTGACCGGTCGGATTTTCCGGAGGAATGACCGGTGCCTTTCTTACCTCCTGGCACTCTTCTGTGTTGACCACGCGGACAACCGGGTCATAATCGTGCCTTGGCCGGTTGGATCCCGGCGCCTCTTCCTTCTTGACTTACACCGGCTTGGGCTTGTAACCATGCCCGGCTTCTTTCTTCGCCCGGAGTTGAGTTTCTGCCTCGGCGAACTCCCATGCAGTATGGTACGCTTCCTGATACGTGGACGGGGGTTTCCGGCAGAACTCCTTGTAAAGTTCCCCCGCTGGCAAACCATTCTGGAGGAGGGACAACACTGTCTTGTCATCCATCTCCTCAACCTTGTCTACCTCCTCCTTCCACCGGGTAAGGAATTGGGTGAGGTTCTCAGATTCCCTCTGCCCGGCTGTACTAAGATAGGTGAATTTCTTCCTCTTGGTACAGTTCTCCTGGAACTTGGCCTTGAACTTCAAGGCCAAGTCGCTGAATGAGTCAATGCTTCCCGGGCGAAGCTTGTTGAACCACTCGGTGGCTCGATTCCGCAAGGTCTGGAAGAAAAGGAGGCACTTTTCTTCATCTGTGCAACCGTTCATGGTTGCACTCTGATTGAAGGAGTCCAGGTGAATTTCTGGATCCTCCTTACCGGTAAACCTTGGGGCGTCTATCTTGTCCTTTCGTGGGAAAGGTGTCAGATGGACCCTTGTAGTGAACGGGGACCCTGCGAGGGGTTTGTCCCGGTCATTCTTCTCCCCCACCTTCTTCTCCAGCCTCTCCTGCTTTGCCTCCATCTGTTGGACGCGATCATTGGAGGTGGTTAACCGGTTAGCCACCGGTACCCTGGGTTGGCTTTCTGCCTCTTCCTCCTGGCGAGAGGCCCTCGTCCTGGCTGGCTCCTGCCGGTTTGACCGGGAGCGTTGGGTGCGGGCAGGCTCGGCCTCCCTCATCTCGCCTAACCGGGCGAAAGCGCTGACATGGGCAACGCTTTGCCCCAGCCTTAGCTTGGCTGACTTTCTCTGGCCCTCTTCCTTGTCCCCTAGCCTTTCGAAGGCAGAATTTCGGGAAGTTGCTGGGCGGATAGTTTTTCCGTTCTTCTTCTTGTGGGCCCTCGGAATGTCCCACTCGCCGTCCCCGCTCTCAACCGAGACGCAGTGACCATCAGGAGTGATTTGTGGATTCGTCCCTTGCGGGGGACGCGACAGCCCTGCAGCGTTAAGCGCACCACTCAAGTTGACAGGGGTCACAGCGCTGACCAGCTGCGGCTGGAAAGGCGATGGTTGCGGCATCGGCGTCTGGAAGGGAGACACCGCCATTGGAGCTTGTAGGGGCATGGTTCCCGCGCCTGGAAGAGCGAACGGGAACATACCAGGGAGGAAAGACATCCCCACTCTGTTGGCACATAGCCATGACCTGGCCAAAGCCTTGGATGGCCTGCAAGTTGGCTGGGTCATTCATGAACTGCGTCATGCTTGGTGGAAAAGTGACCCTCAGCCAGCGGAAGGGACGGGGGCCGTGAACGGGCTGGCCATGCTAGGTGTTGGGACTGAGCTTAGTCCCAACGGCAAAACCGGAGCAGAAACGGCTGGCAGGGTAGCAACCATGGGGATGCTAGCACCTCCAGTGGTGGCTTGTACCTGAGTAGAGGTAGCGTTGATCTGCTGGCTTGAAGACATTCTGAGTGGTGTTCTTGTGGGTAGGTTTGTATTTAGAAGAGAAGAAACCTTAACAGTCCCACGGTCGGCGCCAAAAATGATGGTGTAAATTACTTGACCGGTCAAACTATACTAGACCGGGTCTAGAATAGTTGGCTTGATTTCGTAAAGTAAAGAAAGCAAAAAACACTCAGAATGACCTGTAGGACTTTAGGTGGAACACCTGTAGCCCGAATTGTATTAAAACAGAGAATGCACGGTCACTTTTTCAAGGGAGTTTAGAGAGAGTGAATTCGGATCCCCCTTCCTGAGGTTTACATGAGTATTTATACTAGGTTTGGGGGGACAGGACCACGTGCGCCCACGTGGGTGCACGCTGCCGCAGGTGGGAAGTGACTGCTGAGCTGCCTCGTCCTTTTGCGTGGGGGGCTGCGCCTTTGTCGCGTTCTGGCTTGGAAATGTTCCTTCGGCATTTCGGCAATTCTAACCACTACAGTCCAAGTCCTTTTGGATTCCTCCTGCCGACAATCTCCATCCTCTAGAAACTACACCGGTTGATCCCTGAAGGTTGGATTAATTGACTTCGGAATTGGTTCCTGACGATGGAGTAATTTGACCGGTATACTATCCGAAGTATACCGGTCAACTTCTTGGTCGATCCATCGTCCATTTGTCGATGATTCAGATCTTTCTTCTGAGTTTAACCTCTTTGACCGGTCAACTATCCGGTTCTAACCTTTGACCGGTCTTGGGTGGAATACACCCATCAATATCTAAAGAAAGTAATTTATAACATTTGACTAAAAGTATATTAAAATACTTGATTTATTTTACTGAGTAAAAAAATAAAATTTACATATTAGAAAAAGAATACTTAAAATTTTATAAATGAAGACTTGATTCATAACTATATAATATAATATTTTTAAAATTAAAAAGGAATTTTTATACAATCTTTTTTTAATTATGTAATATTATAAAGTATTAAGTGAACTTGTAACAAAAAACGCTCTTGCTTGGATGGTTATGAACTCAACCAAATGTCTAAAAGGTCTTAGGTTCAAACCCCCATGATTGCATGTTTTGAAAAAAAAACTGGTTCGGCCAGTCGAACCGGTCGGTTCACACCGGTTTTCACCGGTTCACACCAGTTCGATGCTTGTTACGGTCCAAAGGGCCGGACCGGACCGGTTGAACCACCGGTTCGCCGGTTCACGATCTGAACCGGCCGGTCCGGTCCGGTTTTTAAAACTATGCCTAGAACCTATGGCACCCATGCTCAATAATATTCTTTGCAAGCATTGCGGTAAAAAAGGACATGAAATCAGGGGATTTTTCCAAATTATTGGCTATCGAGAATGGTGGTCAGAGACACAAGCGCAGAACAATGGAAGAGGGGGAGGAGGAGGCCAAGGACAAAAGGAATTTCAGCCCCACATCTATTACTTTTTCTATTCCATATTAAGTGTGTATTTTGTTTTTGTTTTTTTTTTTTGCTATATTGGTAAATGAAAGTCTCATACTTTATGTTTACAATTGAAATGGGAAATTAATTTGAGGATAGATAGAGTTACTTTGTTTGTCTAGACTTTACTTCCTCCTTGTGTATGTATAAATACCCTGACATATGATAAATACGCTCTAAAACCCTATTTGTCTTGGCCGCCCTCTCTTTTCCAGCCTGCCGCGATCCACTGTGTAGCTTAGAGCATATGCAGTGGCAAGTAAGAAGGATGCCTTGCATTGCCACATCAGCTTTTTCCACTCTTATCATGTCATGGTATGGCCAAAATGCATTGCTTGGAAAGGCATGAGTGTGGCACTCCATCCTTCCTTTTTCTTTTTTTTTAAATAAATTTTTTAAAATTTTTTATAAAAAAAATGTAAAAGAAAGTAGAATAATTTTTTTAATAAAATAAATAATAAAAATATTTTTTTATGTTTAAAAAACATAAAAAAATGATAAAAAAATAATGACTTGCCATTGTAGAACTTGTCACTCTATGTACTTGCCACATGCTGACTAGACTATTTTTGATTGGCTAAAATGTTCCATGTCACCGAGTGGCTTTCCATTTTCGCGTTGCCATTGTTCATGCTCTTTCTTCTTTCACGTTTAACCACCGTACAATTGGTGACACACACAAATCTCTGTTACACATCCAAATCAAAATACGTTTTCCTATCATATATTACCATTACCCTTTTAAGATAGTGGAGAATACGGAAAAATCACAAGATGACCGGCGGCGGCAGCCTGGCCGGTTGCAGAGGAAAGCACCAGCGTCGATCCAGATTAACCCCACCACGGATTGGAATGTGGCAATACCGCTTCTATCGCCATTGATCACATCGCCTGTTTCGAGCGATTTGACGGCAGCGGTTGAATTGTGTTCGAATTCGAGCCGGGAGAAGGAGACGGTGAAAGAGGCGGAGAAGTTTTCGGCGACGGCGACAGTGGTCAAGGGGTGGAAACATCCGGCCGCACCGTTTTGCTCCGCTAGTGAAGTTGGTCTTTTCTGGAAGCAACGATCGATGATCTCAGATCTGGATGTAGGATGCAAAACGGAACAATCACCCATTGCAGAGTACACCCATGGATTTCAACAAAAGTAGTGTTTTACATTGCTTGTGGCAAAGTGGGCAGCTGAACATATCATATTTCTTGGTCGCCAGGTACCTATAATTTTCAGAAATTGACAGATTAAAATTTAAGTTGCACATTAAAATTGAAATTGCTTATCAAAAATGGCAAATTTTTAAGTAGCTAACTTCATTACGGAGTATCAAACAAAATGCTGTTTTTGATTACCTTCTAAAGAGAATTCACCTATATAATGTATGATTATACTCCGTATAAAACTCTGTATGCTTAAAAAAACTTATTTGGCCTAAAGATAATTAGAAGGGATGCACATAAGGATTAGCTCGTCATAAAGCTTAATTATGATGGATGTTTTCATAGCCATTATACACATATTTAGAGATTAATTCAATTGTTATACATATTTACATCCTATGGTACGGTAAAATGGTGATTTAGACCATTTTCATTTGCTGCTCTTTTACTGGAAATTTCCTTTGGTTTTTTAGTGCAATTTTGGAATCAATCTGCATACTATGCTGTATCACGAAACAATTGGGAAAAAAAAAGGTTTCCAACATGTGCTATATAGTTTGATCATCATGAATACATGTCAAGAAATTAAATTCTTTGATTCCAACATGCATATTTTATTATTTGATCCCATCCCAAATGTGATAAATCTTTTATTGACTACGTATGTGAGAGATACATGACATAGAAAAGAGAACCTCAACCAAAGTGTCAAATTTTCTCCCCAAAACGAATCAAATTTGATATGTATTTTAAAGTTATTTTCTAGAAGAGAATAACAAAATAGAGTTTTTTTAATGCATTTACCATTTTCCAGAAGTAAAATGGTCTATTTTTTTTAAAAAAATAAATTGTTCAATGCATTTTCTTCTTATGCAATGACATTATATTTTAATGTGATATGCTAAGTTGTAATAAAATTTATGTGACCAATATTTGTAATTGCATGTTATATGTGGTTTGAAATTACAAAATACGGAGTAGTATTTAAGAATCTAATTTCCTCTAATGTGGTAGTGTAAGAAAAAATTCATATACCCCATATTTGGTTACAAATTTAATCAACAACGTAACAATAAAATCTGGACGTATAAATACAGCTATTAACACTCAAAGTGTCACACTGAAGATTGTAAAAAGTAAATGTGAATATTCTTATAGGACCAAGAGAGTATTACTCCCTCCGTTTCTTAAAATCATTTCTCTTTCATTTTTTTTTGTTTTTCTTAATACACTTCCCTTTTCTATTAAAAAACTACTTTTACCCCTACTTTTTCATACCCTACCTATCACATCATACTTTTTTACTAACAACTAAATTATCACATCTTACTTTTACCCATCACATCAAGAGCAAAATTGGAAAGTCAACTACAATTTAACACTTTCTTATTTTTCCCCAAAGTCAAAAGAGGAACTCTTTTGAGAAACGGAAGGAGTATTTAATTACAATATGATGATGATGATGATGATGATGATATGATGATGATGATAATAATAATTATAATAATAATAATAATAATATAATAATAATAATAATAATAATAACAATAATAATAATAATAATAATAATAATAATAATTAACACTAATGCGAGCTAGCTAGGTATAGTAGTGAAACAATTAAACATTAAATTAAATGATCACTTTCTACCATAGAATAACACCATGACATGATGGTTAGTGGTAGCACATGTTGAGATGTTTGGGAGCAAAGTAAATTCTGCATGTGAATGATGATATTCCCCATACTGCACGTCATTTCGCATCCAGATATCATCTCTTACATGTTGCATTGTTAAGGAGGTCGATAGCTCTTGTCCTCTGCATCTAATCTCTATCTGCATGCATGAACGTTAAGCTATTTAAAAATCATCATCATAAATCATATTCATCAATAATCTTGCATGTGGCCATGCAAGCTAAAAGGAAAAAGAATTAAAATATCACCAGTGTCTCATTCCTAGCTAAAAATTTTCCACATTTATCATGCGAAGAAGTACATGATACTGTAATATTCGTTAATACTATCCTATGTCTTACAATAGAGTTTCCCCTTATTGTAAAGTTTATTCTCTTCGATTTAGTTAGTTCATTTAAAAAAGTGTAAAAATTTAAAAATAATTTACTCTGTATTATTTAAAAAACAAGAAAATCCCCCAAATAAGACTAAGGGGGGTGTATTCAATCAGGATCCTGATGGATTTTTTTGGATTTTGCAAATCTGTAGGTATTCAATTCAGATTTTAAAAAGTCATTTAAAATCTGAATGTAATCAATTGAGAATTTAAAAAGTCCTTCTAAATATGATAGTATTCAAAAAGTTGATAGATTTTTAAAGATTTTTAAAAGTTTAGATTTTGATGGATTTTTAAGCATTGGGTATAAATATAAATCCATTCTCAAATCTCACCAAAAAACAAAAGATTTTATAAACTCCATACGTCTACTTCTTCGGCCGTTTCTTCTTCTTCTGACTTCTTCTTCGGCCTTCTTCTTCATCGGACGTTCTTCTTCTTCATCAGTTGTCTTCTTCATCACTCCTCCATCATCGCCTCTGGTCGTCTTCCTCTCCTCTGTTCGGGATCTTTAAGGTAGGTTTTTTCTATACTCGTCTCTTTCATATTTTAGATTCTTGGATTTGTTCTAGTGTGCCCTAATTAACTATCTCGCACACTTCATCAAATTCCAACTTTGGACGGTTAAAAATTGACTTATTGGAGTATTAAGATTCAAAGAAAAATATTATTGGAATATTTTTACTCCATTCAAATTTGGGTTAAAACACTTTTGTTTAGATCTACATACCGGAAGAAAAGCCTGTTTTTCAAAATGAATTATTGAGTTATTGAGAAATTCATGCTGAGTTTTTGGTTCAACAGTGTGTCACTGGATGCTTGCCATGGTTCTGGGCATCAATTTGAGCCACATAGACTTATGTTTGTCTTTTTTTTGTCACTGGATGCTTCCTGGGAATGAATTTGTGGTTCTGGGAATCAATTTGTGTCACTGGATGCTTGCCATGATTCAAATAACTTTTGTTTGTCTTTTTTTTTTGTTTTCCAATTTCAAAAAATATATTTATGTTTTGGAATTGTTTAAACTTATCTAATTGCTTAAAAAATATTCCTAAATTGTATGGAGCATCTTTATAGGTTAATATGATTATGCTCACTATGTATTTGAAGAAATGTCTACAAATAATGTTTTAGGTATTTATATGTGCTTGGTCATATAGATAAATGGAAGAGGAAGTGGGAGGAAGAGAAGGAATAGATGAAAAAGGAACTGAAGAGGAATCAAGAAAATAGATGAAAAGGGATTACATAACTTTCTTCGTAAAGAGTGTTGTTCTGATGAATTTCCTCCTGAAGTAGAACTTGAGTCATCTTCTTCATCATATCTTGACATGGAGGAAGAAAATTCTGAAATACTTTCTCAAACTCAACAACAACAAAGAACAGAAGCTAACGCTTGGAGACATGGCATTGCTGAAGCTATGTGGGCCGATAGCCCACAAAATGATGCTAATGAGGAGAATGAAGAAGGTTTTGGTGATAATGAAGTTGAAATGGAAGACAATGTTGTTAACTAATTTTTTTTTCAATTATCTTTTAAAATTTTGAATAATGACTTCTCTTGAGTTGTCTTTAGAATTTCATTGTTGATGAGTTTTGACATACAAGAAGAATAGCGTATAGATAATATTAATTTTAGATGTAAAAACAAATTTATTGCTTATTTTATTCTAATAAATATATTACGACAATGATAACTTTTTTAAAAAAAATAAGTTATTTTTATTTTATTAGATTATTTTTAATTTTTTATTGATTTCATACACAAAGTTTTTAATAGCTAATTACAATAGTACGTTCATGTTACAACAATGTATAAATTTATAAAATAATTCATATTTATGTATAAATAATCTATGGATTATAAACAATCAAATAGAATCTTATAAAATCCCGTTGATAGAATACATTAAAATCTATCAAACTCTGCATAGACTTAAAACAATCCATAGATTTTGCAGAATTCATTGACTTTAAACAATCTATCCAAATCTTTCATAATCCTAATTGAATACACGCCCCTAAATCTTTAGGCATATTTTCAAAATAGGAGTCCATAACTTATACTTCCTCCGTCCCACTTTAGATTACAATATTCCCTTTTAGTTGAAATTAAGGAAGAGTCAAATCAAATTTTTTTTCCCAAATTACCCCCCAAATCCCTGCAAATAGTGTGAATAGTGGCTGACAGAAAAGAAAAGGGAGGATAAAAGAGTCAAATCACTATAAAGTTATTGACTTTGTAATCCTTTGTGGGACAAAAATGTGAGAGAATATTGTAATCTATTTCGGGACGGAGGGAGTATATCCAAAACAAGATACCTTCTTCATGGTATCAGAGTCATACTAACTCTTCCCGATGGCTCTCTCTCTATCACCCTTCCTTGTCGTCGGCTCTCTCTCTATCACCATGGCCAACATCCTTTCTACAACCACCAGCACGCCCACGCCCACCAATCCCCCAAATTCACCTCATCTTGCTTTTACTACAATCTCCAATATCAAACTTCATATCCCGATTCAACTTAGCATATCGGAACCAAATTATAAAAAATGGAGCCAACCTTTTCTCTTCCTTGTACGATGCTTCAACCTTCATTGCTACCTCTCTGGCGACACCATGCCCACAGGCACCGAAGACCAGGGGCGGATGCACATTGATCTTGTTGGGGGCATATGCCCCCTACTAATTTTTTGTAATAAGGTAAAAAATATTTTTTTGAAAATTTTATGTATTTATGCCCCCCAAAATAATTAATGTGACCCCATTTAATTAGGTTAAATTTGATTTTTTTGTTAAATTTTCTAATAATATGTATTTTATTGCACACAATTAATTATTTATACAATAAAATGTTACATCATCTATTAATAAATATTTTACATTCAATAAATGTTTGATTTTTTTTAATATTTTGTCATTTCATATTCTATTTTAAAAATATCTGGGGACGCTGCCCTCGACCCCCTGCCCCCATCTATCTAAATATCTAGATCTGCCACTGCCGAAGACAGAGAATGGGCTGAATTTGACGTCCTCCTCCAAGGGTGGATTCTCGTCATCATCTCGGACGAAGTTTCCGATCTGGTCCTCACCTCTTACTTTACTGCAGCTTATTTGTGGAAAGGAATTTACCATTTCTTTCATGACAATATGGCGGCGCGTGCGATGCAGCTCGAGCAACGATTCCGAACAACCACCAAAGGCACCAAATCATGGCGGATTATTGTCAAACATTGAAAAATCTTGCAGATTGTCTTAAAGATGTGAATGCTCCGGTCATAGAATGAGCGTTGGTTCTTCAACTTCTTCGAGGCCTTCCCCAAAATCTCCGGGCACAGGTCACCTTCCTTCAATATCAAGTTCTCTCCCCGACATTTCTCGAAGCCCGATCTGCTGTCCTTCTTCTCGAACAAGACCAGACGGATTTGGACATCACTGATGCGGGATCCACGGATTTGGTTGCTGTCGGTCAACCCACTCACGGCGGCAGACCAGGAGGCGCCTCTGGACGCGACGGTGGACAGCACTTAAGCCGCGGGAACGGCGGCGGGAGCCGCAGGGGACAGAGCAGTGGCGGCGGGGGCAATTACCAAAGCAGCGGCGGCGGCGGCGGGTATGGCTTCAGCGGCGGCAGTAGGACCGGCGGTGGTGGCCGAAACTGTAGCAGTGGCCGAAGTCGTGAACGCGAAAACCGCAGTGGTGATTTCAGTTCCCGACAACCCACGAGCCTTGTTAATTAGAAATCTCCTCACCCTAGTTTATTGGGCCCAAGGCCCAACCCCTACCCAACCCAAGCCCAAGCTTACCTCACCTACCCTTACCCATCCACCCACCAGCCTTACCCTTCCCCCTTTTTTCAGCCGCCAGCCCAGCCCAACCCTTTTCCCTTTTCCCAGCAGCCAGCCCAACCCACCCCTTTAAACCCTCCAGCCCAAAACCCGTACCCCACCTCCCCCCAAACCCCCACTGCACTAGCCCATTATTTTGACACCATGACTCTCTAAGAACCGAACTGGCTTATGGATACCGGTACCTCTCACCACATTGCTTCTGACCTAGGTACTCTTTCTCATGTTTTTTCTCAAAACATTTATTCTCTCACACATATCATTGTTGGTAATAGATCTAAAGTTTGCACTAATGTCACTAGCTCCTGCACACTAAACACCCCTCACCCACTTTCTCATAAAAATGTACTTATTTTCCCCTACATCACCCATAACCTTATTTCCGTTCGACAATTTACCCGTGACAATAATTGTTCTGTGGAATTTGACCAAACTCGTTTTTCTATGAAGGACCTTCGGACGGGGCGCGTGATTCATCGATCCAGTAGTGATGACCTTCTCTATCCCTTGCACACTAGCCCAGCTCAAGCCCATATCTCCACTAGCGACGTCGAATTATGGCACCACCGTCTTGGACACCTAGCCCAGCTGTTCTCCGTGAAGTACCCCACACCCAATTTTCTTGTTTTAATAAAACAATGTCTACCTTGTGTCATGCTTGTAAGTTAGGGAAACATGTTCGTCTCCCATTTTTCGCGTCTTCTCGTGTTTCTCATTTCCCATTTCAATTATTACATACGGACTTATGTCAATCTTCAGTTTTTAGTGTAATCGGTTTTAAATTTTACATGTTACTCTTAGATGATTACTCTCATTACTTATGGGTTTTTCCCCTTCGGCATAAATCTGATATTTTTCTGTCCTCACCAAATTCTTAATTTACGTACAGACACAATTTCACACTACCGCCCACGCTATTCAATGTGATAACGACACAGAGTACAAAAATCTCCCTCTGGCCAACTTTCTCTCTGCTAGAGGTATTCTCTTCCATTTTTCGTGCCCCCACACAAGTCAACAAAATGGATAGGCCGAATGCACTATTCGTACTATAAACAACACTGTCCGCACATTACTTTTTCAAGCCCATTTACCACCACAATTTTGGGTCGAAGCCCTAAACATGACAGCCCATATCTTCAACCTCCTCCCTACCACCACTCAAGCTACGCAATAAAACCCCCCATGCAGCTCTCTACAACAACCCCCCTCCTACTCTCACCTTCGAGTCTTTGGGTGCCTATGTTACTCAAATCTCTCTGCCACTGCCCCCCATAAACTTGCACCCCGCGCGCTCATAGTTGCATTTTCCTCGGGTACCCTGTCAACCTGCGTGGGTATCGCTGCCTCAATCTCACCACAAACAAAATCATCATCTCCCGACATGTCACCTTTGATGAATCTGTCTTTCCTTACCCCCATACCCTCTCTCGCACAGAACTCTCCTTCTTAGACTCCGCGGAGGGTGGCCAGCCCCCACACCTTCACCATTTACATACTACTCCCCAACCACCACCCAACACTCAATCCGCAAACCACCAAAACACCCCTTCACCTCCTCCCATAACCCCCACGGCCCACACTCCACCCTCAGCCAACCTCACTCCTCCCCAC